GAATATCACCATTTAAACGCAATGACCATAAAACCTGTCTCGTCCAAAAATCAATTTAGTGTGTGTTTTGACTGTTTGGAACAACAAAGAAAATGACACAGAATACTTGTTTCAACAACTGTCACCAACTGTAGCACACAATATTTTGATTAACAACCCTGGTTAGGCAAACAATATGATTTATAAAATCTACTGTTTTGAAAGACGGGCCTTCAAAAGGACTTTGTTGCATATTGTTAACGTTTAAACTAAGATTTCATCGCTGGTGATGTTTGAAGACAATTGTGACGACGATTCTTGAAATCGCATTTTTTTAGACGAGACAGGATTTAGGGTCATTGTGTTTAAATGGGGATTTTTTTGAACGGATCGATCAATTTCAGTATTTTTTCATACAAAAGTAGCTTATGAAATTGGCTTTCCAGTCATTATTATTTTTGGTGCTGCATATTTTTTTAAATATGAAATATAATTTTTGGGGTTTGGGTTCCGCTTTTTTTGACTCACCCTGTATTATTTCACACGGGTGTTCGAGAATGAACAGATTTTTCACTACACGGTGAATAACAAAATAAATGTAATACATGACACATTGCGGCGGATATCTCGCCAAGAAAACAATCCTAAAATTGCCCGGCCGTGGAAATTCGGAACACACTGAGACGGGGGGGGGGGGACACCACATTACACTTAGAGGCGTTCTTCAGGATAAAGACGGTATGTCAATAAGAATACTCGCGCTTACATCAAAACGGCGCATTTTAAAAAGCATCTGTACTTTGTTTCTCCACTTTTCGGTGCTATTGAATGCATTTTAGTTGTTGGGATGTTCGAAAAATACCTTAAAATCCGCATTTTTTTTCTCACCAAGAAAACATGGGCGGGTGATGATTCAATGGCCATCTCCCCTGGTCAAAAAGTAGGGGATATATACCCCCCCCCTTTTTTTTTTTACATCCCTGATTGTTAAGTAGTTGAATTGAGATTATGAAGACGAAAATCTGAAACTGCTTGTTGTAGAATTGCTGAAATACCGATTCGATATAACATATCCTCCGTTGGCCCTCAAGTAGCTCGGTGCTTATCGTGACAATGCTGCATCTTAAAGCAGTACTTAACTCCTGAATGATTGACCAGAAACCAGTCGAAACCTTTGTAAATCTGACCCGTGCTTTTCCATCTCGTGCTAATTAATACCCGCAGAAAACATGAAATGAGTGTGACAGGTACGCAAACATTAAGCCATAAAATCAAAGAGTGATGGCAGGTCTATCAAATACGTGCTTCATGTAATACGCTCCAGTGATTTGCACTGAAGTAGGAATGGTATAATGGCACTCAGACACTTTACTCCGAGTGCAACGTTCTGGAGGGCGCGCGCTCCTCAGTTCAAATGCTAACCATTAAGGGTGCAACCATGTATTAAAATTCTCATAGAAACTCCATACTTCAAAATTCGTTTATAAATACTCAGAACTCTCACAGGTGTTTAAGCTGCACAGAAAAATGATAATCAACATGTCATCTTTCATTTTCTATTCATTTTTCACTGGGTTGACCATGGACTTTTCGAGAAATTCTCACTCAAAGAAGACGACCAATATTTTCCCCAAAGTGGAAAAGTGCAGCTATCTTGAAAAACGATCCCTCCTTAACATGACAAAATAGATCCAGTTTCGAGCCCAACTGCAACCAAATTTTATCAAAATGCTCAGAATTGGAAGTCCGTAGTCCAGGCCAGAGGTTCAATGCCATATCTCTTCAAGTCCTCAATATTGCGGCTCTCAGAACTCTCTAATATAGAATACTTTGAGGGGTATAACTTTTATTCTTGGTTTTCATAATTTTCATCAACAGTCTCCATACAGCCAAATCCCATCCTGGATGCAAAGTAAGTGTATGCAGACTATGATAATGTTTAGTGGCACTTCGCCTGGTGCTTTAAACAAAGATATGCTTACTGGTCTCCATCAGGTGACTAAATCGGTTAATGGAAAATAAGCTTACGCTGACCGTCGACAAAACTAAGTGCATGGTATTTGGAACACGTCCCCGATTGCCTAACTTTAATAATGTTCAGATCTCACTGAAAGGTGATGTAATTTAGCGCGTTAAGGTGTACAAGTATCTTGCTGTTATTCTGGACGAACACATAACGTGGGCTAACCATATTGACCACACAGCCAAGAAGATCTCCAAAAAAACTTGGTTTTCTCAGACGTTCTGCCAAGCCTTGCCTTCCTCAACTCACATTCAAACTTATCGTCTTGACTGTATTTGATTATTGTGATGTTGTTTGGTCTAGCTGCTCAAATTCCCTCTCTGACAGGCTGAGTAGAGGCTAAGCTCCACAATCGCCTTGCCAGAATGATTCTGAGCGCACATCCCACAACACACATTGCTGATCTACACGATGCTCTCTCGTGGACCACATTACATAATCGCTGGCACCATCAAATGTTTGAAGTTTTTAAATGTGTAAATAGCCTTAACGCAAGTTACATAGCCTTTTTATACAGCCATGTCATTCAGCTGGTACCTGCTCTATGTCAAATGGTTCTCTGCCCATGTCTTTTGTTCCCAAGATTAACGCGGCCAAGCGTTCTTTTCAATATCTTGGGACCCTGGGATGGAGCAAGCTAACTGCTTCTCAAAGGAAGGCACATACTCTGTCCCAGTTTAAACATCTGCGCTATTAATTACTGTGTTTTATTTTATATTTTAAGACATGCTTTATCATTTACTTAAAAATTGCACGTTATCTGATCAACTTCGTGTGATGTGCCTAATTACTTTATTTTAATGACTTCCCATTTTATTTGTTTTCTTACTTTACTTCTTTGAATTGTGGGACATTTCATTTATTTGGTTTTCCAGTGGTTGTGTTTTGTATTGGTCATTTTATTTTGGGGGTTTCAAAGTGGATATGTTTTATTTTGGTCACATTACGTTACACTGTTATGTGTTTGCATTTCTCCTGTTTATGTTATATTTCATTTATTTGCTGATGTGCCTAATTGTTTTATTTTAATGACTTCCCCTTTTATTTGTTTTTGTTTTACTTTACTTCTTTCAATTGTGGGACATTTTACTTTTTGGTTTTCCAGTGGTTGTGTTTGATAATTAATTTTTTTAATTTTTTTTTTGAAGTGGATTTGTTTTATATTGGTCATATTATGGTCTACTTTAGACTGTTATGAGCTTGCATCTCTCTTGCTTATGTTAAGTTATTTCATTTATTTGCTGATGTGCCTAATTGTTTATTCTAACGACGTCCCGTTTTATTTGTTTTCTTACTTTACTTCTTTGAATTGTGGGACATTTTTTTTTTTTGCTTTTCCAGTGGATGTGTTTTATCATTTTATTCGGATATAATGGTATATGTAGATTATGTTAATGTTGTCGTAATATTTCGTAGGATTTTGTTTTATTTTTTTACTACATATAAGTCATTAATTTAACATGCTGTTATCTTTTGTATTGCGTTTTAGTACTTTGTGTATTTGCTTAAACTAGTAACATCGATTTAGGTTTATATTTTAATAACAGTATTTTTTATTTTATATTTTAAATGTTAATTAATTGGTTTTGGTTTATAGTGTTATTTTTTTTTTTGTACAGGGCCCTCAAGGAAAGCAGTTTTTTAACTGAAGAGGCCACCCTGCTTAAATAAAACTGCAAATAAATAATACATTATTCATGAGCTAGGCGGGTGGATTTCGGTGTGCACCTTTATAGGCCTATTTATATTGATATAAGATTTGAGGCTTTGCATGGTGGGGTATCGGTATCGTTTCGGTTTTGCGGTAACACCATGTGGTAATAACTACTGCTTATAAGATATTAGTTCTGAGAAGAACTTGTCCTGCTAATTATCAACTTGCTAAGTAGTTTTTTTTTCTGTTTAGAACAGTCCTGCTGTAAGTTCTAATAGTTCCTATTTATATTGTTTGTAAACATTGAGCACAATTTTGGATGGGCTGCTGCATGCGCACAAATTGAAGCGGTGGTTGGCAACATATTTTTCCCAAAAAGTCCTCATAACCCCTACATTACATAAGAAAAAAGCATGCTTAGAAGTTGGAAGCGCTTGCTGGTAATTTTGTATTCGATAGATTTGATAAATTTGATTGTTTTCAACAATCAAATAATCTTTGTGTAATCATTAGGCCAAAAAAAGTCTCCAGTTTCTGGTATGCGCGCGCGTCGCCGTAGCCATGCGCGTCGGCAAAACGAAAACGATTTTTTTTTCAATGTAAGATGATGTCTCAAAACCGCCAAACTCACTGATTTGACTGGAATCCTGCTGCTGCACAATTTTAACGTGTTTTTAGATGGGGTTACTTTCGAGTATAAGTTTTACGTGGCCTCTTTAGACTCCCATATATTTTTGCACTAAATTTAGTTTGGCACCATTTGCAGTCATCAGCCGATGTGCAAAAAGAAGTAGCAAAAAAAAAAAAAAAAAAAAAGCCGCGTCGCCGCACCACTTTTGGGACAAGCTCCATACCAGAAACCGGAGACTTTTTTGGCCTTAGTAACTATTCGTCATTGTTGCAGTGTTTGACCTTCCATAGTTTTGCAACCCGTGGTTAGCTAAGTGTTCCAATCACGCGTCGGCGATAGAAAATAGGCAATTATGTTTGCATATAAAAAGAGGGCGCTGTAACGCAACCAAAAGGTTCCCACAACTCTTCTCTAGTGTGGAGCTAGACGTTGTTTGTACGCGATCATGACCCCGCCGCGCCGCTGCGATAACCGGTCGCCGCGCGAGGGCGCTATCACGACCATTACCATCGAACCCGTCAGTGCCCCCCCCCCCCCCTGGATTTACGCCCCTGGTCACAATCTTTTGTTGTTTCCTTTGGTTGAATTGTATTCTGTCCGTTTGTAAGCCACAGCTTTTCCGGCCGATTGGCCTCTTTAAGAGACACGGTGCAGGACGCGCTCTTTGGAGAGGGTTAACTCTTTGTATTGAGCCAAATAAAAGGTTAATACCGGCCTTGCTCACCGCTTTTTTATGCGATGGTGTAGGGTGTACCAAGCCGAATAGAGAGAGTTGCGACATAAGGCTCGCACTGTTTGAAACTAGTAAAAAGGGCGCATTATACATCAGCGCACATAATTCGTACCATAGTCGCACGCTGCACTGTATGAACGGCCATTATGGCTCAACAGTCTGAAGTTGTCGCAATTAACTCTCTCTTTTATACGGCTCTGAGAATATCTTTGTGTGGTATCTTAGCTCCACTTTTTATGTACCTCTGCCTTTTCATGTCCGAGTTTCTTGCATAGGCGCGTTCTCTTCTACAAACTGTGGTTGAATTGCCAGACAAAGTGACTCCCTTTTAACAGTAAGTATCAGTTAGCTTTGGGAGTTCTTTAGGCAAATACACTTTTTTTCACCAAAGAGTAGTTGTTCACTGGCCAGGGGTATACCCACTTGTTTAATCAGTTTCAATCGAGTTGCTGCATGCTTTGGGGAAAAGAATGTTGCAACCTGACGCTTAGTTGTTGTGTAGCGGTTGTGTACAAAGTCTATGGAGAGTCAAGAAAATGAGTATTTCCCACCAAAATTGGAAATGAAGGTGTATCAAATTCATGTCTTTTCATAATTTTTGCAATGACTGACCTTCAGTAGGATGATATTTGAAGAAAAAAACAGCGTCAGGTTGCAACATTCTTTCCGCTTTTGGTTGCACAGTTCTTATGTTTGCATAATGTTTGTTGCATGGGGGAGGTTATTGAAGTGGTGTAGCCAGGGTACAGAGTGGTAGAATGTAGCGGGTTAGATATTCTAAAAGCAAAATCGGGACGATGACAGAAGCAACATCGCAACATTTGACGGTAAACATAGATTATAAATGCAAAATCGGGAAAGGGACGAACATTCCATTTTGCATCGGGCAAACAAAACAAGACTGGCTGGCTGCGCGCCTGGGGTGACAGTATACAAATAATGAATGTTTGTGAGTGCAATGGTAAGAATAATTTCATGAGGTGACAGATGAAATGTTCCATTGCACGAGGCGATGCCGAGTGGAATGGAACATTTCATCTGACACCGAATGAAATGGAACATTTCATCTGACACCGAATGAAATTATTCTTTCCATTGCACGAACGTGAAACATTTTGTTTTATACAACACCTGAATAAATCCTTGTCATCTGATTGGTTGACTTTTAATAGCCAATTTATTCGGATTAAAAACTGTTTAAAAGTTCGATAAGTTCATCATATTTAATTTATGCAAACTGTTCAACAGGTTGAGAACAATCATATTCAATTTATGTCGATTTAAAACAGCGTCACTACCAGCAGCAGTGACACTGTGCAATGGAAGTTCTATTCACCGTGCAATAGAAGTTCCATTGCACTGTGCGCTGCACGCCACACGCGCGCCGTGCTTTGGGACGAATAATTCAATGACATGTGATCAACGATCCACCAATCAGATGACGGGGATTTATTTTGGTGTTGTGTAATAATCAATTATTAATAGTAACAGATTGTGTCTTTAAGTGACAATAATGCTGGTTTGGCGTGTACTTTTTGTTCCCTCCCACAGCTAGACACCAGTCATAATGGCTGCAAGCTACGACATCGTCATATTTGCCTTAGTGTTTTCGTTCTCGGTCTTGGCTGTGCTGGCAAATCTTATGGTGATGGTGGTCATCGCTAGAACCAGCCATCTCCGGATCAAGTACTACGCATTCGTCTACAATCTCATCTTGGCCGATCTGGGATTTGCAGTCATGGGCTCGATCTATCCCTGGAACTACATGAACTCCACTATCGAGGACCTGTTGCAGATATTCTCCACGGTCAATGCCCTGACGGTTCTTGCTGTAGCCATCAACCGCTACCTGGCCATGTCCCTGACACCGCCATCGCGCTATGACGCGCTGGTGACGCCAGTTCGTTTGTTCGTCGCATGTTTACTCATGTGGTGTTTCGCCATCGGCATCACCATCCCCCAGATGTTCACCGCCGACATCAACAGTTACAATGTCTTTCATGCGGTGGTTCGGTCTTTGTTAATTATCATCATCTGGCTGATCACTGCGTTGGTGTACGTCGTGGTGTTTCGTAAAATCAAGCGATACAAACCGCCCCTTGCGGACAGTGCGCCGATCGATCCCAGCAGCGAGCAAAGCCACAGTACTCGATACCGTCAGACGCGCCGTCTTCTGGTCACTTTCTCTATCATCACTGCCGCGTCCCTCGTTTGCTGGATTCCTGCTAACGTCAATATCTTAATTCTCTACTTCAAACAAGATATCCTCCGGGTGATGCCGGGGTTCAGGGTTTACTACGGCGTCGCACTTTTCGTGTATTCTCTGAACACCCTTGTGGATCCGTTGATTTACTGGTGGCGTCTTGATGATTTTAGAGAGGCACTCTGCGCAGTAGTCTGTTGCTGCCGTCGCAAATCTCGATCAAGTGAAGTCGAGACAGGAGTGGATAACGAGGTGACGATCAAAGACACAGCACTGTAAATCCCCGTTCACAGGAACTGTAGACAAAGCATTTAGCATAGGATACTTTGAGTGAGATACTGTGATATTAGCCGTTTTACAGACCGCCATAGTGAATTATTAACAATATTAAAGATAATTATGATTGGCACAACGGGCCTTATGCACGAGTCGGCCATGTTGAATTGAAAGTGAGGAAAAATCTTAATTTTTGGAACTTGCGAACAAAAACTACACTGTTATTACCTACTGCACCTCATGCAACTGTGCATTATAGCACATTTTTGTCCCAAAATCATTAACACTTGAGGCTCAAGCGCACGAGGTGTAAGGAAGTTACGAGTTATGTATCGCATGGTGTACTAGCTTGTAGCACATGGGGTGACAGTCGGCTCAACCTCAGGTGTGTTTTTTACCCAACGTTGACACTTCACGTGCATCAACTTGTTCGATTCACGTGCATGACGTGGAGTCACTATTTTTACAGTGTAAAGCAAGTCAAATACTAATTAATTCCAGTCTGATTCAATGAATACGTTAACATTTTTGATGAAACACCTCCCCAACGTTTAAAGGCAGATTAAAATAATGAATGACAGTAAAAAAAAAAAGAAAAAAAAAGACTGCATTATGTCTGCATAAGTAGTCTGTCGCCATCCCATTCAACAGTTCATCAATTAATGAAATACATTCAGGGAACTCGACAAAGAGGGCCAACTGTACATAAGGCACACAGAGTGTGTATATATGACCTCATGGAAAACCTGCGAGATTTCACGAGAATACAGCACATCCGGGCACCAAGAAACGCCATCTTGTGCTTGTGCTTGTGAAACGCCATCTTTTTCTTTGTATTTATTTTTTGTCCTGACTGGGCCCATGCAATCAAGGGCAATATACATTGGTACTTCGAAAGAAAAAGTACAATTTACAGTGTACAAAAATGCAAATTGATGACTAGTATATATAAAATTAAAAATGTTGACCTCAAGTGTTACGTTCATGTGTCATTTAATTACATGTATTTTAATGGTTTTTTTTATTTTGGGGCATGTCTGTGTGGTCGTTTAATACGAAACTCAAACTCTGCTACCAGACTCGAGTCTGATTATTACTAACACACAGTGGTAACTTGGGTTTTTTTTTCTTTCAATTTTTAGAATCCAAACATTTAATTTGATAATGGCCTTTGTAGTATCCACACATTTACTTTGCTAATGGCATTGCAGTACCCGCACATGATTGTAGGTCTACTTTGCTAATGGCATTTCAGGAGCACCATACGTTGTGAATGACCTGTATGCAAATGAGGTCAGAAACGAGGCTTTTACTTTAGATTAAGTAATAAACCAGAATCACAGTAGTAAGGATAAATTGTTGTGCATGCACAATCCCACTCGATCTTCAGACATGACACGATCGCTCAGGTGTAAATTAATGCATGTGGTAATAAAAGATTAAATTTATTGGCAACCGCCTAGCATTACATAAGCAAGCTGTTAAAATTCTTTCTCCTTCTTATTCTTATTGTGACCCTTCTCAAGGACACGAGCTGAAGGGCAGATTCTCAGATCTTTGCTGGTTTATTTCTGCTGTCTATTTCCGGAGATAGTGTGTTACCTGGTTTTCGACCGAAAACAGAACGAAAATATACAGTACTCATCAATACAATAAATACTAAATACAATCAGGGGCGGATCCAGAAATTTTCACGGGGGGAGGGGGGGGGGTTTCTCCGGACACTTGGCCTTCGGAGATCAATATGTGTGCGTGTGTGTGGGTGGGTGTGTGTGTGTGTGTGGTGGTGGGGGGGGGGGGGCCTCGGGGCTCGTACCACACTTTCAATGGGGGCGCTGTTCAAATCCGACGATTATTAACACTATTACAGAATAGTGTACAAAATACAGGCAAGGCAAGTGTTCTTTCAGCAAAACAAATATAACTTTTTTTGTGATCCGTGGAGAGGACTCGACCCGTTTTTTTAATTTAAAATTCCGTGATACATAAGTGATTTGAATGATTCTTATACTAAAAGAAAGCTTATTAAATGGGCTGTCATATCATAGATTTGAAAGTGCTACATGCAGAACTTCGTTAAATAATGGTCCTGACATTTGGGTTTCCTTGTTTTACTCACCCTAAAATTCTTCAACATGGTTAATCGGAGATCGCTAAATTTTTCGTCAAAATATAATCATGCTTCAAAAATCAACAAAATAATGACCAAAAAGCGGACTCGGCATTTAGATAAATTATCATTATGGGAGATAATGAGATAAGATAAAACTGTTGGAAAACGAAGACATTGTGTTACTTGGTCTTTTGACTAAAAAAAAAATAATCAAGAAAAAGCGGGAATTGCACGTACTGGTTTACAAAACCAAGCGGCGCTCGTCAGAATGGCTGTAGACATTTTTCATGCTGCCACCATTTCAGTCATGTTCCTTTATCCAATAACACCACCGAATGATAGTATTTGTGTGCAAAAAGGAACCGGACTATTATTCCTTCCAGCCTTGCTTTGGTTAATTTGATTTGAATGGGAGAAAATAAGATGGCCGCAACATGAGAATGGTCTATCGATTGGAGAGCTTTCCAGGCAACTTTCCGATGTGCCACAAGTGACCACAAGAGGGCGCTACATATCGTTACGTAGGCGACAATATAAGAACTGGATGATACCGAAAATAATTTTGCTTAGTCGTGTCTTATAATTATCACTGTACTGCCGTAGTTGAATAAAGCCCATGACCCGTTTCGTTAAATTAAACAATCCAACCTAGAATTTTGTCAGGTTTTGCGTTTCATTTCTGGCCATTCATTCTTTTTCAGGATTTAAAAAATTACAAGTAGGCCTAAGACGATGAAACAGTTAAAAAAAAAATTACGTAAAATATAGTACACCCTAAAATAGCAACATAAGAATCAATAAACAATAACACGACCCATGCACTGAAATGCTCTTGTAGAATTGATTTTAAAAAAAGAACTAAATCAACATCGAGTAGCTGTCTTATATAGCGTGACACTGATAATAATAATAATACTATAAACAAAAACACCAACATTACAGACATACAACATTGAACATAAGGTTATTTTAAGAACCTTTGAGCATGTGAGATCAGGGGCCAATTTCATGGAGCTGCTAAGCACAAACATTTGCTTAGCATGAAAAGTCTTCCTTGGCAAAAACAGGATTACCAACCAAATGTCCATGTGATGTATAGTGCTCGTGATTGATATTCAGCTGTTGTTTGTGTCGCGAGGTGGCAAGCCCAACGATGATAAGGGTGGTCAGGTTCACCCTCGTGAAGATAGAGTAAGGTGAAAAGCAAGTAGAATTGAACTGGAACACTCAGACGGTTGTTTACACTGATTCACTTGATTAAGTTTTAATTTACTTCACTTTCTCCAATTATACAAAATAATCCAAATGAAGATCCGAATAAAGATTCCAATAAGACGACAATGAAGATCCGAATAAGACACAGGGAAAGACTCAAATGAAGTTCCCTGAATGAAGACGATGACTAAGAAGATCATAAAAGAAGACCCCTGATATAAAATAGAGAAGGCCTGTAACTAATGCACTTGAGATGTCAACCTTCTTCAAAGCTTGTGACTTGACAGTCTCAGCAAAGTCTCAGCCCAAAAATGAGAGAAAAGTAGGCGACTTTCGGCCAAGAGTTGGCTTGGTCTAAGCTTCCTTCACCGCCCGCTCACAAGAGGACAAACCATGTGAGCGGTAGCGCTCTTACCGTAATGCAATGAATACAACCCCTCGTCGCGCATAAAATTGACACAGAAGGAGTGTTAACTTTGATTACTGACAATGATGATGACATACTGTTACCAAATAATCATTCTCAAGATAGAGTTAACAAATGACCTAAATGTCCACAAACATATGTCCAAACGTGTTAACTAGGGCTATTACACTGGCGGGGTAAGTACACTAAAAGGAACAGCCAGAAAATAACATTACATTATTCATGCTCCTCGTGAATTATTCATTATTTTAAACCCAAAAACCCATATCGTTACATTTGCTTAGCATGAAAATCACATGGAGTGTTGGCTGGTAACTTGCTTTTACTAAGCCAGACTTTTTTTTGCTCAGCAAAATTGTTTTGCTTAGCAGCTCCATAAAATTGGCCCCTGCAATGTGTAACTGCCGTCCTGATCATTTCGTCTGATTGGGGAATACCCAGAAGAAGAAATCCGTTCATCATTTACATAATGAACATGCGCATGCAGTGAAGACAATACGTAGAATGGCGGAAGCTTTCTTGGGGAATTCCAGAGGCCTGCAACAATGAACATCATCAGTGTAATTTTTTTCTCGAGGAGAGGATTTTGAGGGAATGTTGATAAAGTCAATAAATCTGGAGACAACTTTAATGAACACTATAAATAATGAATGTTTATGAGTGCAATAGTAGGAATAATTTCATGAGGTAACAGATGGAATGTCCACGCGGCGAAGCCGAAGTCATAGGCTATGAAATTATTCTTTCCCTGGCACGAATAATTCAAGGGCAGGCGTTGTAAAGTAACTGACATAAGTACTGGGGAAAATTCCACATGTTCTTTCCTGAAAAACTAACAATCGACCTCAGTTCTATCGCTTAAGACATTTCGTCACATTATGCGTTGATTCCAACACCGTATCTCTCATTCTCCCGAAGAAACATATCATTAACCTCGACATTTCTATACTACCCCACCCCCTCCATACACACCCACCATGACATCTTGAATCAATCCTTGTACTCCCTACACCCTCCTATTAAAAAAGACAAGTGAACCAAAAATAAAACGAAGTCCTAAATGTAATCAGAATATTAACCTTTTTTATCAACGCCCGATAGATAATTCAATTTTGTCAGAAATGAATTTCTACACGTACAGAGTGTGATATATTACAATCCAAAATCGATTAAACCGAACATGTTTCCCGCAATCTACTTCAATACTTTTATTGTCACATGATTTTGTAAGTTGAATTTGTGTAGTCGACCGGAAGCTTAAGGTGAAAGTACGCAATGCATAAATTATACGTTACACACAATACAGCTAATTATGGCGATTGCTCGGATTGGGGAATCCCCTTTCGTCATCGTTCACAGCTATAGACTTCGATTCAAGTCACGAATTAAAACAAAACGCCGAACGCTAACCCCATTCTCAACAAATCCTAATTAAAAATCTTTACCGACAATCGAGTCTAATACGTTGTTCCTTTTATTTGCAGTGGGCTTCTAAATATGGTACACAGGCAGCAGCGATTGAATAGTGCGACTAAAGCCAAAGGGGGAATCCCCGAATTTTTATAAAAACTGTCCCGAACGCGCGGCTCATGCATAATGAGTAACTGCATGGTGGGAAGTCCCAGGCACGTCATTTGCATTGTACATGTACATGTACAGCTAGCCGCACAGACCACAGCATTAAACGCAAACCACAAATACGAAGCACGATTATTTTTAGAAATGTGTTTTTCCCCAAATGTTTGTCCCTGGCCGGCCCGGGCTTTCATGTTTAATAGCCAGCTTATCAGACAACGTGTGGAGAAGAGGTGCTGAAGTTGTTTCGACTGTGGTCCTTTTATTTCTCCGAGGCTGTTCAAAGTTTGAAAGCTGTCACTTTCGTACTACAAGACGGTGTTAGTGTACATGTACTTGTACATCTACTGTGCGTGTATAGTCCGTGTGTTGGCCTGATGTTGATGATACAGTGAATCTACTGACTCCATAAGGAACATGGTATGTACAGGGCGGCCAGCTGTATTTTCCAGCAGATTCTTGTTGTTGATCGTGTTGCAGTGTACGCTGTGGGACTTCAGCAGGCTGACGATAGCTGGACCCGTGCCGAGCCGGTCGGACCCTTCCCCTGACCCGGGAACTCGACCAGCAACACCGGAGGACCGCCGGGGCAGTCTTAGGACGGATCTGGCTCATCAGGATAGCAATGATGATTCAGACATAGAAGCAGGGTCCAACAAGGTACGTGTCACATGGTGTCAATGACTGTAAGCATAAAGGCATTTTTACAATTGTAACGTTTTAAATGGTTGATATTTAGTTTTATGCTATTGTATATAAGATATTATGCAGTTTGAGACCACTTTCACTTTTTATTCAGGCCCGTATATAGCAAACGTAGTTTTACCCCCAAAAATAATTATGGACCTTTCTTAGTAAAAGCATGGAGGAATAAATCCTCCATGGTAAAATTTGACTTGTTTTTAAGAAAACAAAATTGTTGGTGATGTCATGGATTTGAATTAAATTTCTTTAAAATGTTTTCAATTTTTGACAATTATATAGATTAAAACGGACATGATTCCGCTTGAAAGTGGACCTATATCTATGCCGAATTTGGGGTGGGTGTTTTATACCGACCTCAGCTACGGGCTTGGTGGTGTTAATTACTTGGGATGATACATTTGGGCATGTGGATGATAATTTTTTTAAGAAATACTGGAATTTTTTGGAATACTGAAAAAAAGTCGGAGCCGTGAGGGTAAATGTAAGGGCTTACTGCTCTATATTTTTCATAGCCAATTTTTGCACGAGTAGTATTGTGGAGTACTTTTTGGCACAAGTCTATGTACCACGTATAGCCCAGTTTTGTCCACCCCGCTTCATTGAGTAACCCGAGAGTTAACTTGTTTGGACACTATAGGTTTTTAGGCTATGCGAGGATTAGCCTACCAAGTGGAATATTTTTCAGAAGCGTGACGTATCCACTGCTATGGGACATGAAATTAAACAAAAAACTATCAGGCAATTTTCCATTTCTTGCGAATCAGAAAAAAAAGTATTTATTTTTGTGTAATGTTCCAAATTTTTGATTCAGCCATGCTTTTGTGATTTGACATTGCCTCTTAACATTTGCATAAGGTGAAAAAAAAATCGTATTTAAATTATATTCTTTTCCCTGTAGTGCCACCGATGTAGAAGCGGCCATTACAGACAGAGTGGTGTCAGAGGTGGGATCCGGCCTGCCATGAAAGCAAGAAGCTACTCAACAGATTCACAATCGCGTTCCCGGACCCGAAGCACTTGCGGGGGCTTTTGCCAGCGTTGCTCGGTCTGTCGCAGCGGGTGGACGTTGCGAGCCAACTGCACGGCGACCCAGGATACTGTGTGCATGCCATGTGAAGAAGGAGAATTCTGGGACCCGGTCCGATCGCGATGCAAGCTGGTAAACCCTTTGATTCATGAGGTGGTGGTGCAGAACTCCGGCACGCCCTACCCGCCCACGCTCAACACCGCGCATGCTGACCCTACCCTACCCGTCCAGCGTGCCGTGAAACCCGGCGGGCGTCCCCCGCCAGGAGACAGTTACGAAAACAAGATTGACCAGCCGGCTCCGAGCTTGACCGAAGAAGCCAAGAGCGAGAAGTGGTCAGCCGGGTACATCGCTTCTCTCTTCGCCAGCGCAGCTGCTGGAATCACGGTGCTGGTTCTGATTGTCGTGGTCCTCATCTACGTGGTGCTGCGATTCAAACAGTGGAAATATGAGCGTTCGCTTTCAAGTAGAGGTCAGTATCCCGATCCCTTTACATCCCAAAACTTAACTGAAATGTATACGAATCTTGTGATGCACTAGTGGGTTTAATAATCAGGACAATTTCAGTGACAAAAACTTCGGGAACATTAATATTATTTGACCTCAGCTTGGTTGTTTACACGTGCTGTCTAAAACGAATGTAAAGCTCAACACAGACTTCATTCGTAGTATGCTTTTAACAGTATTCGTAGTGTACGTTTGATTTTCAAATGTTAAATTTACTGTGTTGAAAATGCTCATATTTCGAATACGTTCATGAAGAATAAATAACTCGAATCGGTTTCCACAACAGCAGTATCTTTTTTAATCGATGGAGTTAATTACTGAGGGTTTCCGATAAAAAAAAAATGTTTCACTGTACACTTGCAACAATTTGTCGACCGTTTGTGAAGGGGTTGAAGAATTTATTTTTTATTGTATTCAGGAGATTCGAGTCCTTTTCAACATTTGAAGGCTGTCTCTCTATTTATAGGCCTAAAACATCTGCACGCGATATGTCAGTTGCATATAGCTATACAGTGAGCCTGGTAGTTATTTTCCGTTCAGCCCTGTTTGATATTATGGCAAATTTAGTTCCACTTCAAGCAAATTCGATTTGCAGAAGTGTTTGTGAAAATTAGTGGCAAAACATTTCGAACTGCATGGACACAACGGAAAAGCGCATTCCGGTCGTGCCTTTTCCGAGTACACACTGCTAATTGTCTCACACAAGCAGCGAATTGCAGACCGTAGCCTATAGACCCACAAAAAGCCCGTTACTTCTGCTGCAACTTCCTTCGTGCATTTTGTAATATTTCGAGACTATAGTACAACAATGACAATTTGATGCATCATGTAACAGTTCGAGACTGCTGTGTAAACATGACGAAACTTGGTTCCAATTACTTAAGACGGCCTGATGTTGCGATCTTAAGATCTTCCTTGGAGGCAAAATGACATTGGCAGAAGAAACAAACACGTAAAGGGGAAACAAGCCTGCAACATGCTTAGTACAAGATAAAAACGATAAAACAAAGACAAAACCGTTATTACAAGTCAGGAAAGAGGGTCCGCAAGAGGGGATAGTACTGCAACAGAAAAGCAACAACTTTAAACTGAATGAAACTGTTGCAAACTGCTTTCTGAGAGGATAGACCTGGTTAAATATACACATCAAAAATATTAAGAACGGCCTGTCGATGCGATCTTAAAACAAAATCTTTTGACAGTCGTGCAAAAACGAACATGCATAGGGGACATGCAATATATGGTTAATACAACATAAACAACGATAAAAAGTTGTTTCCTACAGAAATAATTCTGACCATTGACCCGAAACCTTCAGTGCTATACACAACGCAGAAAATAGTCTTTTGGGAAATATTTTCAGTCTAAAAATATCCATAGTGGAGTTTAAGGAAGTAAAGTCCCCGTGTATTTTTGACGGCCCTTCGCTGTAGTTTAATATTCATTGGTTCCAAGGTTTCGGCATTGTGGTTACACACAGGGAAGTGTGGTTATGCAAAGGGAACAAAGACTCAAAGAATTATAGATGGAAAATAATCGGGACTTTTTGGGCAGAATTGCGTAATCTTGTTTGGAATTTTAGTTTCTTGTTGTTGTTGTTGTTGTTGTCGTTTTGGTAGCTGGTCCATGTTTGTCACTTCATATAGGCGGGGCGTATACAGGTTTTCGGCTGAGAATAGAATGGTTTCGGAATTGTGCTCAAACAAAGGAAAAAGGCTCAAAGAATTCTTCTGAAAAAGAACGGGATTTTTTTTTGGAAGATAGCGTCATCTTGTTTAGCGTTTTATGTTTGTATTGTTTGTTTGTTAGGTTGTTAGGTTGGTTGGGTTTGTTTGTTTGTTGGGTTGTTGACATTAATGACATGGTCCGTGTGTGTCACTTCAGATATAGGGGTACAGGCTTTTAGTTGAGAACGGAATGGTTGTGACTACGACCTCGTATCCATGAAAGTGTTAAATATAATTCCATACAACATGAAGAGATTCTGGACAGAGTTAACAGGAAAAGAACAGTAATGAATGACATAAAAAAAGAGAAAGCTTCAATATTTTGGCACATAATCCGAGCTGATGGTCACCAGAGGCAGCTCATGGAGGGAAAGAGGGAAGGAAAGCGGAAGAGAGGACGCCCCAGACCCAAGTGGACAAGAGACTTCTTGGAATAGAGCGGCAAGACGTATAAGGGTTGTAGACCACGGGGCATGGCCGATTATCTTGCAGTTTCGTCACGCATATCACAAATCTAAATAAATTGTACACATATCACAAATCTAAACAGATTGTACTTTAAACTGCCCAGGAAGATGATCGGAAACTCACATAAAAATCACCCGTTAATCGGTGACCCAAATCGGTGCTAAAATCGCGATTTAAAATTCTGGTTTTCTGCGTTTTGGCGCTAAAAATACCGAGTGAAGAATTACGTCGTTATTTTCCAACGACCAATCAGCGTGGCCCTTCTGTCCGTGGTGATGTGAATAGACCAATAAGGGGAGCTGTAAGTAAGAGCGAGCGCCTGTGTGAGAGCAGCACAGAACAGACTGAGCTGGAAATCTGTGATTGGCCAACTGCTGGCAAGCGGAAGGCACCATGATTGACTGACTGACTGACTTACTGACTGAATTAAGGCATTTTTGTTCGCTTCCCAATTATAACACCACTCAGAATCCAACGAAGAACGTTCAAAACCTGGTTCAATTTTGTGCATTTTGAGGACCCACCACCTCCCCCCCCCCCCCAAAAAAAATAAACATTCGAATCGTCAGAAATAACAGCGTCTAAATGACAGCGTTCCAGACGAAATAATTTGACGCTGTTTTGATACCAGTAAACGATCTTTAATCAAAGTAAGCTTTTTGGTAATCACTGGGTAGGCTACTTTTGGGAGAAATGCAAATGATATGATGGCGCTAATTTGTCGGTGCACATTATTTTAAACGTCGGGAGCTTGTTTTTTTTTTATTAAGACATGAATGATTCGAATGTTATTTTGTCATTTTAACGAGGGCAAGTCGAAGTGGAAACAGAAAACGAAATAAACTATTAATTAGGCCGATACTGATGAAATATCTTTCTTAAAATCAGACGAAAGTGAAATTACAAAACTGTATTGATTGAATAAAGGCCATACGGTATATTCAGCATACACCTATATTTTCAAGGTTATCGTTGAATATGGGATTTTTTGTTTCAATATTACAAATTACGACCGGTCAAATTACAGTTACGTTTTACATAAGTTTGCAGTTATGATAAAGTGAAGGTGTGATTTTTCGGAGGGGGGGGGGGCTGAGCCCGGCAATAATTGTTGAAGACAAAATTATTGAAAGATAATTAAATCCCACGAAGGTCGTGTTGAAATAAATGTTAATCTTACTTTTGTCACCAGATACGTTTCAAATGAAATAAATGCAAGGGGTGTCACTGTTTTAGTTTTGGTCTTACACGCGCATGAAGGAGGGAAATTCCAAGTGTGGGAAATCCCGTGTTTTGTTTCCAGCAATCCGTGAGTGACCTCTCGAACCCACGCTCTGAAGATAAACGATCCAACGGTGACCTTTGTAACTTCATGCATTAATGTTCGAGTGCTATAGTGTACATGCATTGCATTGACAGGCAGAGTCAGAACATTAGCGAATCAGCACATGCAATTATCTCATAAATGAAAATATTCAAACTTCTTCGTTTTCCATGTGTTTTTACTGGCTTTTTAATGGTATGGACAAACCCGAAACCTGACTTAATCATGTGAGCGAATTACTATTTTTTATCTGAAGAGTTGTAAAGGCCTACTGTCTGACATCATGTCAGTAGTTCTGCTTTCATCAAAAGAAGTCTATAATCCGAGGGTCTAGTTAAAGCCCCCCCCCCCCACCAAAAAAAACCCCTGGATAATTATATTTGGTCTTGAATGACCACAAGTTTTGGTTGAATTTAGCAGAAATTCTTACCAGAACAATTGGTTATAGAACAACCCAAGTTTGGGTGGTTCCAGTTTTCACCTTTTCTTGGGTAAAATTAATTTTACCCAGGCAATTTTTCAGTGTATACAAAATCCCCTTCGTGCGTATCACATTCAGCCCTCTATGTTGACTTGGTTCGATCGACGAATGATTAGTGCACAATTAATGTTTACTTATGTTTGTCTAAAAAGCACACCAAAAACCAGCTTTATGGAGCCTTGTTGGAAAGTAAGAACTGTGTTTTGAGCCCCAGATATTCGGATATCTGATATTTCCTTTGTGTCCTTGGTCATATAATGCATATCGAGGGTTGGCGTCGGTAAATACAACAAAGATGCAATAAACGACCCTCCGATCTCCGGTCGACCTCGGAATATAGCTCGTTGCGTGCGCGGGGGAAATCCCCGCATGAGAAATACCCGGCTTAATCATGAATAAGGCAGTGATTGTTTTGTATTATCATAAATTATACTCGCACTCTGCACTATACCCCAGCACACAGCACATTCGCGCATCGCAGGAAAACCAGTAGTCTTGACTTTCATCCGTTGTTACAGAGCACTCTCTGTACTTCGTGTGGTATGTTGAGTGCATTCGATTACTTCCGAACGCTATCGCGTTTGCACGAGAAAGTGCGGGGTAAGTAATCGAACGCACTGGTTGTGAGCATGCATTAATATTATGCGACCTCGCGCGCCAGCCAATCGGAGTCGACTTTACAAATTGCGACGTCAATTCGAGCAGAAAATGTGGCCTAAGCTGTTGATTGGCTGCCGTGTATTGTAACAACGGGTCCTGGAGACCAGACAGAAGGCGCCCGTTCAATGGTCAGAATCTTGAGGTCAAGACACAGTTTGTTTTGCATATTTAATCGCCGATTAAATATACTGTGTCAGGGAATAATTCATACACTAAAAAAAATATGGGGTGCCGGATTGAGTTTTAGTGATAAAATTATTTTGTGATTCTTTAATGGACGGTTTGATATGATACTCTTTCGATATGACACATGTATTTGGTTTTATTTTTTTTCGGAAAGACTTTGACGCGCAATATGTATGTCATTGTGAAGTCTTTTTCAATCGAAATCCTTGAAACTTGCCATGATTCAGTCGTCGAGAAAATATGCTTATTAATACAAGTAGTTACATAAATGAAAAGCAGGATTAGGCCAAAAAAAATATAAGTCGGTCTCCGGTCAGCGCGCGCGTCGATTTTAATCATGCGCGTCAATCTTTTTTTCCCCCAAAATGTTCCGCGGTAGCTCCAACAGCGCCCTCTATTGCCGCACCTCCTCATGTTTTTTTTTACCAAAGAGCACCAAGGAATGGGAAATTGCACCAAGGCAAATGATCGAGAGCACCAAGGCAAATTATGGAGGACACCAATGTACATGAGGACACCAAAAAAGCAAAATAGTATCCCACCTTGTCTGTACAATCTAAGCTTCAAGAAAAAAAAAAGGGGAAAAAAAAGGCGCGTCGCCGCGTCAATTCCGGAACTTTGGTCTGACCAGAGACCGATTTTGTTTGTTTAGCCTTACAATAAGTAACATTTAAGCTTTGTTTTCAACTTGTTTCAGATTGGGATACGAGAAAAAGTAAAACAGTCTTGAGAAACACAGAAATAAACATGCTGGAAATAATAGACAAGAACTACTTTCGAAAATTATTAGCATGACAGCTTTCGATATAGGCCCTTATACTTCATGTCATCTCAATTATTGTATATCTTTTAAAAGATGACATAATCATATCTAGAGCGAAACGGCGAAGTTTATACCGGCGTCTTCTCAGAACAGTTACTGTTTGCGCAACTCGCTATGAAATAATACTCACGTGTTATAAACCGCAAAAGTATTTCACGTTGTGTTCTTTATCATTTTTCTACCACGGTCGATCACATCATTTTTGCTAGAGGAAAAGGGAGTTTCCCTATTTCTTCTGAAGAGGAAACTGCACTTTTACGTCTGGTTGAGCAATTATGTGTTATATATATAAATATAGATTTATGCACGGTTTTCGATTTCACTTTCAAAAAAATCACATATGGTCGGAAAGACTGTCTGACGTTGTGGTTTACCTTTTCCACTAATGAAGATCTCATAGTCGAATAACGGTGACTAATATTGGATGTCGAATTCTTTGAAATGGTCATAATTATACTTCCTGTATGTTGCGTGTCCCAATTGGCGTAAATTCAGAGCAAAGATAATATAGTCTCCCGTGCGTTTTAACATCAGACTGTTTTTCTGCGGACGAATTTTCAAAGTGTCTGTTTGGTTTTGGCACCCCTAAATTGCCTTTTATTTCTGGTTATATTTGCGCCAGTTCTAACGCTCAGAAAGATTCGCATGAATTATTGTCATGCCCTAATATAATTGAAAGTTGTACTTCCTTTTTTCATTCGATGTGTAATTCTCTACAGTTCTACACTGTAAAAAAGTTGGGCAAAATGGGTTGATAATTCGACCAGTGCTGCCTACACCTTTGGGCAAATTCTTCCCAACAGTTTTTAGACAGTTTTTACCCAATTCAACTCAATATGAAGTAATTTCATACCAATGTCGGGTAAATTACATTGCCCAACAGTATTTTACCCAACCTTTTTACAGTGTAGTCAAGTTGTTCAAATCGCGCTACAGAAGACAAACCGATATCTGCTAAATTCCCCTTATAATTTTTTTTTCTCTCAGTCAGTAGCATCGACTGTAAATAAAGTTAAATTTGTGTAGTTTGAGAATCATCCAGCTGACGGTAGAATTAAATCTACGTGAGGTTTACTGTTAAATTAACTCCCTTACTTACTGTTAAGTTAACATTAACAACTGATCGTAGAATGTGTTTCTGCTTACAATTTTGTTTTTATTCTCTTCATAACCACTCTTCCGTGTATCCAACTGCTGTCGGAAAACAATACTATCGTTTTCCTCTTTAAACTAACGAAACCCCTTTTTGAAGAGTATAAGTTAACCTCCAGTCAGTGATTTCGACTGAACTGACCATGGTAATTAGTTAAACTTGATAGCTTCTTATAACAAAATGTGGGTTTTTTTTCAAGCCTTGACGTCACCATTTGCTGAGAAAGTTACCCAGAAATCTTGATAGTTTCTATTTTTTTGTCCTCATTCCTTTCTTAAAATGCAGGACGTTGTTTAACATGGAGGTCATGTTTCGGAAATTTCTGCAAAAAGGGAAGCCACACTGTCGCAGGTGATACCGACTATTCGATGACGAATAATCGAAATACTGAATTGCAGACACCGTTACAACATGACACAGAAACAAGAGTCGATTCAGATTTGTCGAAAGCGAGGGAACCGAATAGCCAGACCCTGCACGCACCAGGCTGCAGCGTCTGGATCGACTTGGCAGACACAGGGTTTCAAGAGGATGAACACTCACTGCCAGCTGCATCTACAGGTGAAGAGCATCAACCAGACGGCAGTTTCATGACAAGAAATTCTTTACAGTCACGCGAAGCACGAAAAGGCCTCCTTGAAATTTGGGAAGCCGCCGATCATCCGCCATTCCCTCCTTCTGATGAAAAACAAGAAGGAGAAACGGTAATTACGCCCCAAGAAAGACTTTTGGGGAGAGAGATTCCTGGCAAAAGGCATGCTGGGATATCTGCTACAGACGTTCACAGGAACCAAACGAAAACAACGCCCTCTTGCTTGCCATTACCTTTACCGCTGCTGTGCACCACAAACATTCGAACTGTAGTCGCAGACGTACACGACCCTTATATGGATGACACGCCGGTCACATTTAACGGAACTGACATTTAGTATGGGTTGGATAATGACCGGTTATGTAATACGCCAGTTGCCTCTGTGCTATAATATTTATGGAGCTGGCTCAGCAGAAAAGAGGTATACAATAGTGTTTGCAGGTGGATAGTCGATATTGTTATGGGCTCGGTGCACGAACAACAGAGGGCGTTTTGACCACTTTCGAGATCCCCGGCCATAGACGGGACACACCGTGTCCGTGACCACAAGAAGATGCCTGTTTCTGAGGTGCATAAGTTCGCAGGTAATTGCACGCATGCATTGCGCGCGCGTGCATTTCCGCAAGTTGTACAAAGTATATTGGACAAGGCATGCGTACTGGGCATGCGCAAAGGTGTTGGAACGCGATTCACTAAATATGTATGTAAGCCACATGGACCACATTGGGGTCAACACACCTTGGGTCAGACAAATGAACAAACCACTACTTAGTCTATAAATTGTACTGAACTAGAAAATCTTTAATTTGAAAACTTGGACGGAACTCTAGATCAAAAATCTATAACACCAGCGCTGATGATGATAATCAAGAAAAACTTTAAGTAGGCCTACATGTAAATGTTTAGGTCAACGATGACACTTTATGAATAAACAACCATTTATCTTTCTGACAAAAACAAAATACCGGTATACAGACAATATTAGGGCCCTAAATATATTCTAACAAGGATATTTGAGACTCTTGATGTCACTCTAAGGCTATCAAGTCCCAATCCAAAAATGTTGATTGACTAGTCAGTTCAGTTCTCTTCACTTCGTGGAGTTCCGGCGAAACCACAGTTCAACGTCACTGTATACGCTACACAGTAAACGGTTCCTTCACAAGATCCCTCCTGCTTGGAGATAGACTGTTGTGAGGGATGCTCCCACGGTAGTTCACCTTATGCAGACAGCATACATGTACATGTAATTCCTGTCCTTGTGAAGATTGTAACATGTGTAAACTCACATGTGGCCAGTCCAGTCACCAACGGCTTGATCCACTCAAGATGTGGAGCAGAGTTCCAGACTGTGACTGTCCAGGCAGCAAAAATACGGATCAATGTTAATCCCCAAAATATCAGGGTACACCTGAGAGTAAAAGAAAGGCAAAATATGTACCTTTAACAAAAGGCTTGTGTCTCTACACAAAGCAATTTATCTTAGGGGGTCAAAGCAGACGGTAGATCAAATAATCCACCCAACTTCTAGCATCAATACACTTTAAACTTGTTCAATTTGTAACACAACTCAACATGTCACTTAATTTGAATCATCCCAGTATGTGAGGTTTCATTAATACGGAAAGGTATATTGGTCACAAGATCAATTATTTCTTCTAGATGCATTAAAACTGGCTCCCGATTTAAACAATTCACATTTGTTTCTGTAACGTTAATTTCAACATCAATTATCAACACAACTTATCATCAAAAATCACCCCAAATGTTATAATCATCCCATTATCCTTCACTTATTCTCACCTGAGAGCCACAAGCTGTAGGATTTCAATCAATGTCAAACTAACAGTTGACTTTTAGCAAGAATCTTGGCATTTCACTGCGGGAATTTCGCCAAAACATGTGCGAACATGGCGCCTTCCATGGTTACAGTACACGCGCGTCTCATAACCGCTTGAGGGCGCACTTCAGCGTACCGCACGGGCTACATGTAGACTTCTGTTACATGATAAATCATTTGTTTAGGAAAAACTAGCTATAATTAACATAAATGATATTGTAGCTGGAACATGTAATGATCATCTATCTATTCATGACATGTATATAGCACTGTTAATTCGGCTTCTGGTAGGTCGACCAGATGCATAAAAAGACTTCCAGCTAATTATTTGCCATTCAGAATCAGTGGAAATTAATAGTTTGCACTCTAGTATAGGGCTACCTTTAGTTGACTTGCCTTTAGTGACTTATCTGTGATTAAAGTAATGCTACTGAGCTAATGACCTGTTCTTGCCACGCATGTGAGTTTAAATTTACATTAGATACAAAGTGCATGGTCACGTCTCAAGCGACACCATGACTGCAGAAATAGCCTTGCGACAATACATTCAGTTGCATGCACTGGTGTAGCATGTGCTCGTGTTCAGTGTGTAAACAGTGCTGGCGAAGAATGCATGGTAAAATGTGTATAATGATTTGTATGTGCTTGCTTGTCTGAATATAGCATTTGAAGCACAGTCATGCATGAGATACATTAACTTCACAATAATATGGACATCTGTAGTAAACAATCGCATTATAATAATTTCTCGAATTCATAATAGGCCGGTCCTGAATGCCCCAATCTCGACGCACGTGGGAAAACAACGCGTGCACATCTCCAATAAATGCCACAAAGCTAGCTATGCGCATGCATCACTGCACTATGCATGCACACTGCATGTTCCAGCCGGCGTCATACGCGCGTGAACACTTCAAACTTTTTGTGTATGCGTGTCGGGCAATTAACCTATCGTCAGTGGTAGAATTGCGTTACAACTGAGTCAACGCAGCTTGGGAAAAATTGTCCAATTACATGATAGAGAAATGGACGCGGAACGCGCAAAATCTGAGATAACGTAGTGTACGAAAACTCCATAGGGTTGTCTATTAAGGGGCGTGGCCTCTCGCAAACGGCGATAGGTCAAAACTCAAGGTTGTGACTGGTCCAGATGTACAAATATTGACTGTTTTAACGTGTGGTATAGTAAAACTAGTCTCCCGAGGTGATCCATGGAGTGTTTTTGTAATAGAATGCTCCACGGATTAGCGAGGGAGGCCAGCCTACCACGAGTTAAAGCAGTTTATATTTGTTTTACAACACCTCACCCGCAGATTCTGCTTGATTTTAAGAGACAACTAATTAATTTAATCTTAACACAATTAAAATGTATTTCTATTTCAATACGAAATTAGTGGCAAATTTACTTGAACTTTTCCAAATCACTCCACGAAAGTATGTCTCGTTCTCGGCCAATCAAGATACAGAATCTGTGGGTGACGTGCTAGAATAAAAACTGTAATAAATGATGAATAATCATAATATTAAGCTTCCATATTCATGTGTGAACTGTTCACAATTAGTTATTCTACTTTTACATTGATAGATATTGATTGGAGTGTGACTTGTGTTCAGAGCTGAGAAGACATTAAACAGAATCAATCGGCTGGCTTTCGATGGTTGAGTTAATGAAGTGATTTTTTGTCGTTTTGTTTGTTTCAAAATGGAGGGATGAATCGAAAATGACCTTTTATTACGCTAGCGCTGCCATTTCTACCCGAAGCCGCTAATATCAACCACAATATCCATCTCTGCCCTCTCAGGTACCCTTTTACCCCTGGGTGGAGAGAAACAATGAGTGACTTGAAGTGCCTTGCCCAAAGGGCACACGAACCACTTAGCCCCAGGCTGGACTCGAACTCACAACCTGCAGAATTACCCGCAGACCGTGACCATGAACTCGACGCTCCATATACAACGAGGCCACGGCACTATCCTCACGGGCTGTACCTTTAAACTTGGCCTGGGTTGGGTCCGAGACACGGGCCGTTGGTTTCCTAAAAGCCCCTGTCACATAGTGCCGTTCTGGCATCCCTATGGTGTCAAGACCACGTAAATTGGCAAAACTGGGCGAGGACTTGACGGCAACTGATCTATGAAAGGGGAGCTCGTGCTGGGGACTTGTGGGGGACTGCATATAGGTCGTGGTATACACTGCAAGGTCCAAACCAGTGGCGTAGCCAGGAATTTTCCGGGGGGGGGGGGCGCTGGGGGTGCTGGGGGGCTGGAACATTTCATGGGGGGCGTCATGCAGATCAATGATAATTTTTTTAAGAAACTCAAAATATCAGTGGGGGGGGGGGGGGGCGACTGGGGGGTGGCGACAAGATTTCATGGAAGGGGCTGTGGCACCCCCACGCCCCCCTTCCCCCGTGGCTACGCCACTGCAAGTACAATGTACTGGATTAAAACTTATACAGGAGATTTGGCTCCGTGGATAACGGGTCACGGTGATACTCAGGTACGGAGCTTGCCAAAAAAGTGGTCCGGCGACGTGGTTTTTCCCTGAATTTCTTGTTTTTTTTCTCTTCAATTGTCGGCTGATAAGTTGCCGATGACGCTTCGATCCCCCATTGATCATCTTAAAACTCTCAAAAAATATCCTTCAACGAGGTTGGAGCTTGAGGTGACTTAAGTATAGCCTTTCGGCAAGACCACCAGGGCTTTGAACGGCGAAGCTTTAAAAATTCATAATTGTTTTGTTTTGTTTTCAGGCGGCCTCCATAAGGGAAGCGGTTGGGGACGCTTAACATGTTTTTTTAATTATTTTATTTGGCCTAATAAAACAAAGATCATCAACGTTTGTGTGGGTTTTTTTTTTTTGAAGAATGCGTTAACCTCACAACCAGTTTCCCAAAACTTTGACAGAGTAATAAGGGGCACAATATCATCCTACGCCCACAGACCTCCCTTCAATCACAGAGCAATTAACGGACACACTGCTCTGTGGCTCTGTGCTTCTGTGGAGAAACATCACCAAACTCGACAAAAAGTGATATTTTTTATTGCATCTTCCATAATCATTTTAGATGTAACTTTCCACAGTTTGATCTGGAATGAAAACAATCCTCGGAAAGAGTTCCATACCTGGACATCAGTTGACATCCTGTGCACAAACCCTATACTGTATGAGACTGGTCTGAACAATTCCAAATGCTACAATATTTTCCCTACATTTAGGGCATATCATCACTTTCGGATGACCGATAGGTCACTGCACGGAATTTTCTTTTGTGATGTCCATGTATGGAATTTTCCTAAATCATCGACAAAACAGCAAGGGATTCTGCATACTCATTAACCCTAACCGAACCCAACCCATCAAAGTTGAACAACAGGTTTTGTTGAAATCTGTTGGGACAGTACCCCTAAACTGATGGTCTTTTACACTGGGGTTGGCATACCTATTTCCAACAGTGTGGGTGGGTGGGTGTGTGTGTGTGTGGGTGAGTTTGAGCTTGTCTTATATACGCAGTGTGGACTTCCGAACAAAAGACGTCCACATAATGTAGGTAGCACCGACGAAGTGTGGACTTGCCCACGTCCACACAGTGTTTCCCCATTTCTGGAAAACAGGTTTAGAGGCATTTTTGGGTTAGGTTTATCTGTAGCAGAATAAAGAGAAACACTAAAGGGAATCATTGAAAAACTAGAGGTTGTGGTTGTGAACAACCACAGAGCTGTTCCCAGTTTTGATTCTCTATTGGACCATAAACAAAATGATTTAATGATTAACAAAAAAATGAAAGTAATAAATTGAAATTATTACTTTTAAAGATTCCACTTCCGGTACAACCTTTTAAATATTCATGACGTCATGACATGACAATAATTATGTGCACATTAATAATAATGCAAGAAAATTATCTGTCAATATAGCTTTGTATTAATGTGAAGTTTCAACCTAATCAGATTAATAATTCATGAAATATGATTCAGGGGTCTAAAATTACCACTTCCGGTTAAACCAGAAGTGAAGGTCACATGACCTTGACATATCAATTTTCATCTATAACACATCCCTGTCTGTATACCTACTACATTTGAGATCAATCGGTCAAATAGTTCTATAGTTATAAGACTGTAAAGAGTGTCTCATTAAATATTCATGACGTCATAACATGACAATTTATGTGCACAGTAATAATAATGCAAATAATTATCTGTCAATATAGCTTTGTATTAATGTGAAGTTTCAACCTGATCAGATTAATAATTCATGAAATATGATATAGGGGCCTAAAATGACCACTTCCGGTAAAACCGGAAGTGAAGGTCACGTGACCTTGACATATCAATTGTCATCTATAACACTTCCCTGTCTGTATAACCTACCAAATTTGAGATCAATCGGTCAAATAGTTCTATAGTTATAAGGCTGTAAAAATTGAATCTATAAATAGATGTCACGTGACCCCTGATGACGTCACGATGACAACAAGTTTCGGCATACATCTTCAGATGATGGTTAATGACTATGCTGAGTTTAAAGTTGATCGGATTTAAAATAGTTCCCAAAGTGTCTTGTAGAATAAAAACGTGTGATATTTTTATTGAAATTGCATAAGTGTCCAACTTCCCCTAAAGCAGAACAAAAATCACTGAGACAAGTCTACTGATTGGCGAATGGGGGCGCCATTCACTTTATATGGTGTGCCGTTATATTTTTTTGGTGACGCGCAGCTGTCTTTATTTTGATCCCGTAAAAGTGTTCAGGCACAGCCTAGCCTGCGCGCCCGTACAACCGTTAAAGTTATGTACTGCCCTCTTTTGGCGAGAATGAAGGGACGTAATGTACATTGAACGACGTTTCAAAGCCACGTGTACGTGCTATACAATTGTGCATGGTTTAAAGCTCTCTACCGCAACTTGGGCAAGGGTATTTTTTGCCGACGTCGCGTCAACTGTGTGAACAATTTGACAAGCTGGGAACTTGGCACTGTTGAGGCAAATGTTTACGCTATCATTTAATGGGCAATTCAAGATTATATCTGTACGGATTGATTTTTCAGGAATTTTCTAAGGAAAAAAGGTCTTTTCATTATAACTTCCGTTCTGATGACGTCATACACCTTAAACTTCGCACACGTCTTAAGTGGGTCAAGGTCATCATGTACACCAATATTTAGGCGATTCTGACAAACTTCGCCACAGACATCTATTCAAAATACATTTTTGCTAATTTTCAACCTGTCGCTAGAGGGCGCTCGAAGATTGCATGACGTCATTGGTAGATGATTCGAAGAATACTTTTAGCCAAAAGACTAACACCGTTAAAAGCAAGTTCATATCTATTATCATTTTCAAATAATAAGCCACTTCCGGTTTTGGCCTTTTTCGACCGGAAGCAAGGGTCACGTGATTTCACGCACACTGAATGAAATAAAGACCTCAACCTACTCTACCACTTGCCGGCAACAGAATGCTGCGGACGCGTACGGTTGATTTCTTATACATTTTTAAATATTAAATGTGTCACAATTTAATTGCCTATAAATAAACACCGGATGACGTCATCATGACGTCATCATTACACAATGTTGTTTGAATTAGGGTCTTTGCTTGGACAAAGATTGGTGTAAATGAATTACTGGCAAAGAGTTCAAAATGCCCTCTGAAAATCGGCATTTTTTTAAAAATTTCTGTGTACAAAGTCTATGGGAAAAATTAAATATTCAAAATTCAATAATAAATCACGTGATGACGTCAGCATGACGAAAAGTTGCGGCATACATCCTCAGATGATGGTTAATAACTATGCTGAGTTTAAAGTTGATCAGATTTAAAATAATTGCCAAAGTGGCTTGTAGAATAAATACGTGTACAAAACCTATGGGGAAAAGTGGAAAAAGAAAAAAAAAGAAAACTAGAACTATGTGGTTGTGAGTGAACAACCACAGAGCTGTTCCCAACATGTTTTTGATTGTCTATTGCAGAGTACAAAATGATTCAATGATTTGTTCTAAACAAATGTTACATATTAAATTGAAATTATAATATGAATCGGTGATGGACTTGTTCGGGACACATTTTCCGAAGAGAAGCTGGTTGGGTTCTGAAAACATAAAATTGAAAACATATTTTTGGGAACAGGTCTGTTTGTACGAGATATAGACATATAAGTAGAGATCTATGTCTGTTTGCAACAGAAGATAGGGCTTTTCCGCATTATGATATGTTGTCATCAATAATACGTCCCTGACTATGCATGAACATAAAATCTGTCAAAGCTAGCCGGAAATCGGCTAAAACGGTCACTGTGGACAGGATTTGACCTCAGCAACACCTGCGCTGCGCGCGGGCTGACTGACATACGATATGTACAACGTACGTGCATGTACATGTACATGTACATTGTGGACGTCCTGTGCATGTTTTCAAGCAGAGGTATTGTCAACCTGAAGTTTTAAGCGTGCGCAGGGCATGTCCGAGTTTGCTTATTGCCTCGAAGCTTTGAAATGTTTTAGACCTATCCTTCAATAGACAATTAAAGTAAAAACCAATATAAAAACTGCCATGGTTGTTTTTTCAGGAATTTTCTAAGAAAAAAGGGTCTTTTCATTATAACTTCCGGTCTGATGACGTCATACACCTAAAACTTCGCACACGTCTTAAGTCGGTCAAGGTCATCATATACACCACTATTTAGGCAATTCCAACAAACTTCGCCACAGACATCTGTTCAAAATACATTTTTGCAAATTTACAACCTGTCGCTAGAGGGCGCTCGAAGATTGCATGACGTCAACGGTAAATGATTTGAATAATACTATCAGCCAAGAGACTAACACCGTTAAAAGCAAGTTCATATCTACTACCACTTTCAAATAATAAGCCACTTCCGGTTTTGGCCTTTTTCGACCGGAAGCAAGGGTCACGTGATTTCACGCACACTGAATGAAATAAAGACCTCAACCTACTCTACCACTTGCCGGCAACAAAATGCTGCGGACGCGTACGGTTGATTTCTTATGCATTTTTAAATATTAAAAGTGTCACAATTTAATTGCCTATATAATAAACACCGGATGACGTCATCATGATGTCATCATTATACAATGTTGTTTGATAGGGGGTCTTCGCTTGGACAAAGATTGGTGTAAATGAATAACTGGCAAAGAGTCGAAAATGCCCCCTGAAAATTGACATTTTTTTAAAAAAATCTGTGTACAAAGTCTATGGGAAAAATTAAATATTCAAAATTCTATAATAAATCACGTGATGACGTCAGCATGATGAAAAGTTTTGGCACACATCCTCAGATGATGATTAATAACTATGCTGAGTTTAAAGTTGATCGGATTTAAAATAATTGCCAAAGTGGCTTGTAGAATAAAAACGTGTACAAAACCTATGGGCAAAGTGGAAAAAGAAAAAAAAAAAAAAAAAAAAAAAAAAAAAAAAAAGGAAAAAAAAAAACTTTAACGAAAACAATAGCTGTTCCCAATTGAAATTGGGAACAGCTAAAAAAAAAAAAGGAAAAAAAAAAACTTTAACGAAAACAATAGCTGTTCCCAATTGAAATTGGGAACAGCTAAAAATTGGGTTGTAAGAGTTTTCACAGTTTGAGAAAAATGAGTTTTTCCACTGGTGTTCCTTAACTACACGAAAAGAAAGGAAAGTCCACACTAGGTATGTGAAACAAGTCTGGGTGTGTTACATACCCTATGTGAGCTTGTCTTACATACGCAGTGTGGACTTCCGAACAAAAGACGTCCACATAATGTAGGTAGCACCGACGTTGTGTGGACTTGCCCACGTCCACACAGTGTTTCCCCATTTCTGGAAAACAGGTTTAGAGGCATTTTTGGGTTAGGTTAATCGGTAGCAGAATGAAGAGAAACACTAAAGGGAATCATAGAAAAAAAATTGGGTTGAAAGAGTTTTCACAGTTTGAGAAAAATAAGTTTTTTCACTGGTTTTTCTTAACTACACGAAAGCAATGGAAAGTCCACACTAGTCATGTGAAACAAGTCTGTGTGTGTGCGTGTGTGTACAATTTCCCATGTGGGTGTTGGAATTTGCCAGAATGGGTATGGTTCTTAGTAAGGGGAGTCAGGTTGGCATAGTGGTACTTTCTTCACCTTCCACCGCAGCTGTGACCCGGGTTCGAATCCCGCCTGTGCCAACATGTGGATTGGGTTTTCAGTCCCTGCCTGATTCCATGGGTTTTCCCCAGAATATTCTTCTGGGCTTTTCCTCCCACCTCTAAAACTGTAACTTCTTCTCATTGCCTTCTCTCCACAGGTTGCTTCAGGCTTGCGAGCTACAGTGCCTAGGGCGCTTTTGAGGAATCCTTGGTTTCATTACCAGAAATGATTAATAATAATAACTTAGGCTGGGGAGTTAGGGGTTAAGAAATACAAATGTTCTGACCTCTACTGGACAAACTACTAAACATGTTGCAAAGCAATCCCCGAGCACATGACATTGGTCTTATGAAAATTTAAATTTTCAAAAACCAGGAGCCAATTGCATAGAACCGTTGGGCAAACTGCAAATTGTGGTGAGATTGAAGATCCACTCATATCTATTTTCTATTTAAATCCCAAGTAAAGTAGACTAGTAGGTGCGTTTTCGAAACGACTGGCTTCGGCTTCGGCTTCGTCTTCGGCTTAAGGAGATTTTAGGCCCCCAACTTCTGGAACTCCAGCTACATTTTGGTGCCTGTTATGCTTCAGGAACATTCAATCGGTTGATGTGAAGCCAAAAATGGAATATTTTTGTTTAGTTTGCCTCTCAGTGATTCAGAAGTTGGAGGTAAAGCCGAAGCCGAAGCCGAAGCAAAGATTTCGAAAACCCCCCTAGAACAGCAAAAATAACTTCCTACTCATTAGACTGCGTTCAAATAAACAGTTTAAGCATTCAGGCAGCATTTTTTCTCAAGTATACTGTTAAATTGTCAGCTACAATTAAAGTACACATGTTCATAGATCAGATTATTTGTGATCACATGAATAAGTTGAAAAAAAAAGAAGCTTTATTTACATGTCTTGAATATGAATGATTTGCCACCTGCGTGAACCATGGCATGTCTTTTTAGACTGCCTTGCCGAAAATAAGCTTTACCACAGGTGGCACAAACGAAGGGTTTCTCGCCAGTGTGAACCACAACATGTCGACGCAGTTCTTTTTGCTCAGCAAAGGCTTTACTGCATGTCTCACAAACAAATGGTTTCTCATGAATTCTCTGATGTGGTTGAAGATATGATTGATGGGTAAAAGCTTTGCCACAAGTTGCACAAACGAATGGCTTCTCCCCGTTGTGAATCCTGTTATGACTTTTTAGATAAGTAAAGAATATTTTTTTAAAGAATAATTCCCAAAACTTTGACAAATTAATAAGGGGCACATTATCATCCTACGCCCACAGACCTCCCTCCAATCATAGAACAATTAAGGGACAAACTTGTCTGTGCTTCAATGGAAAAACATCACCAAACTCGACAAAAACTGTTTAAGATATCTTTTTATTGAATCTTGCATATCATTCTAGATCATAGATGTAACTTTCCACAGTTTGATCTGGAATGAAAACAATCCTCGGAAAGAGTTCCAGACCTGGACATCAGTTGACATCCTGTGCACAAGCCCTATGAGACTGGTCTGAACAATTCCAAATGCTTCAATATTTTCCCTACATTTAGGGCATTTCGGATGACTTTCGGTCACTGCACAGAATTTTCTTTAGTGATGTCCATGTATGGAATTTTCCTAAATCATCGACAAAATAGCAAGGGATTCTGCATACTCATTAACCCTAACCGAACTCAACCCATCAAAGTTCAACAACAGGTTTTGTTTAAATCTGTTGGGACAGCACCCCTAAACTGATGGTCTTTTACACTGGGGTTGGCATACCTAAGTCCAACAGTGTGTGTGTGTGTGTGTGTGTGTACAATTTCCCATGTGGGTGTTGGAATTTGCCAGAATGGGTATGGTTCCTAGTAAGGGGAGTCAGGTTGGCGTAGTGGTACTTTCCTCACCTCCACCACTGTGACCCGGGTTCGAATCCCGCCTGTGCCAACATGTGGATTGGGTTTTCAGTCCCTGCCTGATTCCATGGGTTTTCCCCAGAATATTCTTCTGGGCTTTTCCTCCCACCTCTAAACTGTAACTCTTCTCATTGCCTTCTCTCCACAGGTTTCTTCAGGCTTGCGAGCTACAGTGCCTAGGGCGCTTTTGAGGAATCCTTGGTTTCATTACCAGAAATGATTAATAATAATAATAATAATAATAACTTAGGCTGGGAAGTTAGGGGTTAAGAAATACAAATGTTCTGACCTCTACTGGACAAACTACTAAACATGTTGCAAAGCAATCCCCGAGCACATGACATTGGTCTTATGAATATTTAAATTTTCAAAAACCAAGGGGCCCATTGCATAGAACCGTAGGGCAAACTGCATATTGTGGTGAGATTGAAGATCCACTCACATCTATTTTCTATTTAAATCCCAAGTAAAGTAGACTAGGAGCGTTTTCGAAACGACTGGCTTCGGCTTAAGGAGATTTTAGGCCCCCAACTTCTGGAACTCCAGCTACATTTTGGTGCCTGTTATGCTTCAGGAACATATTCAATCGGTTGATGTGAAGCCATAAGTTGGAATATTTTTGTGTAGTTTGCCTCTCAGTGATTAAGAAGTCGAAGGCAAAGCCGAAGACGAAGCAAAGATTTAGAAAAACCCCTAGAACAGCAAAAATAACTTCCTGCTCATTAGACTGCGTTCAAATAAACAGTTTAAGCATTCAGGCAGCATTTTTTCTCAAGTATACTGTTAAATTGTCAGCTACAATTAAAGTACACATGTTCATGGATCAGATTATTTGTGATCACATGAATAAGTTGAAAAAAAGAGCTTTATTTACATGTCTTGAATATGAATGATTTGCCACCTGCGTGAACCTTGGCATGTCTTTTAAGACTGCCTTGCCGAAAATAAGCTTTACCACAGGTGGAACAAACGAATGGTTTCTCGCCAGTGTGAACCACAACATGTCGACGCAGTTCTTTTTGCTCAGCAAAGGCTTTACTGCATGTCTCACAAACAAATGGTTTCTCATGAATTCTCTGATGTGGTTGAAGATATGATTGATGGGTAAAAGCTTTGCCACAAGTTGCACAAACGAATGGCTTCTCCCCGGTGTGAATCCTGTTATGAGTTTTTAGATAAGTTTTTTGGGTAAAACCTTTACCACAGGTCTCACAACGGAACGGTTTCTCACCAGTGTGCACCTTGACATGTTGGTGTAGACGACACTGTCGATTAAAAGCTTTACCACCACAGGTCTCACAAAGGAATCGTCTCTCACCAGTGTGAATCCCCTCATGATAATCTAGACTTTTTTGATAAGTGAAGGCTTTACTACAGATCTCACAAACAAATGGTTTCTCACGAGTGTGCACCCTATTGTGTTGGTCAAGATTGCCTCGTTGACTAAAGGCTTTTCCACAGGTCTGACAAACGTATGGTTTCTCATTAGTGTGCACTCTCTTATGTTGGCGTAGGCCAAACTTTCGAGTGAAAGCTTTACCACAGATCTCACAGACGAATGGTTTTTCACCCGTGTGAATCCTGTCATGTCTGTTCAGACCGTTTTGCGATGCAAAAGTTTTACCACAGGTGACACAAACAAATAGTTTCTGACCAGTGTGAACCCAGCCATGTCTGTTTAGACTTTGTCGGTGAGCATAAGCTTTACCACAGGTCACACAAACACATGGTTTTTCACCAGTGTGAACCACGCCATGTCGACACAGATCTTTTTCCCGAACAAAGGCTTTATTGCAAGTCTCACAAACAAATGGTTTCTCACCAGTATGAATCTTCTGATGTTGTTGAAGATTACTTTTGCGCGTAAAAGCTTTACCACAAGTTGCACAAAAGAATGGTTTCTCCATAGTGTGAATCCTGTTATGAATGTTTAGACAAGACTGTCGATTAAAAGCTTTACCACAGGTCTCACAAACGAATTGTCTCTTACCAGTGTGAATCCTCTCATGATAATCTAGACCTTTTTGATTAGTGAAGGCTTTACTACAGGTCTGACAAACGTATGGTTTCTCATTAGTGTGCACTCTCTCATGTTGGCGTAGACCAAACTTTCGAGTAAACGCTTTACCACAGATCTCACAAACGAATGGTTTCTCATCACCCGTGTGAATCCTGTCATGTCTGTTCAGACCTAGTTGTGATGTAAAAGTTTTACCACAGGTGATACGAACACGTAGGTTCTGTCCAGTGTGAATCCTGCGATGACTGTTTAGACTTTTTTGGTGAGCATAAGCTTTACCACAGGTCACACAAACAAATGGTTTTTCACCAGTGTGAACCCTGTAATGCCCTTTTAAATCAGTTTGCCTATTAAAAGTTTTACCACATAATGAACAAATGAATGATCCGAGTTCACCAGTGTGAATCCTCTCATGAGTACGTAGATTACTTTGATAAGTGAAGGCTTTTCCACACCAGTCGCAATAGAATGGTGTTCCACCAGTGTGCACCCTGTCATGTCTGCGTACATCCCTTCGCCGTGTAAAGGCTCTACCACATTTTTCACAAACAAATGGCTGCTGCCCAGCGTGCACCATCTTATGATAGCGGAGTACGTTTCTGAGAAAAGGCCTTTCCACAGGACCTCGGAGGTACCAGTATGTTGATGCAGAGTACACTTCTGAGAAACGCCTTCACCAAAGGTTACACTAACAAACATCTAGGTTTCTCTCCTGTGTGTGACCCTTCAAGGTTTTGTAGCCCATTTGCCCAGTAAAAGCTTTAACGCAGGTAGGTTGCACGAATAATTGCTTCTCCGTCACGTGCATCGTTATGTGCTAGCACATCAATGATCAAGTATCCTGTCAAATAGAGATTCCTCACTAGTTTGAATGCTGTTGTGCTGTTGAAGACGACTGCACTAAGTTTTTGTGAACCAAAGGCTTTATCACAGGTCATCCATACAAAGGGTCTGTTCCCTGTGTGTATGATTGCTCTGGTCCTGTTCAAAAGTGCTTATCTTTACGGCCAAGTGAAATACTGCATGGAATCCTGCGACTATCTGTCCGACTGAGGAAGCATCATCTCCGGGATTTGATGTTACCCTCCCCTTCATTGATCCGAACCTCTTCAGATCAGACAGGGCTCTGCTGTGAGTGTTGTCACCTGTAGACTGTGCTGTAAATAGAAAATAAAACATACAGAGTTTACTGCAAGCCTCACAATGCTGCTTTACCATGTATTTGGATCCCGTCTACAACTCAGTCGGTGTGAACTGTTGCATGCTCTAACCATTCCAACTCCATCAAAATCCATCCCCCCACTCCCATGGGGGGAATTTGGTAGGCAAGCAATGAGTACCAACTTACCAAGTCAATCAAAATCCACCTACATTGTACAGTAGTGGTGGTCTTGTGGTGGATTGCAGTGGATTGCAGTGGATTGCAGCGGATTTGGTCCTGCAGCATTATTTAAAGCAGGGTCGTGATTGATTTTGGTGGACTTGGTCTACTACATGTACTTATAGTAAAAGCCACTAGGGTGTTAAAGGGTTAAGGCGCCCCTCCCCCCCCCCCCCCAGAAAAATAATTCTGCTTCTGGTTTCCCTACCGAACCCTAATTTTGAAAGCCCCTACTGAGAAAAAACCCCAAGAACATCAATTTTCCCTTTTACCCCTGATTACACGCAGATGCCTCCATATGATCAGACACAAAAACATTGCAAAACAAATTCCCTACCTACATTGTTCCTACCCTATTTCAAAAACCATTCAATCGGAAGCAGAACTCATTTTTTTTTTTGCTTAACCTTAGTAAAGCAAAGTCATGAAAGTACATGCTCACACAGCTGGCGGCAAGTTACGAGGTCACCGGCCTCCCCCCCCCCCTCTAAAAAGTTGCAGAGGAAAAGAGGGGGGGGGGGGGTTCTCGTGCCTGTTAAAATCCTACAATCAGGAACACTATATTAACTAAAAGGTACAAATGCACCCTTCTCATTTAAGGGAAACCGTTCCCATGTACGTCAAATTTGTACATTTTGCTAGTGCATTTTTTTTAATGGATTTTTTTTGGGGGGGGGTAGATAAAATTTTGGGAAGGCTACCCCCCCCCCCCCCCCACCTGCCCACCCCCGTAGAACTGCCACTGCCATCAGGCCCAGCTGCCGAGAGGATTCTGTTCTTGGTAAGACAGAGTTGGATGACAGCTAAAGAGTATTGATTCTGAATCTGATTGGCAATGATTGGCTGATACTACTGATATAACATTGGCTCATTCAGTTTTTGCATGCCTCGTCTTTCGCTCAGTTAGCTGGCAGAATTCCCCTAATATTATTTAATTTTAATAACAGCTAAACATGTAAAATGCATGCGGCCATTGCCCCCCCCCCCCAACATGCTAAAAAAAATTACAATTTTCTGTGCTATTTATGTATATTTGTATGCACATGTTCTGTCAAATTTAGCCGAAATTCGGCTAGAACTGATCTCAGCTAGCGCAGCATAGCCTAAACCGCAGATTATGCAGGCACAACGCAGATTTTATTTTAATGTCACAGTCACCCATACAATACAGCTCTATGCAGTCACCATGAATATGATGAACATGAATAGTGGCCGGCTATGCACTAATCTAATGCAGTCATCAGGTTAAAACTAGGCGCAATGGGCTGGCCTAAACCATCATTTCCTATCAAAACAAAGTCAGGAATCAAGAGTTTGCATTCAGTCCAATATGAAAGAGCTCCAATCGTATTTACCTGCTGTGTTTGTAGATTCAGTGAAATTCTTCTCAGAGTTGGCTCCGATATCCATTACATGTACAATAAAACAGCGCCCTCTATAGGTTCCAAATTGGTAGGCCGGTTAAAGGGAATTTGCTGCAATTTTCAGAAATGGATTGGCGGGGGGGGGGGGGGGGGGGGGCCTAGTATTACAGTTTTGTGTTCGTAGATGCTGGAAAAACCAACAAAAGCAATCATGTTCCAGGAGTATGGCTACATCCTGCATTGGATGGACAAAACAGACAAGCAAGGCAAGGAATACTCAGAACAATACAAAATCGTGTGTACTTTGCACTTTCATTTTCCCACAATAATTTCACCTCAATTTTGAACGGAAGCACACTTTCTCAGTATTGCTGGTTTTCTTTTTATTACGATCTTCACTGTCAATTTAATAAGGGGTTGATCATTTAATGAGTATAAACACAATTTACACTCACAAAATAATTTACAATGTATAAAAGTTAACTGAAAAAAATTATTAAAAAAAACCCCAAAACAAACAAATTTCAAGATTGCTTTAAATGATATTTAATGCAACTGATGGAGTTTTGTTAACACAGATTTTTGGCCTATTTACTGGGTGAACCTTAAGGTTCCAGACCAGTGCCATAGGCCTCTGTGGTAATTACATGACATGCTTCCCAAAATCATTAAAAATACTCACAACTCTCCAAGGTGTTCAACACATGCATCAAATTAAACTTAATGCATCATCGTTTATTTTCTGTTCAATTTTCGGTGGGTTATACATTTGGGAGTAATTTCAGAAAGATTTCCATATAAGAAGTTCACTAATTTTCCTCTGTATTGACTAACATGCCCCCAGATAGCAATTTCATGTCATCAAAGTCAATTTGAGCAGTGAGAAAATACAAGCATTTTCTTAGAAAACACTTAGAATTTTTCAGTCCAATCTCATAGGGTTTGTACACAGGGTGTTGAGTGAACTTCGTATATGGAAATGTTTCCGTAATTCCCATTCGAAGATGATCACCCCTAAAAATAGTCCTGAAACCCATCGCATTTTGAAAAACGATGTCAAATTGCAAAATATGGTGCTTCTAGTGCTCAATTTCACAGAAAAATACATTAAGCTCACAGCCCTGTGCAGTGCTCTCGCCCTTCTGTTTTACAAACCCTCAAGTTCATGGCCCATAAAGTGCTCTAAAACCAAAGAAATTGAGGGCATGCGAATCGTGAATTGGCTGGTGTAGGCAATTTTGGCCTATTTACTGGTCTGGACCTTTCAAGAGGGGAAATGTTACAATTTGCTCTTTTCACACTTCTGTCATGGGCATGCAGAGCCTTGATCTGGCAGCTTTGCACAATAAATATAGCCGGTTCAGTGATTCCCGTGTCGGGGTTTCAGACCACTGAACCGGCTATTTTTATAGTGAAAAGTTGCCAAATAAGGCTGTGCACGCCAAATAGCGGAGTGTGAAAAGAGCGAATTTTACCCAGATCAATGTGTGCATTTACTATAGGCACAGACAGAGCGCAACCCAGACTTTGGCCAGGTCTAACTTTTGAGATGCTCCCTAATTCACCACTGAAATATTGTAATCCTTTATAATCCTTCAAACTTGTTGTGATACACATGGAATAGAAAACTGGTCTGCCCATCTAGGTCGTAAACATAGAGCTATATTAAATTACTAGAGTGCTAACTCCTCATTCTTGCGCGCGGAGACGCTTTGAAGACGCTCTGGGCACAGACATTTTGAATTTACGTGCGTGTTTGCAGAACACAATCAAAATAGATGGATTGAAATTTCAAATTGTACTCTAAATGCAACGCGCAAGTAGAAGATACGCAAACAACTTAAGCGCATCATGACGGTTCAAAAAACGTCATGGCGAAAAGCATCTGCAGCGGAGGGCTAGGGAATGCACACACGTTGCGCTGTTTGCGTAGAGCAAAATGAAACGCTAATTTGCTGATCATGCGTTTCGGCTTTGGGCGTATCGGCTTCGATAATGCACCGGTATGGAATACAAATGCAGATACGCAAATAGCCATACAAAAGCCGTACAAAATTTCGAGTTTTCCATAGGTTTGTGCACAAGGCATTAGGCATTACTTTGTACATCGAGTTAGTGCTCTAGTAATTTAATATAGCTCTATGGTCGTACATAACTCCATACAATCGGTGAGTTGGGACAGGTAAGGTGCCTTGAGTTTCCCAGTAAAAAAAAAAAAGTATTCAGAGACCTTTTTTAGGAAAAGAATTTGCAAGAGGTAATGACTAATGAAAACAAAACTTCAATGTTGTTGACCTCAATTACACATCTTTGGTCACAAGACCGTTCTACACAGGCTTTCTCACTGGAGGAATCTTTTCATGTCTTTGTTTTTGGGCTCTGTGCGTCGACAAAAGAGGGCGCCCTTTTACCTAGCAACGACGTCCCATGGGCGGGACATTTCATTGGTTGACGCGTACTGTTCCTTGTGTGTGACGCACGTACACACAGGGATTTGTACTATGTACACCGTACACGCAGTGGCCGCACTTCGCGGCAAATGAATTGCAGTCAGGCAAGATGGCGTCGGTCGGTCACCCCCAGCTGTACTCTCTTTGCCGGTGAGGGGGTACTCGTGAACGGAGCGGATAGCAAACTTTGTTAAGGGAAAGCTCTACCACAGGGCGCAGAAATAAAATTTAATGGTTTCTCACCAGCATGTGTGTGTGTAGTTCACTTCGCTGGAAAAAGGCCTTACCACAGGTGGCACAAATATATGGTTTCTCGCCAATATGCATTCTGTCATCATGTGCGCGTAGCTCAAATCGTAAAGAAAAGGCTTTACCACAGGTGGCACAAACAAATGGTTTCTCGCCAGTGTGCACCCTGCCGTGTCGTCGAAGATTACTTTGTTCGGTAAAGGCTTTACCACAGGTTGCACACACGAATGGTTTCTCACCGGTGTGAATCTTGTCATGTTGGCGTAGATAACTTTGGGTTGTAAAGGCTTTACCGCAGGTCTTACAAGCAAATGGCTTCTCACCAGTATGAATCCTGTCATGCTGTTTCAGACTATTTAGTAACGCAAAGGCTTTACCACAAGTTGCACAAACAAATGGTTTCTCACCAGTGTGCACCCTGTCGTGTCTGCGTAGTTTACTTTGCTGACGAAAGGCTTTACCACATGTTGCACAAACAAACGGTTTATCACCCTCGTCAACCCTCTGTTGACAAATCAGCTCATGTTCTTTTGTGTCCATATTTCTGGAGTGCTTATCTCGATGGCCAATTATTCTGAAAACATCCGTCTCTGCAGAATGCTATGGGCTACGAAAGAATGACCACAACGACTGGATGTTACCCTTCAGAAGTCTCTTCGTCATTGATCCAAGTCCTTAGATTCCAGACAGAGCTCTCCCATCACTTGTCACCTGGAGACTGTGTTGAAAACAGAAATACATGTTAATTATATAAAACATACTGCAAGCGTCAAAATGCTGCTTTGTATGCCACGCATTTGGATCCCGTACAATGTCTTGTGTGCACTGAATGCTTTAATGTAAAGCAAAGTGGGCCACTCACCAGCACAGCAGGCGACAGGTTACTAGGCCAGCCCCCCCCCCCCCCCCCCCCCGGAAAAAAAGTGGCCAAAGAAAAGCCTCATAAAGAAATAAAGCTTTCGACAGCACAAAAATGTTCTAAAATTCCTCCAACGGCGCCAGGCCCAGAGGAGTCGAAAATCTTGATTCTGATTGGTTGAAACATCGGCTGTTGTTGTGCATTGACCAATCCAACCATTTCATCCTCATTTGGGAATGAAATGACGTCACGATTTAGTAAAGTGGACTCTGATTGGCTAGTGCGTGGCTTGCATATCTAGACATATCAGATGTTATACAGGAGACTTGGCTCTATGGATAACGGGTGATACTCAGACTAGGAATACATCGGTCTACCAAAAAAACTTTCAGCACGGATACCCATTGCCCTATTTCTTTCCTCTGTGGTACTAGTATCCAAATTGAGCTTGCTACAGATGGTTGCCACCACCTCACCCCAATGGTGAGAAAATTAGTGAAATCCCCTAAAAGCGGAAATGGTTTATTCTACCGCTGCCATGGCTGCACTAGTGCTGCCTCAGTGCTAGCCTTTAGTCAAGTCCCACGCGCTTATACCCGGACCATCCGGACACGTAACGCACCCCAGATGCTCGCACGTAAAAAGACTAGCACGAGCGGCGGAGCCGCGAGGGCCTTTACCATCTCGTGGAGAACGCTTATGTTTTTCTTTACATTTGTCTACCGATTTGGTAGACATGCATAATGCATTACCCGTTGTGAATTGACCAATGAAAATGCAGAATTACTAACGTAAATCAGCCATCGTCTGGCGCCAGACAGCACGTGCTGTAAAGGCCTGTAAAGGCCCTCGCGGCTCTGCCGCTCATGCTAGTCTTTTTACGTGTCAGCATCCGGGTAAGCGTGTGGGACGTGACTAAAGGCTACCTCAGTGCCAGACTGGGATCTTGAGTGCTGAAAAACATGAAAATGAAATCAGGCCACCACTGCACTCTTTGGCTGACATAATCTCCAAACATGTTTAAGACACTGTCCTCATTATTTCATTCACCAGCCAAGATTTTGTCAATATTTTGCACCTGAGAGGGAAGTCAAGTGCTATCAACTTGAGGCCAAAGACTAGATTGGTCCATGTCCAACATAGTCCAACTGTTTTAAAAGACTTACCTCGTCATTAGTTACTTGGTACTTGGTTGGTGGTCCTCCGAAATATTCCATCTAGGGAATTTAAACTGGAGTTATGTGTAGAAATAGAGACCAGTACCAGATGCCTCTGTTTTTGCAAGGTGGATTGATGCACTACAGAAGTGAGGGTTGCTGGACTGGTTTTTCAGGTGTCGGTCTTGTTTTGCTTGTGTCCCCAAAATGCCAAAATTTTCTGCGATTGTGTAGTTTGGAAATCCTTTCCTATGAGAGAACAAAATCAAATGTTATAGTTTCTGTAGCAAATATACTGGGTAAACAAAACACCGATTGTGATAAAATAAAAAACGCAGTGGCTATCGTTACGGCAGCCGTAACGCATTTCCCATTTTCTATCGTTACGGTAGTACTGCAACTTTTATAAAAACACAAGCTGATTTACCCGATCATAGATCGGGTAGGGCGTAGTGTTGGGGATGAAAATGTGGGGAATTAAATGTAAATGGGGGATATAGTTGGGGAGACATGCAGTTATAGAAAAGCAATTTCTGTGGTGTGATCTGAGGCAATTTCTGACCACTAAAATCAAAGATCATCTTTTAAAGTTTTCAGTTTGGAGTAATTGAATCAGCTACATGTATTCTGAGCAAGAATCATTATTGTAGGCTAGAATATTTTTTTTCGGGGAAGAAAAAGTGGGGAGGGGGGGGGGGACACCAAAAAAATGCCCCCGCCTCAAAATGTGTGTGTGTGTGTGTGTGTGGGGGGGGGGGGGGGGGGGGGGGGTTCCCCTGTCCCCCGTCGATTTACGCACATGATAATTATGTACCGTGGCAACTGTCTGTAAATGTTGCCGTTGGTCTGTTAAATTGGCTTTTTGTGAGGCAGTCGAATTTGGAAAACGTAGTGAAAAGGTTACTGTAGACAGGCGAAGGCTGGTTTAAATCATAATGCAATAAAACGTGAAGGTGTCATTTGAAATGAAAATGTTGAGTGTTACCATAAAACTACAAACGGTCTGAATCATGGAGGAAGGTCATAATTAAGTTTCAGTATTGGACTCTTCAACAAACGTAAACTTTAACTTCTAACAATTTGCGAGACCGTCTGCGAGGAAAAAGTTGGTAACTTTTATTGAAGTTGGTACAACCATCTATATAAGAGCAAGTTTTACTCGGCCTCCGAGAAATGTTTGCTCCTGAAAGGATCCGAGACCGCGGCTTCACGTCCGTGAAAAAATGTGGGTGTCTTCCGCCAGGTCGGACACTTTTTCGTCGATTTTTTTGTGACTGCGTTTAAGATCGCGAGTTTGAAGCAATGCATCGATCCTTCGTTGACCCCAAACAGGCCCCCGAAATTATAACACGACACTGAATTATACGTGGCGGGCAGCGAACTCACAACGCTCAGCCTTGGTGGTGGAAGCGCAAGCATGGAGCTGTAAACACATTATGGAAGCAACAGCACTCTATCACGCGACGTCACATGCTTGCGCTTCAAATAACGAGCACCGTAGACCCAACCTCGTTTCCAGGGTGTGGAGCAGTCTGCAGTACGCGTTGCCATCGACAGTTTTGCATAGTTTTGCATAGCCCGGAAATACTACGCAGTGTAGACTTTCGATTGGTCAGACCGCGCAAGGCATACTTAATGTGTAGTCCTTCTGAGTATTCGTTGCACTCGGCGCAGGGGCGGCAAGCGAAGCACATGAAAGAATAGGGGCACTTGGTGGCCACGCACCATGGACAAAAAATATTTTACCAAGGTCACCCCATACCACAATTTGGTGAACGCTTTTGCAGAACGGCCGAGTAGAACACGTAAACGGAACCCCTACGTCGAAGCCGCTGACCTCGCACAGTCTAGACACGCAGAAAAGCCAGGACAGGGGGCGGCCAGGCAGTCAACGTGAAAGCACACACGACGGCAAATTCCTGCGCAAAATGCAGTCACGAAAAATAGACGAAAAGGATCGCCGGTCCGTACGGGAAAATCAGGACGACCCAAAGCGTCCGACCCGGCGGAAGACACCCTCCGCATTTTTCCATGGATGTGGAGCGATTTTGGCGCCGCGGGAGCCCGCGGTCTCGGATCCTTTCATGAGCAAACATCGTCTGGGAGGCCGAGTTAAACTCTCTCTTATATATATAGATGAGAAGACAATATAAAATTAGAAGGAAAAAAAGCGAATTTGAACGTAATGAAATTCGGACTTTATTTCCCTTTAAAAAAAATCCTCCAAAGCCTCAGGTTAGAAAAGGAAAACAATTCGAGTGCAAAACTGAGAATCCTACCGTCTATCGACTGAGCTGTTGCACTGCTCGCTAAAACATGGGGAAACAAATAATTATTTACCTGCGTGCGTAAAAAAGTATCGTAGAGGGCGCTAAACAACGGCTGCCGTAACGATAGCCACTTCGAATAAAAAATGGCTTCAGTTTGTTGTGCCCGCTTCACATCAACGCACCATGACTTCACTGCGATGACTGCACGGTGCAAGCTAGCCCCATAAATGTGGCCTATTTACTGGACTGCCTCCGTAAACATAGGCCACACATCCACATGTACAAAAATGTGTCGCTTTTTGCCAAATTTTGATTTTCGCATTTAGGCTTAGTTTGTAGGGTTTTTTTTGCTTTAGAAGCATACTCACCCTCTTTATAGGCTAATCAGAAAGTGCTGCCTTTTTCAGATGTATATTTTTCGTGAAATTTCCAGATTCATTTTTACACGTTTGCGTATCAAAATTTCAACATGAAATTTCACAAAAATTAGACATCTGAAAAAGGCAGCACTTTCTGACTAGCCTATAAAGAGGGTGAGTATGCTTCTAAAGCAAAAAAATCCTACAAACTAAGCCTAAATGTGAAAATCAAAATTTGGCAAAGTGCGACACGTTTTTGTACATGTGGATGTGTGGCCTATGTTTACGGAGGCAGTCCAGTAAATTAGGCCACATTTATGGGGCTAGGTGCAAGCATGCCGGGAAAGCATATATCCTCGAGTCACCATAAATTGACGCAGGTAGCGCTTGCATTTGCAACGCGCGCACGTTGTCCAACGCAAATTGAATGGAGACAGAGTGCGTCAAAACATATCCTCGTCATTTTAGGTGGACTGACGATAACTATAAAACATTGTTAAGTGGAGTTTTGTGCACCTGTAAATGACAATCTCCTCAGTATGGTTACAAACAGAAAGGCCAATTGACAATGATTGAAGTCATGGAAGTTACATGGTTACATCATTTTTGTACATGTTCATGATTGATGCTGTAGTAGCCCCACTAGTGTGGCCGTCGGTATGCTGCGCTGAACCCAAGGCGCAGCATACCGTAACCATACCGACGGCGAATACAGGTCAACTCGTACGCGAACCAACTCGTACGCGACCAACTCGTACGCGGGTCAATTGGTACGCGAACCGACTCGTAAGCGGACCGACTCGTACGCGGACCGACTCGTACGCGGACCGACTCGTACGCGGACCAACTCGTACGCGTGAGTTTAGACGATTGGTTTAGCTCACATGTGGACAGATGAAATTAGGTTCGGTACGGTCCTTGCTCTATGGTACGGTAGGTCGGCATGATTTTACCATTTCTGTTGTTGGTGTTTTTGATGAACAGATCAGATAATTTAATCCTTTAAAACAGTTGATAATTAGACACAAATTAAAGGGGTTTCCTTTTTGAATTTTATGATTTTTTTTTTCTTTCTGTTCGTTGATCTTTGCCATATCCCAATATGAATTTTTTCACTCGCACGCCGGCCTGGTTAAGGAATAGTTTGCCTAGCCCCGGCCGCCGCTGTTTTGACAAGCATATGGTTAGCGGGCTATACCGCTAATTTCGAACCCTGATGTGTTATGTGTTATACCTCCATGGTTATACCAAGCATTTCAGTTGTAAATAGAAATTGCTAGGCCTACGGATGTCCCCGCGTGTCTGCTTTTTAATTGATCAATGGTTGTGAACCACAATGAAAGTTGAGTGACAGGCAGTTGACAAGTCTGATGATCTCTTTTGATCTTCTAAACCCGCCGGTTCTTTTAGGACACCGAACTGCGAGAACAGATCCATGGTAGTCCAGAGCGTTGCAATTGGGTCAGTTTGACAATGGTGACAATTAATTGACTGACAGGTACATTGATTAAAAAAACACGAAAAATGCAACTGGTACATCGTTGCATTAATATATGGAATTAAATTTGACGTGACAAGGCTACAGGTATGCACAAAACGATACAACACTCGTCTAACTACAAAAATCAGTTACTTTATTATCATTATTATGCCAACCCAATCCTCGAAACCACTCCTAAAACGGCCCGCGTACGAGTTGGTTCGCGTACGAGTTGGCTCGCGTACGAGTTGGCTCGCGTACGAGTTGGCACGCGTACGAGTTGGTTCGCGTACGAGTTGTGTCGCATACGAGTTGACCAATCCGCGTACGAGTTGACTCGCGTACGAGTTGGTTCGCGTACGAGTTGACCTGTTTCCCCGACGGCCACACTAGTGGGGCTAATGCTGTAGCAGAAAATTCTCAATTTTTTACTGACCTCCAAACTCTCCCGTCACGAAATGTAAGGCCTCAATATTTCACAAGTTTTATCTTGATGTGGATTGGCAACTCTAGGGGGCGTTGAAATCCCTTCAATGTCAAACAAAAATGTGAAACTTACCAGATGTTCGTACACAACTTCACAAGTTTGTCACTCGCACTGTCGTCGCAGTCGCACTCGACTCGGCCGTCTCTAGCTAGCTAGCTTACATCTCGTTTGCCGTCGACTCATGAGGGCGCTTAAATTCTCTTCATGCATTTGACGGATCCTCTGGGGTGCGGCGTGCAACCCTGCATGCCATATCCATATAGACACAGCGCTATAATGCGCATAATACTGTACTGCCATAGACACAGCGCTATAATGCGCATAATACTGTACTTCGAAATTCTTTTAAAAATACGTAGAACTCTCACGGGTATTAAGTTGCACAGACAAATGATGTTCCACATGTCATCTGTCATTTTCTTTTCTTTGGTGGGTTGACCGTTGACTTTTTGAGATATTCTCACCCAAAGAAGACGACCCCTATTTTCCCCAAAGCAGAAAATTTAGTAGCCATAAAAGATCCCTTGATCCACAACATGGCAAAATAGCGCCACTTTCGAGCCCAATACCATCCAAAATGCTCAGAATTGGAAGCCCAAAGTCCGGGCCAGAGGTTCATTACCATGTCTCCAACATTATGGCTCTAAAAATCGTTTTTGAGGGTCACGATAACTCATTTTATTCATGAGGTCGGCGGACGGATTTTTGGCTTATTCACATCGTACGGCAGGCGTGCACCCTTCTCGATCAGTGATTTGACCAACTACCGGCAGGACGTGCTCCCTTGTTCTCGCTCGATCGACGGCGCCCGGACACTATTTGGCACCGGACACTATTTGGCATGTATTACATGCCAAATAGTGTCTGGCGCCTACTGCGCATGCTCAGCGGACACTATTTGGCACCGGACGGTTTTTGGCACGACACCTGTCACCCCCTCCCACCCCAATTGGCAGTCCGATAAAGTCGCAGAGGGTACTTGAACTGGAAAAACAATCCTGGCTTCCTTCCAGCACGGAGTGGCGTGTCAACCTTTTTTTTTTCTCCCACACTCGCCTCCCCCATTCAACTTACTGGATTGGTGACGGCCATGACTGGCAACAGAGCGTCCGAATATCTATACTGTATAGTTAACAAGATAATAAGGTACTCGAAATCATGGCTCAAGAATTACAGAATTTTTTCTAGAGCTTTTAATGGATTGACTGAAAACTATTTAATTGGGAAAACCCCCACAACAAGACCTCTTTGCACATCTACCCCGGCTACCCGTAACCCCCTCCCCACCCCTGCACACACAGAGAGTTGTTATACAATTAATGTCTACTGTGATTTATACATGTACACATAGTGTTGTCCATGTGGTCTGTGTTACCCCAAAAGTTGGAAATGGGATCAGAGCCTAAATTGAGGTTATCATTCATTGCCCCGAGGTAGTACAAAACACGGTGACAACACTTTTGTTTGCTGCAACATAGGTGGTTTTATTGTTGAAAGCGTTATACACTCGTTCAGAAGAAACAATGATAATTTTAAATGTTATTTTGTACATGTAACAACAGGATTCTGACAGCCACATTCAACATTCTAGAGTCGGTTGCTTCGGTCTTCTGACTTGATAAAGGTTCTGCCTTGACACAAGCATGGTCACCCACACTTAGCATATGGGGTTTATGGGATACCACTATTTGTTGGACCCTTTTCTCTTGTTCTTTGTCCCCTTAAAAAATATCAATACTGTACACAAAGTGTTAGGGCCACCGGCGGCGGAACCGGAGGGGGGGGGGGGGGGGGCAGGGGGGCCACTGCCCCCCCCCCCCCCCCCACACTTGTTCCACTAGGGGGGGGGGGCATGCCCCCCCCCACTTTTATCGGGTCACAAAAAAAAAATACAACCATACATAGTACTTAGTAGTCTGGTTGTGTACGCTCGGCCAAACATAAACAAAAGAAAATCTTGTCTACTACTCTCACTGCATGGAGTTGTCAGTCATCCACTGCTTGCAACTGTAGCGTACAGGAACCTCGTCCCTAAATGGTACTGCTAAGCCCATTGGGCAGAGGGCTGAGTGCAATGTACATGTAGGCCTAAGTACTCCCTGTTTTAGTTTTAGATTGGTTGAATTACGCTGACTTCAAACTTGAATTAAATGAATAGCTACATGTATATGAAATGTTCATGCAATTTGTTCTCGCACTTAACACTAAATCTAAACTTTTGATAAGACATTTAGGAACTGTTAAAAATGGTTAAACATCAGAGGGTATCGATCTTGGAACAATTGAAACATTAAATACATGTTCTAAATTTGAAAACAGAAGAAACTTTACAAGAGCAGGAGTATGTATTTGAAACAAAACAAAATTTCTTCTTATAATTCTAAAGACTTATGTTCAAAAAAATCAGGGGAAAGTGACTAGGGGAAAGTGACCAGGCATCGCCTCAGATTGCACCACAGAGCATCTGGAATCCACAAACACAGCCTGGGGTCCCAAATAAATCTTAAAATGAACTTCATCCACCTTTCCAGGACAAAATATGGGCTTTCCAAGACCACTTTCCAGAGCGTTTTGACATCTTTTGAGCCTTGGTCAAGAGGAAATTTGAGAACTCCCTTTCAACCTCCCAGTTTGAGCTACATGAACACTAAATCTATTTGATCTATGAGCACCACAAATCTACATGTATGATCCGCTGATCTATAAGCACCACATAAGCATCACAATGGTACATTGAAACAATAAGATTGAAACAACAATACTTAAAGATCACACACTGTACATTTACAATATAAAACTGAAATACATACTGTACAAACTGAAAGCCTACCACACATAATTTACAAATAATTATTTACATGTATACTATTTACTCGTGGAATGTTGAAGTTCCCATGCCTTATGTACCTTTTTAAGGATCTTTCCATGACTCCATGTACAATAAAAAAATTTGATGACTTTCGTGATAGCTTTTAATTTCAGGATTTCCTCATGACTGTGGATATGTACATATGATTTTCAACTTTGGTTATGTACCCTCAACAGCTAGAGCATGCAGGGACATTTTTCCCACAGACCGTCATCCCTAGAAGGTTCATCTCTGATCAAAGTGCACAGGCTACAGTTTGCCATTCAGTACAGCATGTTATCCTTTACAAACCTCTTTTCTGTTGTTATATGTCTCAAAGGTCTGAATGCTTGGAAAGTTCCATCGGGGAACATCACCCGTTCCAATTTGGAACATGTGTTGGGAACAGGGACATGCATTGTTCCCACTGGGAACAGGCAGTTGATACTGAGTGGGATCCGAATGTTGGTCTATGAGCGTGCACAGTTACTTGGGAACGGCCTGTCCCAGTTCGAAACATGCTGGGAACACAACGCGTTCCCAATTGGAATACACAGTGTTCCTCAAGGAACATTTTAACTTTTGAGACACTCCTAACTCACCACTGAAATATTTGAATCTTTAAAACGTGTAACTTGCTGTGATTTATACACATGGAACTTAGGCAAACTGGTATGCCCAACTTAGTTGCACATGTATGTATAACTCCACCCAACTCACGCAGGTAAGGAGGTGGGTTGAGTTGACATGTATGTGTTCAGGGATCTCGGGAAAGGTTTTGCAAGAGGTACACAAACATAACGCCTTCCCCATTGCTGACCTTGATTACACATCTTTGGTCAGAAGAGCTTTCTACACAGGCTTTCTCTCTGGAGTGAATCTTTTCATGTCTTTGTAGCAAACTTTGTTTAGGGAAGGCTCTACCATAGGGCGCACAAACATCAGTATGCTATGCACCCGGCTACGTCGTATGAGTGTGTACATGTAGACGTAGATCTCTTCGCTGAGAAAAGGTCTTACCACAAGTCGCACAATTAAATGGTTTCTCACCGATGTGCACCCTGTTATAATGTGCACGTAGATTACTTTGTTGACAATAGCCTTTACCGCAGGTCCCACAATTGAATAGTTTCTCACCAGTGTGCATCATGTTGTGTTGTTGAAGATTACTTTGTGTGTTGAAGGCTTTACCACAGGTCACACAAACAAATGGTTTCTCGGCAGTGTGAATCCTGTCATGTCTTCGAAGATTTCCTAGTTCAGTAAAGGCTTTACCACAGGTTGCACAAGCGAATGGTTTCTTACCGGTGTGAATTCGGTCATGAATGCGCAGGTAACTTTGGTTCGAAAAGGCTTTGCCACAGGTTGTACAAACAAATTGTTTCTCACCTGTGTGCACTCTGTTATGTCTGTTTAGAGTGCTTTGTCGAATAAAAGCTTTACCACAAGTCTCACAAACGAATGGTTTCTCACCAGTGTGAATCTTCATGTGTTGCTGTAGACTTGCTTGCCAAGTAAAGGCTTTATCGCAGGTCAAACAAACAAGTGGTTTCTCACCAGTGTGCATCCTGCCATGTCGGCGTAGTAAAGTCTGCTGAGCATAGGCCTTTCCACAAGTTTCACAAATGAATGGTTTCTTATCCATGTCCTTTATTTAATGGCCATGTAGATTACTCTGTGAAGGGAAGGCTTTACCACAGGTCTCACAAGCAAATGGTTTCTTACCAGCGTGAATCCTGTCATGTCGTTGAAGAAAACCTAGTGTCGTAAAGGCTTTACCACAGGTCCCACAAGCAAATAGTTTCTTATCGGTGTGCACCCCGTCATGCTTTTAAGACTATTAGTGACATAAAGGCTTTAACACAATTTGGAAGGCCAACCTGTCTGCCAAACTAGGTCGTACATATGACTCCACCCAACTCACACAAATTAGCTGCATTGAGTTTCTTGGTATGTTCAGAGATCTTCTTTACGCAAAGGGTTTGCAAGAGGTACTGAAAACAAAACTTCACTATTGTTGACCTCAATTACACATCCTTGGTTAGAAGAGCTTTTAACACTGGCTTTCTCTCTGGAGTGAATCTTTTCATGTCTTCGTAAGGAACTTTGTTTGGGAAAGGCTTTACCGCATGGCTCACAAACAAACGGTTTCTCACCAGTGTGGACCCTGCTATGTGTGTGTAGATCTCTTCGCTGATAAAAGGCCTTACCACAGGTCGCACAAATAAACGGTTTCTCACCAGTGTGCCCCCTGTCATGTACACGGAGATCACCGCGATGAGAAAAGCCTTTACCACAGGTCGCACAAATGAATGGTTTCTCGCCAGTGTGAACCCTGCTATGTGTGTGTAGTTCACTTCGCTGAGAAAACGCCTTGCCGCAGGTTGCACATACAAATGGTTTCTCGCCAGTGTGCACCCTGATATGTGCGTCAAGATGACATCGCTGAGAAAAGGCTTTACTACAGGTCTCACAAACGAATGGTTTTGTTCCTGTATGGATCCTGTCATGAACGCGTAGATAACTTCGCCTCGAAAAGGCTTTACCGCAGGTCTCACAAACGAAAGGTTTCTCGCCAGTGTGCACCTTTTTATGCTTGTTCAGATTACTTTGCAGGGAAAAAGCTCTACCACAAGTCTCGCAAACACATGGTTTCTCGCCAATGTGCACCCTGTCGTGTTTGCGTAGATTACTTCTGGCAGTAAAGGCTTTACCACACGTCCCACAAACAAAGGGTTTCTCACCAGTGTGAACCCTCCTATGTCTGCTGAGATCACTTTGCCATGTAAAGGCTTTACCACAGGTAACACAAATGAACGGTTCCTTGTTGACTCTCTGGTGACAATTCAGCCCGGGTTCCTTTGTGTCCATTTTTCTGAAGTGCATCACATTTTGCTATCATCCGTCTTTACAAAATGACGGCCTCGTCATCACCAGGGCTGGATGCCACCCTCCTGCAGTCTCTCCCCAACTGATTCAAAATCGTCAGATTGCAGACAGGCCTCCGTTGTGAGCACATGTGGTTTCATCTGTGGCCTGTGTTAAAGATAAATTTGGAAAACTGAATGAATGACTAAACATGTTCATGTACTCTCCTCGCTCTTCAACAAAATTGCAAATTCAACCTTTTTGTGAGAAAGATTTGCAATGATATAAGTGTTCAACTCAGGCCCGTCATTAGCCCTGAGCGTCAGGAGGGGGGAGGGGGCATAGTACCAACTAGGGGGGACCCACTACCATAAAAATTAAAAAAAACATATGTATGGCTTTTTGCCGTTGGGGCCAATTGCTCGCCACAAGGGGGGCACGGCCCCACCAGGTCCCCCCCCCCCCTCCCTTGGCGACGGGCCTGGTTCAACTACATGTACTCTTGAAATAATAACTTTCGGAAATGCCAAGAAAAAAATACAAAGGTTTGGGGGACGTTTTCGAAAGATTTCTTACCGACTTGAAGGTCAGCTTTACCATTACCAGTATTGCGGTTTCGGCATCGATGACAGGGATTTTTTTCACCGACATGAAGTTTAGAATTTCCTCTTCCATTTCAATTTAACATTTCAATCATACTGAGCATATTTTCTGAGAAACAACACGTTCACAAGGCCATGTTCATGAAATTCACTGGGAATGAATTCCGCACTATTACATCAGTTATCTGCCAGTTAAACACATCAATGTTCACCTCACCTTGTGATTTCATCCACGACAAATCCATAAAGCTCTTGAAATGTGCAGACATTTTTCGAAAAAATTAGTTTTTAGAGCAGACGTTGGGGGTCCTACCAAAATGCGTCAACTGGCGTCAACTATCAACGGTAATCAATATGCAGCATAAACAAATTATGTATTGGAACATCAAAACACGTTTTATATTGAAAAAATAGGGACAAAAAACACCTTCAGCATACAAATTAAAGTTATTTAAAAAGCTGTGCACCATGGTGACGATGGCTGGGGGGGGGGGGGGGGTGTGTGCGGCCAGGCGCGGCACCGTCACCGGCCGTGCACCGTGGCGATGCATGGGCTGTGCTGTGCAAGAATGTCACAGACTGGAGTCCGTTACAAAAATGGTTTTTAACAAATTTCCATATAATAATGGGGAGCACGTACTGGGTACTCAAAATATTGGAGGAATTATCGCTAGTTCCATTGGCATTATAAATACATCACTAGACTGACATGCTAGAGTAGACAGCTCAATGAAAATCAGTCATGTCAGTAAATGTAAAATCAATACTGAGCTGAGAAACATTTCGAATTTTGCATATATGGGAGGGAGGTGCCGAGTTGGTCAGGTGCCGAGTCGGCTAGGTGCCGAGTTGGTTTTTGTACAGGTGCCGAGTTGGTGAGTGCCGAGTTGGCAAGGTGCCGAAGGTAGCGTTCTTATTCCTCCATGGTCATGATGGTCCAACTAACTACGGAAGTATTGTCAATGACAATGTTACAATTTCAAAGTTACTGGCTTACTTGCTTACCTACTGGCATTTCAACATGTCAAAGACGAAGTAATAGGGCTTCAATGATACTCACGAATATTTTTTGGGTTGAAAATCCGTGAAAGTCAACCACTAGTATTGCACAGACATCATACCTGCATACAGCGTTCATTCATAAACGTTATATGGCATTGTATGGTTGTGATTAGCCCGACTGCCAGGGTGACCGTAATGTCATAGCCAAATTCTGCTAAATGCACATCAAATATCTGTCAGATTTATCAAAAAATCTGCTATAAACACTTAAAATCACATGCAGATTGGTAGTATTGCCTTAATATAAGATTCAAATGACATAATAAACAATCTAGTCACATAAAGATGCTGTGAAATTAGTAAAGTTTGGGCAAAATGCAGATCCGGCCACGAGGATCAAGTCTGTTTCCCAGTGAACCTCAACACCTAGACCAGCCAACCTGTCCCATTATGCAAGGGTTTGTTTGAAAGGATTGAGGATTTTTTTAACAAATCTAAACTTTTTGTTAAAATTTGCTATTTTTCTGTCAAATAACCATATTTGTAGAATTCTGCCGGAAATCTGCCAAAAATCCATTCTTAAATTAATGTGGCCTGACGTTGCGAACTTAGCAAGTTCTTCTTCAGAGGCTAAAACAGAAATGACAGAGGTACATACATTAACATGGGGTGCACACAAACATGTAGGGCTGAAAGAAGAAACACAAAAGGAGGATTAGGTGTGAAAGGTGTGGAAAGATGCAGGGGAGGGTGGATGAGAGAACAAAGAAACAAAGGGAGATGGCAAACCACAAGGGGTCTTGTGTAAACAGGGGAGGGACCAGAAAGGGGAAGGATCAAAGGACACAGGGAGTGGGAACGGACAAAAGAGTGTGAGAGTGAAGGGAAGATGTGGGGGGGGGGGAACAGTATTGAGGTGCAAAGGGATGAAAGAAGGGGGAAGATGGGTAAACACAAACAAGGGAGACCAGATGGATTATCTGTAACAGAAGACAATGGAGGAAGAAAAGGATTAATCATTTCCAAGTTGGATGTTGAGACCATGTGGTTGAATAGTTCGAAGACGATTCATCCACACTTTCTCTCTGCTGAGGCGAACTGAGTCAAATTTTCTGTCAAACTCGTTTACTAACAAAATTTCTGTTAAAGTTAGCCGAAAATCGGCTAAACCGGTCACCCCCTACCTAGCCTTGCCTTCCATTTGTGCGTGCGCGCGCTGCATGCACCACTGCACGGCGTGGTAGTTACATGTGAGGCACCTGCAAGTACGAAGTGCAGGTGCACACACGTCCGCCGTACACAGCCACGGACATGACAGAATTAGTGTGTACAAACACACATGACATGCATGACATACATGAGGGGCGGAGGCGATTGGCATGTTTAATCTTTACTACTTGAGTACTACTACTAGTGCTAGGCGGCAGTGTATCGTTCTTTATAACCATTGTCTTAGATTGAGAAGGTTCACAATGGCAACAAAACAAGAGTAAGTTCATCTCTAGCCCAGGTTGGACGAAGTCTTCATTGCATTACGACTAACGTAGGGCATGTAGGGAGGAAAGGAGTCCACCTGGCATGCCTGGGCTAGTTCATCTCCAACTTCTGACTTTGTAACTTTTGTAGGCCTACGTACAGGATGTACAAATGTACATGTACAGGTTGCACTGAAAGGGTTTGTTGAGGGCAATCAAGCGTACTCCGTAGCCGGCGCCGAGCGAGGTGCATTCTGAGATTGAGTTGCGGGGTATTCTGCAATTGTGTCTGTAGGAAAGATTCCCATATCTGGCCATCACTAATTTTTCCCTTCAGTGACCTACCAGTTGTAGGACAGTAGTACCATAGGCCCGATCAGAAGGTGACAATCATTTGACAATAGGCCCTATCAGGGGCGGATCCAGGGGGGGGGGGGGCAAAGGGGGCCATGCCCCCCCCCCAAAAAAACGAAACCAATTTTTTTTTTTTAATGTGACATCGCAATAAAGGCAGGCAATGAGTACACCACCATCTTTTCCTCAAAATAAATTGGTTAAAGTGGTCAGAAATTGCCTCAGATCGCACCACAGAGCATCTAGAATCCAAAAAAATTTCGGGGCCCTTAAGCGGGCCCCGAACCCCACGCCGTAATTTTTTAGACCCACTTTTTTGGGGGACCAAAAAATTTTTGGGCCCCCCAAAAAATTGTGTTCTGGATCCGCCCTTTGGCCCAATGAAGTAAAACTAAAACTAATTTAGCAGGGAAACTATAGGCCTACTTACTGAGAAAACAAGTTGAAATACAGTTTGTGCACAGCGTGACAATTAGTGATGGCCAGTTATGGGAATCTTTCCCTAGACTAGTGTATTAGGGGTAAGATAGTACATGTACCATACTCCATAGACAGATAGAGCTAGCTCTATGCATGTACTGCCACTCAAGCTGTGCATGGGCTACGGAGATGAGGGAAAATTGAACTCACACATCATTTTGTGGTTTCAACCTACAGTGACAATGTCCTGGTTCCCCTCTCGGAGGCGGAGTCTTTTGTGGAGCGCTGCATGGTGGCTGTGGGGGCCAAGCCCAGCCACGCCAAGGACCTGGCTACGTTGCTGGTGTGCGCTGACTACAGGGGGCACTTCAGTCATGGCATGAACAGACTCTGTAAGTCATCATCGGTGGCGTCAAAGGTGGGGAAGGCTGGCGAGGGGAAGGGGAGGCTGGCCAGGGGGGGGGGGGGGGGGGGGGGGGGGGAGGGGGGCCTTGTTTCAGTGGGAGACTGGGCCTTGAGCATGTTGAGTGAAGGGCAACATTACTTTGTGTGTGTGTATTGGTATTGTGCTGATTGTTTTTGTTAATAAGTGTAACTTTTGGGGTTCTTTGAATGTAGTTTGTTAAATCAGTATGTTTCATTGTTGAACTAGTAGGCCCGAACTGATTGCACACAGAAACTTGCATGGGGAAACTTTTTTAATTGTCAAAATACAATTTGTTTTATATTTTTGACCTAATGTGGCAACAAAACTAAAGCCAGCAATTGCGTCCCCAAAATCCCGTCGGGTTACCGCAAGTACCCATTTTTTTGGTTATAGGCCTTGGAAACAAATCCAGTGATTTTGAGGTAGAGGATTAAAAACTGGATTAAAAATGGACGAAATTATGGGGTGGTTGTATTTTGCCCAGTAGGTACATGTACTACACATGTACACGTATTCAAAGGTGGATCCAGAGAGCTAACTGCCACAGAGGAGAGGGGGCCCTCTCACAAGTAAAAAATGGTCTTTGAGAAAAGTTTGGTCACTACAGGGGGAAGTGGGAGGGGAGGGCGGGGCGGGACATCCCCTCTGCCCCCCCCCCCATGGATCTGCCACTGAGATTCTCTTACATGTATGTATCTTTACTCCAATCATCATTCTTAGCGATGTATGTGGAGGACATCAGGAGTGGGACCAATGCCAAGGACGGGGAACCGGTGATACTCAAGGAGATGGGCGGCACGGCCTGGGTGGACGGGAAGAATGTGCTGGGACCGGTGGTTGGTCGATTCTGCACCGATCTGGCCATCAAGAAAGCTAAAGAGGCTGGGATTGGCATGGTGGTCGCCAAGGGTGAGTTTCTTCAGCAGGGGTGTGAAATCTCAGCTTAAAAGCTGATTTCAGCTTTTTTTGTCTTGGATTGCAGCTTTTTTTCTTTCCTCACTAGTTGTGTACTTAGTATAGGAGATTTCCAAAGTTCAGTTTTTTTACACCTTTTTCAGCTGTTTTCAGCTATTTTTTTAGCAGTGGTCACTCACATCCCTGTATCAGGTTTATCACAACAGCCACCTTCGGCGGTGGAAGTAATGCTCTAGATAGGTAGGCTAATGTTCCGAAAAGGCCGAGTAAAAAAAAAAAATAGTTTCTCGTCCGGGGTTTTTGAAAAAAGGGAGGAAGCGGGGCTTTTTATTTTTTATTTTTTATTTTTTTCAAGATGACCGCCTTTTCAAAATTTCCTGCAACCGTTGGTGTTCCACTGTTCAAAGACACTTTTAAAGATGAAAGACAAGTTGGACAAGAGAACTGACCATATTTACAGTGTCATTTAGAGTTGTATTGGTATTGGTATTTATTTCCGATGAATTTGTAGACTTTTTCGGTGTGTTTCTACTACATTTTTCAAAAATAAAAAATAATAAAAAAATCCAGGCGGCCTCCAAAAAGGAAGCGGGCGGGGCGGGGACGAGAAACTTGGTTTTTTTTTTTACTTTGCCTAATCTGTCACAGGGCAGTTGCTTTGTACAATAGCATGCACAGTGGTTTCTCCATTGAAGGGGGCCACGTGCGGTGTTGTAGGTCTCGAGACCGGTCTCGGTCTTGGACTCGGAATCGGGAGCTGTGGGCTCGGTCTTGGTCCGGTCTCGGTCCCCTTTGGTCTCGATATTTTGGCTGGTCTCGAATCGAGACCAGCCAAAATGTTGACATTTGAGTCACGCACATAAAGCAAAGTAAGTACCAATTTATGCAATTAGGGCCAGCCATTTTCGTTGATTGTATAGTTTATTAGCCAACCCTTGTGGGCGTTAACTGAAGGATTTTTTTTATTTTTGAAATAAATGAGGTGCCCCAAATTAGTGACATTTTCGACTCCAATCTTCTCTTTAATTTGGGATAATATTTTGGAGAAAGAGTACATAGTTGTAGTTGTACCTGATTTTCCAGCATTGAATTCACACACTCTTACCAGTTACCACTCACTGTTGTCGTGAGAGTGCATGATACATTGTAAGACTCCATTTTCTGGCTGCTCATTTGAAGTATACCCATTATTCCTCAAAAAGCAAAAATCCAAGTCAGAAAAAAATACAAAATCTATATCTGGCTACCATCTCTCAACTTTTGGGTCTACATGTACAAGTTCATATTCCATGATGGAAATTTAAAAAAAGTAAGTCAATATTTTCTTGCTCCAATTATTTTGAAATCAGGTTTCCTTTCCTTTTCTGTAGGCCTACAATCCAAATAAAAAAACACCCCAAAACGCATTGCTGCATCAATTCCGGAACTTTGGTCTGACCAGAGACCGACTATTTTTTAGGGGGGCCTAATAACCAGCAAAATGCTTTGGCTGTGCAAGGGGGCCTTTGCAATAGAAATGATGGATTGGTCTATATCGTGACAAGCCACTTTATTCCCATTCACTATTATTCAGTCGTTTGCTTTTGTAAACCAATTGTTATTCTTATTCTCATATTTTTCCCCCCTCAGGTTCCAACCATTTTGGAATTGCTGGCTGGTACACCATGCGTTGTGCAGAAGCAGGCATGCTGGGCATGTCCTTCACAAACACTTCACCCCTCGTTGTGCCTACTAGAGCGAAAAAGGTGTGTCCTGTCAATTTGTAATCGTTATTTTTTTTGGGGGGGGGGGGGAGTGGTGGAGTGTCTGTGCCGATTGTGAGACTTCTTGTGCTTATATTTCCTGCTGCTGTCGATTTTTATGAACATTGCATTCATTAGCCTTGGTCAAGGCCTTCGACGACAGTGTCCGATGACCAATGGCCGGCTGCTAACATCAGGCATGCAACTTTTCCTCGGATCAGCTGATTTCCTCTTTTTTTTCTTTACTTGCCATGTATGCCATTAAAATTGAAAACCAATGAAAAATTTCGACCAATGAAATATTACAGTATCCAAACACATGATATAAATCATTGGGCTGACTTACATGTAGCGTGCAGCATGAATTCGCAAAACATTGCACATCCCTGTGTGGACCTCCCCTATCAGCACAATCGCTGTGATCACCGTCAATATCGCCACCATCACCATCACTACAATCATCCCCATCTTTACTACTAATATTGTAATCATTACGATCGTCAAAACCAGCTGCACAATCTTCACCATCATCATTTCACAATCATTGCAATCATCATCATCATGACAATCACTTAGATCGCCACTACCATCAACACAATCATTGTGATCATCAGCACCATCACCTCAATCATAGCCATCACCATCACCACAGTCATTGTAGTCACCATTACCATTACCACAAACATTGTCATATCACCACCATCAATGCATTCACTGTGTACTTCACCACAGTCTTTCCGATCATCATCATCATGGCAATCACTTAGATCACCACTACCATCAACACAATCATCGTGATCATCAGCACCATCACCTCAATCATGGCCATCACCATGTGATGGGCGTCAATCGACGGGATATCATATCGTTTGTTCCCCCCCCCTCCCACTTTTGAAAAGCGATTGACGCCCTTGGCCATCACCATTACCACAAACATTGTCATATCACCACCATCAATGCATTCACTGTGTACTTGACCACAGCCATTAATTGCGATCATCATCATCATCTTCACAATCTGTTTGATCATCACCTCAATCACTGTCATATCACCACCATCATCTCATTCACTGTATGCTATCGATCACCACAATCCCTTTGATCATCACCACCATCATTGCAATGATTGTGATCATCATCACCACTATCATCACCACCATCATGACCCCATCACCCATTATTGTCATAATGCAACATGCAAGTGCTGTAGATAATTTCCACAAAACATGGCATAACAATCATGCTTTTACATATCCTTTGCGATTGCCATCCATTTTCAACTCTCTTTAGCCTGTTTTGGGAACAAATCCTGTGTCTTTAGCAGCACCAGCCTAAAAAAAGGGGATAGTTTTGTTCTTGACATGGCAACATCTACCGTGGCATTTGGAAAGGTAAAATTTGTGCTATATTTATATGTTTGACACATTAATATTGCTATAATTTTGTTTCAAATTGTATTCCATTTCGGGTTCTCTTTTTAGCCTGTTTTGGGAACGAATCCTTTGTCTTTAGCAGCACCAGCAGAAAAAGGGGACAGTTTTGTTCTCGACATGGCGACATCCACAGTGGCCCTTGGAAAGGTACACTAGTACTCTTTAGGGCTGTCCGTTTTCGAATAATATAGTATCCGATTACTCGAAACTGCGTTTGACATAATACTCAGATATTCGAAACCGACAGCTGTTCTGCTTTCTGCGCCGTTAAAAAGTCACACAAGATCAGAGCGTGCTAGATAAAATTTGCGTGCGGCAATCAATGCATATGAGAAGCATGAGTGTTTTGCAGTAAGTATATCATAACTATAAAGGGCTTACATGCAATGCAATAATCGCACTAGACAGCTCCCGCCTTCGGCTCCGCCATTACTAGCAACCAGGCCTTTAACAAAGTACGCGTATGTTGATGAATTGCACATGTAACCATTATGTCATCAGAACGCTACATTATTATTACCCATGCTCATCGGGGTACAGAACATTCTTGTGGGCTTTTAGAAAATTCAAATTCAAAGAAACAAAATCTAGTTGGCCTTTTATTCATAAAAGGAGCAAAGTATACATGTACAGGGTGAGTAAAAAAACCGAAACCCAAGTGTCGGGAACATTGTTTTAGTGAAGTTCTGCATGTAGCACTTTCAAAATGTAGGATATAAAAGCCCAATTCATGACCTTTCTTCTAGTACAAAAATCATTCAAATCACTCATGTACTTTTCAAGTTACTCATGTACTTTTCAAGTTACGGAGTTTTTACACAAATGCCGTTTTAAGGTTCTGTCCACGGATCACAAAAAAGTTCAGTGTTCTTTCAGCAAAACGAAAAAGATTCACATAGGGATGTGTGTGAAATTTGTTTTCGTTTTGCTGAAAGAACGCACACCTTTTTTGTAATCCTTGGACAGTACAGGTACTTTAAAACGGTAGTTGTGTTTAAAACACCGTAACCTGAAAAGTACATGAGTGATTGGAATGATTCTTGTACTGAAAGAATGCTTATGAATTGGGCGTGCATATCCTAGATTTTGAAAGTGCTACATTCAGAACTTGACTAAAACAATGGTCCCGACATTTGGGTTTCGTTTTTTTTTTTACTCACCCTGTATGTGATGACGAAGTGTCTTGCCCAGGGACACGTAGGCCTATGTAACACAACTGACTTCAAACCATTGAGCTATGGTAAATTACTAGAGCGCTAGCTCCTCATTCCCCCACGTGGAAGTACTTTGAAGCTGTCCTGGGCGCAGACATTTTGAATTCATGTGTTGGATTGTGGAACATAATAAAATCACACGCAATAGGTTTCGGATAATGTACTCTAAATGCAACACGCAAGTACATGTACAACATACGCGGACAACGTCAGCGCATTTTCTGTGAGTATGACAGTTAAAAAAGGTCGTACATGTAGCAAAAATCGTCTGTAGCGCCTACATGTACATGCACGCAATTGCGTTAATTGGTGTAAGTTTGCGCAGAACAAATGAAATGCTCGTTTACTCAATATGCATTTGGTTTCATAGGTGTATCAGCTTTGATAATGCACTGGATGCAGATATGCAAAGAGACATACTAAAGCTGTACTAAATTTTGAGTTTTCCATAGGTTTGTCCACAAACATGGATGCGCCCAGTAGGCTTCATTTGTACAGCGAGTTGGCACTGTAATTATAGCTTTGTGCTTCAAACACAAAGTCTCTCGAAAGAATTCTGAGAGTTTGATTTTAAAGATATAGTCCATCATTTGTAATTTGTGCATTTTGTTCGTTTGAAGCAACAAAAGTGTTCAAAATCTAATGAAGGATACTGAACAACTAACCTGATGAAGTTTCAGCTCAGCTTCAGCTGTATATTCCGAGAAAAACAGCATTTTATGATCTCAATTTCAAATCAAAAGTTGCTGAATCATGTTTTGAATTGGGCCTGAATTCAGCATCCGAGACACGTTCTCACTGAGCCGATTGCAGCTATGCGCGATGTCACGCACTGATCCAATGAATTATAGCAACCGCGCGGGTGTGCGTCGTGCCAATGCTTGTGCGCTTCACCGAATAACAAAACGAACTACTAATGTAAATTTTCCTACGGTGCATCTTAAAACGCACCGTTGGAAAGGCGTTCTTTTGTTGATTACTTCAAAATGACAGCTTGCCAGAAAGAATAATTTCACAGGGAGTTTAGTCCACTTAGCTATCTTTCAACTAAGTATGTTTTTCAACAATAATTAGTTACTTTTCGGACTGCTGCAAATAATGGACTATAGCTTTAACCCAAATGTCCCCTGCCTAATACTCATACAGTGTAGTGCTGTGCAATGTAATACTAGTGCTGCTAATGGTTAACACTTGTTGTTTTTGTGTCTGATACAGATTGAGCTGAATAATATGAAAGAAATACCCATACCCAGTGGCTGGGGAACTGATTCAAATGGCCAGGTAGGATTCGAACCAGTTCCAAACATTTCTTGTCATATTTTACTCTGAAATGAAAGGGAGCATGCAGATAAACTCTGCAATTATCAGTACATCCTTAAAAAAAGCATTTTAAAACACTTTTGCCCTTCATTTTCAATCTTGCATTTTCTAAGGAAGGTCAGGGCCATTTGGGTTTTTATTCTAACACAAATTTCCATATTAATGAGCTTAATAATGATATTACCAAATGGCCCCCCCCCCTGGAAATTTATTCAGCTATAAGTGACCATGGTTAATGGGTTTAACAGAAATTTGATGGGATTTAACGTCACTTGGATGGAGTGATCCATGCATGGGCGGGGGTTCATCACAACTCTTCTGAAATTGGAGGTCAAAGGTCATCTAGGGGTCATTTGAGGTCACACTGGACACAATTTGACTGAATTTTTTTTAAGAACACAAAAGGGATCGACCGCAAAAAAATGCTACACATGCGATCCGTGATTACATGTATTTGTTCAACTCTGAATTTTCTTTGTAGTTGACACAAAATCCATCAGAGGTACTGCAAGGTGGGGGTTTGATGGCGCTCGGTGGCCCAGAAGTCTTAGGAGGTTACAAGGTAAAATTTGAAATTGTGTTCTTCCTAATCAGCTAATTTCTCAACTAATGGAATTTTATACACAGCCACTGTTTTAAAGTTCTGTCCACGGATCACAAAACAAAGGTGTGCGTCGTTTTTTACTGAAAGAACACTGAACTTTTTTGTGATCCGTGGAGAGAACCTTAAAACGGGGATTTGTTTAAAATGCCGTAACTTGAAAAGTACACGAGTGATTTGAATGATTCTTGTACTAAAAGAAAGCTTATGAATTGTGCTTTCATATCCTAGATTTTAAAATTGCTACATGCAGAACTTCACTAAAACAACAGTCCCGACATTTGGGTTTAGTTTTTTTTTTACACACCCTGTACAGTCATAGACAATGGGCCGCATTTCAGACTCTTGGGCCACTGTGTAACTTAAGCAAATTGAACGCACCTGTGACAGTCAGTGAGCTAGTCAGTGAGCTAGTCAGTCAGACAATCAGACACCAAAAGAGCTATAGGCTGGCCCCTCCGAGACCATGTTACAAAAGATAAACCAGGATTGTATTGTATTGTATTGAATGAAATCGGATTTGATTTGCCCTCTTCGTAGGGCTATGGTCTGAGCATGGGAGTGGAGATACTGTGTGGAATCCTTGCTGGCTCAGCGTTTGGACCGTTCGTCAGGCATTGGACCAAGAAAGAGGAGGAAGCTAATTTAGTAAGTGAAGTTCAAACAGAAAGTCTGTGACTATAGACCGCTTGCAGACGCGATCGATAATTGACGCGCGAAGGTGCACGATGCCATGTTATGGGACAAAATGTGCATGGATAGATATACGCCTGTCCCACAACATGGCGTCGCGCGCCTTCGCGCGTCGATTATCGAACGCATCTGCAAGCGGTCTATAGCCGATATGGCCTATCAGGCTGGTAAATGGGCCTCATTCACGAGTTGGCCATTGTTGTCAAGTTCCCTGCATGTATTTCATTAATTGTTAACTGTTGAATTGGATGGCGCCAGACTATTTATGCAGGCACACTGCAGTCTTATTTTACTGTCATTATTTTTTAAATATGGCTTGAACAATTATGGAATGTTTAATTACAAATTTAAAATTATTTGTTGTGGCAGACTGGAATTGATTATAAATATAATTGCTTTCATTTCTCTTCTTAAGTTAATTTTTTTTAAAGATTTTACCTAACTTTCCATTCAATATGGCCGACTTGTGAATAAGGCCCATTATCAATGGTTTCAGTGGTAGAAACGGCTGAGAATATTTCTATCTCTCCCCCCCCCCCCACTACCCATCCTGAAAGGATGTCAGTCCATCACAGGAATATAATTCCAGTACCCATTCATACCCTGGGTTTGAGAGAGGTACCGTAAGTGAGGGTCAAGTAGCTTGCCTGAGGACACAACACATGGCAAGCAAGCTGGATTCGAACCCCTGATGACCCTCTGATCATGAGTCACATTCATATCTATATGCAGGCTTCACGCCCCCAATAACATGGTAAAAAACATCAGGTAGAGACTGTCAGTACATATGTATAGCGCTGCAGTCAGGGGTGTGAAATCTCAGCTTTAAAGCTGATTTCAGCTTTTTTGTTGTGGATTTCAGCTTTTTTCCTTCACTTGCTGTGTAAAAAAAGTATAGGAGATTTCCAAAGTTCAGCTTTTTTACACCTTTTTCAGCTGTTTTCAGCTATTTTTATCAGTGGTCACTCACACCCCTGTGCAGAGTACAGTGTATATTCTCCAGACCGTGCATGGGTACTTGTGCGTGTAGTTCATCCAGATAGCAGTATTAGCAAGAAAAGATATTCTGAATACTTTGGAAGTCGGCAGATGGATGACATTACTTTGTTAATCTTAAATATTCAAATTAGCCAGCTGTTGATTCTCTAAATATCATCTGATGATTTCATGAATAATAATGAATAGGCAAAATTGGACTACCGGTACTTATAGTTGGATTATAATACTCTTGCCATCATAAATTTGAGGCTGATGATGATCCAAACGGAAAACCGACAGTAGTTTGAATTGGCAGTAAATGGTAATTGCATTCTAAAGTTTAATGATATTTAATCTTGTGTTGTATGCCTGGCGAAATACGGCTGCAGAGCTCAATTTCCGGTTGATGTAGTCTGCAGGCGAGTAATTAAAAAATAATTCAAGACCAGATGAATTTTTAAATGACATGCGCTGTCAGAAAAGGTGGAGCTGAATTAATTTACAAGAAGATTCTGATTCACTGTTGCGGTAAATTGGAAAACAAAAATGCTTTGTATATTACAAAGATGATAATTAGAACCCATTAGTCAAATGAGACTTCAAATGGAGCACTTGGCATTCTTTTTAGAGTTAGCCCTTTTAGTGCCTGCGAAATTTGAAAAGTTTAACCTAAAGTGCCCAACTTCGAGCGTTTTTGTTAGTTGTTCAAAATTCTGTAAAAAAAAAGTAAATAAGTTTTACTCACTACATTTATTGTTGTTGCTCTCTGGTATATCCTTGGTATATTGGAAAGTCAATAGTAGCCACATACATGGTGATACACCCTGAAACACTGTCCTGCACACAGGGGAATTCCACACTTTTTGCAGAAAATACGAGTTTTAGTGCTGCGCCCTCTCGCAAGAACTTGAATAAAAAAATAAATACAGGTCGTACATGCATGAAAATGGTACCATTAGAAAGAGCAAGAGTGCCCCCTTTTGATAACATGTTTACTCTACCTCGTACATGTACGAGGTTTGGCGATTTTAATCACGAACATTACCTCGTACATGTACGAGGTTGGCGCATTCATACTAACAAATATACCTCGTACATGTACGAGTTTGGCACTGAAAGAGTTAACTATTATGCATGGTCATTGTGAAGAACTACCTGACCAATGGTTTAGTTATAGAGCCATAGTTAGCACACATCAAATCATTATATGTGATACGATCAGGCTAAATGAGTCTTTTGTCGGGAATTTTCATTTGGAGATTCAGGCCAAAATAGGACCACACACATCACTTCATCACATCTCTTGGTGTTCCGACTTCCATAATTTTTGAACTAAAGATGGTACCAGCATGGGGTTTTCACAGCAGTAATGCTGAGATTGTGCTCTTTCCAAATCTGTAATAAAAACACAAATTTGCCAGGGTTGACAAACGACTCGTTTAGCTTGATCGCATCACATATTAATCCTAACCCCTACATGTAGGCCTTTTTGTTAGGATGCATCCTCGATCCTTAAAATTCTTCAACAGCCCCGATGTAAACATTGTATAACAGCCTGATCAATCCTCCAAAATCTTCCGTTATTTCTTGAGTTTATTCATTGGAGGGACGACCGCTGCCTCAATCCTGCAAAATCCTCAAACGCATGTTGGTCTATCGGTACTTTCCTCGCCTTTCACCGCTGTGACCCAGGTTGGAATCCCGCCTGGGCAATACGTGGATGGGTTTTCATTAGTCCCTGTCTGATTCTGTGGGTTTTCCCCAGAATATCATTCTGAGATTTTTCTCTCAAAAGTGTAATTTACTTTCATATCTTCTACCAAGGGATCCCATCCCACTGGAAATAATTCGAAAGACTTTATTAGTGTGCTATATCCTGGTCAACTGTGCCCAATAATCGTAAAAAAAGAAGAAAAAAAATAGTGCCGATGATGTTCAGTAGCAGTGAGGAAGATTTAAGTATAATCATCTGGGCATAAATTTATGCATATGTCTAAGCATAAACAACACAAGGTACAACCTATTAAAGACGTTGACACGATGCATCCTCCAAAATCAACTGACACAATATTGCCATATCCAGCCTCAATCCTTCGTAATCCTCCACTTATGCAGAGAAGATTTTGGAGGATTTGGAAAGGTGTAACAAATGTGTTCAAGTTGTCCACGGGTATTGTGCACCCTGCATTTGAGATTTTAATGTTCCCTTTGATATGTTTTTGCATTTCATGAGGTCAGTGTTTTACCAGACATGTAGATCTGACAGCAGGGTTTAATCACTGGACTAAGGTCGAGTGGTCCATGGGTATTTCGCACCCTGCATTGTAGATCCTAATATTGCGTTTAATATTCTACGTTACACAGGGCCAGTGTTTCATCGCTATCAACCCAGAAGCCTTTGCTCCTGGTTTCCCAGGCCGCATGTCAACGTTGATGAAGGAATGCAGAACCGCCGAACCAGTAAGTCCACTGCTACGTACTTGCACATCACTCTGCAACTGAACAGTACAGGACCCAATTTCATAATAATAAAAAGCGCCTGTCGATTGGTCAGTTTCTTGATGTCATACTCAGTCTAGTTGCATAATTAATCGCCGTACTGCTTACATATATACCATGGCTGGCTTCCATTACTGGACCGAGCCCAGTCTAATGTAGCTTTCGCCAATGAGCACCCTACTGTGATGGCTTCTCAATCAGTTAACGGCCATAAATATGTTCGCACATACTGCGAGAGTGCATGGTTTGTCCTCGATCATACCATGGAGCCTTTTTCATAGCTCCATGCTTGATCATACAGTCAGGCTATACCCAATGTATGTATGTCGTTGTCCAGAGCCACCTGCCTCCCATCAGAATTTGAGTGACGAACCAGTTAATTCGTCACCGACACCACGAAGTAACACCCATCTACATACCAGTAAAAACTAGCAATCGGAGAAAACGGCAACTAAAGTTGAACGCCTTCTAAAACAACACTTTGCGTCAAAACGACAGAGTATTTTCAGTTGGGTTTCTCGTTGTGGACACTTGATGAATTGAATTTATTAAATCTGCTGTTTATCACTCGTTTGTGTATTAAATAAACAAGAAATAAGAGAAAAAAGATGAGCGTTAGTTCGTGAAACCGAAAAAGCTGCGAAACTGTAAATTTTCGTTTTCACGAAGTAACACTCTTCAATGTATTTAACACGAGAAGAGTGCAACTTCAGGTCAGCGCGCGCGCGCTCATACAACTTGTTACAAGAAGAGTGTTACTTCGTGAAAACGGTTTTGCTCACTTATGAGCAGAGTGCGCGCCATGCATTGCAATGGAAAATGGAACTTGAGTGTTACTTCATGAAAACGAAAATTGTCACTTTTGCGCAAAAGTTGCCATGGATACTTAGCGTAATTATTAAAGTAAAGCTCTTGAAGCTTTGAAACTTCGTGCAATGGTAGGCCTTGATGAATAATGTTTAAAAATCCAAAAAACTGAAAATCGAAAAAAATGTGGTTTAACACGGTAGAGTGTTACTTCGTGGTGTCGGTGACGAATTGCTGGAGAGCTACCTACATCTAAGAAGGCCACATTAGACTGGGCTCGGTCCAGTAATGCGCCAGGGTCTATTACATAGACTAGCATGAGGTATGCAGGCTATAAATGTTTCTTTTGTTTTGGACTCCATTTAGGCAGAAGGTGAGACAGAGGTGCTCGTAGCCGGAGACCCAGAGAGGCAGCACATGAAAAAAGTAGATGAGGAAGGTGGAGTCACTTACCACCGCAATCTTATTCAGTTGATGGTGAGTAGCCTTATATAAGGCTATAGCTGTAATCGGCTATATAGCCCATATACGTTTAACTGAACCAGTGTCATCGTCCAGTCTTTTTCCCGAGTGGGACAAGTTTACTGAACAAAATCCGGTACAGTTATGCTCTTGGTTTGTTTTGAAAATATTTAGACAAAAGGGCAGGCTGGTTGGGAAAGGACACGGACTCAAGTTCCGAGTCTGAGCTCTTTTGGTATATATGCTTTTTGTTGCACATGCCATTGTATGTCAGGATATGTGATGCGACCGTGGTCAATTTTTTTTATTACAGATTTGAAAAGAACACAATCTCAGCATTACTCATGTGAAAACCGTATGCTGATACCATCTTTAGTTAAAAAATTATGGAAGTCGGAACACCAAGAGATGTGATGTCACGGATGTGATGAAGTGGTCCTATTTTGGCCTGTATATCTCCAAATGAAAATTCCCGACAAACAACTCATGTAGCTTGATCGCATCACATATGTGTCTGCAGCTCATTCAAACTGCCGTAACAGATCTATCTGCACCTAGCTTATTCTCTCTGTATACTTTGGATTCAGGATAGGGAATGGGCTGCAACACTGATCCTACAGAATGAAGTCTCACCTGATAGTCAAACTGACGTTTTTGTTGTCATTCCTCCACAGGACAAGTTGGCAAAGGATCTAACAATTGAGCCCATGAAACCCAAGGCGTAATCTGAGAGAAACCCCTGCCTCCTCAACATAATGGGGACCATTAATTGGATGTATGTGTGAGATGCGTATGCGGCTTGGAAAAACTGGCTTGTTACATGTACATGTATATCACCATTTTGTGTGGTTTCACCAACCCCCACGCATGAGAATCTTCCAGTTTAACCCTAACCGAACTCAACCCATCAAAGTTCAACAGCAGGTTTTGTTTAAATCTGTTGAGATGCGTAGGCCCTACAGTACCCCTAAACTGATGGTCTTTTACACTGAGGTTGGCATACCAACAGTGTGTGTGTACAATTTCCCATGTGGGTGTTGATATTTGCCAGAATGGGTATGGTTCTTAGTAAATTAGGCTGGGGACCGGAGTTAGGGTTAAACAGGAATTTCTGGGGTTTTGTTGCCCTAATTTCTGTTTCTGTTTTTTAAATTTTGAGCCTGTTTTGGGGCTTTTTTTCTTTATTTCACATCTTTTTTTTTCTGTTTTTGCACAAGTTTCCTGTGTTTTTTTTCATTGAAATTCATTTTCATGCCTGAAACCCACATATTCCTTCGTAACATTTCGATGTGAAATTCACATTGGCCATGGCGTAACAGATGAAATAACCATCCAAAATGGTGATGTACTTAGATATTTTTTTTTTCTGAGCTGCATACGTATCCCGTACCCGCACCATTTACAACGGTCCCTACAGCTGTTGTGTCCAGTGCTGGTCCGCAGAGCTTTAAAGCCATGTAGGCCTAAACGCTCTCTTTGATTTGTTAAGACTGCCACACACACCTTTCCGATTTTGCCGGCTCACCAGATCATTGGCATATCGCACAGAGGTGTGCGCTGAAAATTTGGACCGATCTGACCGTATACCAGGCGACCGGATGAAATCAAACATGTTGATGTTTTTTTGCATCCGAATTCACCGGATACGATTTCACCCGCCGCAGCAATATGTTAACCAATCAGATTCACAAAGAAAGTCACATGGTTGTCATCATGTGACTGGTCGTCATCTGACCGATCACCATGTAACCGATTAAAGGAAGGAATCAGGCATGTAAGCGGATAACATTGCTGTCTTAATGCAGCGGTGAAAAAAAAAATATCAGGTGATGGGTTGATCCGGGAAACTGGTAAAATCGAGAAGGTGTGCACCAGGCTTATTAATCGGTAAGCAGCCATTGATTGAAGTGCAATTTAAGCATTGTGACTGGCCCCCAGAAAAACAGGCTAAATGTGACTAACGAATAAGCCAGTTCGGTATGTCAACTCCACATACGCACGTTGATGTGGTTCAATCACGGGCCGGTGTTGTACGAAAAACCAACTCGTATGAAAATCGGACATGTTTAAGCAAATTTGCTGTCATTTGATTGTTTTTTTAAATTTATAATGAATCGTGGATTTTAATCATTTAAAAAAGAAATGTGGGTTTTTAAAAAGTTGGAGATTCTTCACTTTTAGATGTACAATGTAAATGTAATAGTAGTTTTCTTTTTGAGTTAATAACAAACTAAACTGGTGTTCAAGGTACTACAGTACTATATATTAGATTTATATAAATCATTGATCTATGCAATCAGTATTCATTTACATCAGTGTTCATATCTGTATTATTTTAGTGACCTAGAAATGAACGTTTTGTTTTACCATGGTATACATGATGGCGAACCATACATGATACAGCAGAATTAGTTAGAAATAAAATGTTCTCTAGGCCTATGTCTTACTATAATAAGTAGAACTGCAAGTTGCTGCGGTTTTGGGTCTTTTAAAGGCATATCGAGTGCACAACTATCTCATTGAATTTTGGCTGTTCTGTTTCACAACTTTCCTCTTTAATGTAGGTATTTAATATGGCTTTTATATCAGAACACTGGTGTTGGGGGGGGGGGGCACTTTTCCAAGATACACGAGTATAGTGTTATCATGTGAGAAAATTTATCTTGCCTGAAAATGATTATTTTTTTGAGATGCATTTTGATTTTATGTTTCGATTAAATAAAAAATAGCAACTATTTTATTGGCATAGTGTATGCCGATTTAAAAAAAAAAAACCAGCTAAATTGTATCATATTCTACAGTACAGTCAGATTTGTATTTGTTTTGACAGCTGCAGTAATTAACAGTTTGATTTGTTTGTTTGAATCTATAAATTCTTGATAAAAATAGTTTGGATTTGCATGGAAAAACCATCAAATCTATTAAAAAAAAAAAAATGCTGACATTTTTCATCATACATTCCTCTGATTACATTGTCAGTGCATTTATTTATGTGGAACATTTCAATGACTAATGCAGTCGAACCCTGATAAGAATAAGAGCGCTGTTAATACAATATCCTGCTTCTAACAAGCAACATTCCAAAGTCTTTGTTTTTCTATGTTTTCCATCGTTTTTCATTACTGTTGATACAAGGTACCTGTTATAACGAGGTAATTTGTAAAGTCGGACTTGGTTATGAAGGTGTTCGACTGTAATGGACCGATCCAGTAAGCACCGCCCCATGGTATTCTGACCAATCACAGCCGTGATTTATGTCCGACGTGCGTGCACAAAAGTCCGACACATATGGTCCGACATGCCTGCACGCGCGTATAATGCGCGCGGCAGGAAAATGCAGCGTGGCATTGGAGAGGAGCACCCCACGTGCGGTGGGAGGGGCTTACTGGATCGGAAACAGGTCAACTCGTACGCGAACCAACTCGTACGCGAGACGACTCGTACGCGGATTGGTCAACTCGTACGCGAGACAACTCGTACGCCAGCAAACTCGTACGCAAGACAACTCGTACGCGGACCAACTCGTACGCGAACCAACTCGTACGCCAGGCAACTCGTACGCGGACCGAAATAAGCAAATTTAAATTGAACGATGTTTACGATCGCCAAAAGTTTACCCCAAAACACACGCAAAAGTTATCGATTTATCACAGTACACAGTACGATCATTGTATGACTGAATAACTATGATTGTAGCCATATGTATTTTCAACAGTTAAAATTCCATAAATGCAACGATGTCAAGTTCAAAAGTTTCAATGATACAAAAAAACATGATCCATTTTTTGCGACCGATGTGTAGTGCAATGCTGCGGCATGCGCTTCCAACCACGCAGCTAGTGTGGAGAATTTGTCAAAACGTACAACGATTTGATTTACATATAGCGCGGGGCCACTATAGCAATGAATTGTTGGAAGTCTACAAATGCAGCGGACATTATACGATTTAAATTCTCACTACGTGGCAATATCTTGTCGTAAAGCTTACGGTGTGAGCCAGGATCAGACATCGACAGTGTGCGAGTGGTCCGGGGAAACAAATCATAACTTTTTTGTTATGAGCAAAAAAAGCTGATTTAAAACTGAACTAATTGGGACCACTCAGTAACACAAAACATGCAAAATTATCCCCTTAACTTAAGAAAAACAAGAATGTGCCGGACAACTGACCGACCCTAATTTCCTACACGCCCGAACCAACGGTTTCAGTCTAGTCTATATTCACGCGTACGAGTTGGCTCGCGTACGAGTAGGTCCGCGTACGAGTTATCACGCGTACGAGTTGGCCCGCGTACGAGTTTGTCCGTGTACGAGTTGTCCTGCGTACGAGTTGGTCGCGTACGAGTTGGCTCGCGTACGAGCTGACCTGTATTCACTGGATCGGTCCATTGTCACCCCGTGCCTTTTTTTTTTAAAGTGAACCATCTGGAAATCATGCAGTGTTAAAAACAAAGGACTTCTTGTCTTGTATTTTTATTCACAATATCAATCCTATAAGACAGAACATTAATAACAATAAACTTAGTTTTGAAATGAAAATTAAGTGACACATTTTTGTAGAGTTTGTGATAACATGTTCATTTATCAATCAACTTTCTACATTGTCATCAGGACTTACAATGCGTCTTTCTGCATGGAGGGTTGTTCGCGTTTTCCTGATTTTATAATGGAAAATGGAATATTTCAGACCTCTTTCCCTAAAAAGGGAAATTACGGCTGGAATATTTCCAACTAGCTGCTATTAGGGTCATTCTATAAATTTGGGGTCCAAAGTTTGACATTTTCCCCGTCCCTGTTACCTTGGTACTTTGTAGTCTGCCATTCAAGCATCATTAAGAATGACTTCAAATGATTGTTTATTTGTTGGGTAGGTAGTTTGCTATTCATAATCACTGTTGGAGGATGACTGCATTAAGGAGTGCATCAGAATTATACAATCATAGATGTCAGATGTAACAGCTAGGGACGGGAAAAAAGTGGACCCCGGTTTATAGAATATGACCCATCAATGGGCTATTTATTATTACCGTGGATCAAAGCTGAATATTCTTTCCATGGGGGGGGGGGATCAGACTCTAATTAAATGGTTAACTGAAAGTCACATTTAAACTCGTTATAAAAATAAAAACAATTGAATTTGGGCGTTCACGTGGAATTGACTTAGTTGTTAGACTAGGAACAACTTTTTGCCGAAAACTTTTTCCAATTACATGTATTTTCAAACTCTTAATCAATGACTGTTTGATGTACTGATATGTGTCCCGTGCCAAAACCCACACTGTCAGACGGCGCGGGGCACATAATTATGACTACATAAAACAGTCAATGACTAGGCGCAACTTGTTTTCCTTCAATAGTGACGTCACACACGCGCGCGCACAGGTTGACCGTTTTAGCCGATTTTCGGCTAACTTTGACAGCATTTTTGTTTAAAAAAAAGAGTTTGACAGAAAATTTGACTGGATTTTTTGGCAGATTTCTGGCAGAATTCTGCAAAAATGGTTATTTGACAGAAAAACAGCAAATTTGAATCAAAAAATGCTACATTTGTTTAAAAACCCTTGCATAAAGGGACATATTGGCTGGTTTAGATGCTGAGACCTTGAGGTTCACTGGGAAACGGACTTTGTCGTGGCCGATCCGCATTTTGCCCAAAATTTACGCGATAATTTCACAACATCTTTATGAGAGTATAGATACTTTATAATGTAATTTGAAACTTAATTAAGGCAAAATTACCAATCTGCATGTGATTTTAAGTGTTTATAGTGTATTTCGAGTAATTCTGGGAAATTTGGCAGATTTTTGATAAATCTGACATATTTTTGAAGTGCATTTAGCAGAATTTGGCTCTGACCTTATGGTCACCCTGCGCGCGCATGAATTAAGCATCAGTCATGTTATACATACAAAATACGTCAGTCAATTCGGCAGCACGTCATGGAACTGCATGTCATGCGTGTAATTGTGAGCAGGTGAGCGGTAAGCGTAAAATCAGACTATTTTGTTCGTTTTTTTTTCAAGATTACCGATTGTTTGGAACAATTCAAGGGGTCTTATGGAATATCATGAATGTGTGGATCTATCCAGGGTTACTTTCTTTCTCATTTGTATTCTCTTTATCAGTTTTTTGGGGGCCTTTTGTCCTCGCGAGGGCATGCACAAAATGCATGTCGGGCCGAATGATGTCGGTCACTTCGGTTCGGCACCTAGCCAACTCGGCACCTGCCAATTCGGCACCTTGCCAACTCGGCACGTTGTCAACTTGGCACCTTGCCAACTCGGCACTTAGCCAACTCGGCACCCGAATGGGGAGCAACTATAGAATGCAGGGCCACGCCGGAGCAAGGTTTTTTATTTTGCTTGGAGGCGTGGATAGGACTAGGTCTAGGAGTAATATACCTGCAAAAAGTGCTAAGTACAGCGAATGCACTTGTCTTCTAAGCTTCTCATGAAGGATCGGAAGGGAGCGCGTGCTTGTAAATGTGTTGGGGGCACGGTACGGATCGGAATGGCGGAGGCGTGGAGTCGCAGAGTCGCGGAGACGCGGGGCACTGGAGTAGCGGAGTCGCAGAGACGCGCACCGATAGAGGGCGCAATTCTTGGCGGAATTTTTTTGAGAACGAAGCATCCGTATCCATTTTAAATGGGCTCGCAAATTAGGAAGGGAGGAGGGCGACGGGGCACTGTTCGGAGTGGCGGAGGCGCGGAGTCGTTGAGTCGCAGAGTCGTGGAGACGCGGGGCACTGGAGTGGCGGAGGCACGGAGTCGCGGAGTCGCAGAGACGCGCACCGATAGAGGGCGCAATTCTCGGAGATATCGACTGCGGCTCCACGACTCCACGATTGATTTTCGGAGGTAGGTCGTCTGAGGCTCCACGCCTCCACGCAGCCGTACGGAGGCGTGGATGTAGAGTAAAGGCAATTCTCGGCGGAATTTTTTTGAGAACGAAGCATCCGTATCCATTTTAAATGGGCTCGCAAATTAGGAAGGGAGGAGGGCGACGGGGCACTGTTCGGAGTGGCGGTGGCGCGGAGTCGCGGAGACGCGGGGCACTGGAGTGGCGGAGGCGCGGAGTCGCGGAGTCGCAGAGACGCGCACCGATAGAGGGCGCAATTCTCGGAGATATCGACTGCGGCTCCACGACTCCACGATTGATTTTCGGAGGTAGGTCGACTGCGGCTCCACGCCTCCACGCAGCCGTACGGAGGCGTGGATGTAGAGTAAAGTGGCCCTGCATTCTATAGTTGTACCCCGAATTTTGCCTCTTTCTCCCGACTTCCAACTCGGCACCTGACCTTCCCAAATCACGGTCCGTCCCTGGCTGGAGCATGGCTGGAGTTACCCAGCCCTAAATTTTATCATTGGGCTGTCAATAAGTCAAGTGTCATTTAGGGCTGGAGGACAGTAGTACCAAATAGGAGTGTACCAAATGTTAATTGTCCCACTTTTGTTTGGAAAAGTCCCTGAAATCGTCATAGGTGTTAATACTTCCTGGTCTTAATAGTAGGCCTAAGTTGTTGTTGTTTTTTTTTTTAAATTGGCACGCGCATGAGGTACACAGCACCATTTTGTAGCTTATTCTCAACGTTTCTCATTTGTTTGTGTTTTTAATACAGTCCTACACTGACAACCCTGACAGCGGTATCCAGTTTCAATGTAAAAGGGTGGGTCCTTTCCTCGCGAGTGCTTTGCGCAGAGTAGTGGAACCATCCGCCAAATTTTGAGCCGAATCGCGCCGCCAGGCTTCACCGTGCGCGCGTGATACATATGCCGGCACAAGATGATTTCACCGTCCCACGGACGGTCACGTTGACCAGAGGAGAGACCTGTGCGTACAAGCCCGGTCTGCTCACGAAAACTCGCTGCGCTTTATTGGTCAGCGGCAAAGTGCAACATTCTCGTCAGGCTAGTCCCATAAATGTGACGAAAATACTGGACTACCTCCGTATTTAACGTCACACATATCCAACATGTGCTATAAACACGGAGCGTCCCGTTGCTAGGGGAGCCGAAAATTAATTAAAGATCGAAAATATTTTGTTATTCAGAAACTCAACCCAGCTTTAGTATGACTGCTAAATAGCACAAAATCGTTAAATTCGGTACATTCAGAGGTCTAGTTATCCAAAAATCAAGTTAATTCGGCAGAGAATGCAGACAGTTTTGAAAAAGCATGGCGTCTGTGATATTTACCAGACTGTCATGACTGTTTCCCGGCCACCCTAATGATAATCAAGAGGCTAACGGGGTCAGGGAACCAGACAAGAGCTTTAATCGTCTACTGAGCGTGCGTCAACTTTGGCAAAGCGCACCGCGGCTGTTGCCTGTCATTCCAAAATCTTTGGCGCTCTGTGAAGTACCCTGATGCAAAATACGCGGCCCCAGGAGAAGAGCGCACACAAGAGGGCGCTTCACTGCGGAGGGCTTCATAGATTTTGGAATGACAGGCAACAGCTGTGGTGCGCTTTGCCAAAGTTGACGCATGCTCAGTAGACGTGACTACAGTGCAGCAATACAGCGGCCACACAAGGCGGGGCAAGCAAGTCGCCTACTGGGATAGGTAGCTTTTAAGCATTCTGCTCTAGTAGTAGTACTCAAACAGTCCACACCTATCACATTGTAGATGTCCAAATGAGTACAATGAAATACATAATTCTAGAAGTATACAGCACCATTTTGAAGCTTGTTCTCAATGTTTCTCATTTGTTTGTGATTTCAACACAGTCTCCAGGTGACAACTCTAACAGTGGTATCCAATGAGAAGATTGTAAATCTGCCAAGGACATCCAGTCCATAGTCTGCAGCATCCGTAACATACTGTACAAACTCCTTGATAGGATATCCTGCACCTTAAAGACGCAAGTTCCATTAACATAACATGAGCACTTCAGAAACAATGGACACCAAAGGACCTTGTCACGAGAGGGGGGCCAAGGATAAGAAACCGTTCCCTTGTGAGACCTGTGAAAAGGTGTTTGCTTCAAAACGAAGTCTAGTTGCACATATAAGGGTACACACGGGTGAGAAACCATTCGTTTGTGCCATCTGTCGTGAAGGCTTTAAAACATCACGAAGTCTTCAGTTACATGAAAGGACTCACACTGGTGAGGAACCATTCGTTTGCGTGACCTGTGGAAAAACCTTTACTACACAGGGTAATCTAGGCCATCATAAAAGGATACACAAGGATAAGAAACCATTCGCTTGTGAGACCTGTGAAAAGGCGTTTGCTTCAAAACAAAGTCTAGTTATACATATAAGGGTACACACAGGTGAGAAACCATTCGTTTGTGAGACCTGTGATAAGGTGTTTGCTTCAAAACAAAGTCTAGTTATACATATAAGGGTACACACGGGTGAGAAACCATTCGTTTGTGCAATCTGTTGTGAAGGCTTTATAACATCACGAAGTCTTCAAGTACATGAAAGGATTCACACTGGTGAGGAACCATTCGTTTGTGTGACCTGTGGAAAAGCCTTTACTACACAAGGTAATCTAGGCCAACATGAAAGGATCCACACTGGTGAAAAGCCATTCGTTTGTGCAACCTGTGGTAAAGGGTTCATTCGGCAAACTAATCAACGCTTACATGAAAAGATACACTCTGGTGACCGTGAAAAACTGTTCGTTTGTGCAACCTGTGGTAAAGCATTCGCTCGGCAAGGTGATAAACGCGAACATGAAAGGATACATACTGGTGAAAAACCATTCGTTTGTGTATTCTGTGGTAAAGCATTCCCTCGGCAAAGTCAGCTACATGAACATGGAAGGATACACACTGGTGAGAAGCCGTTTGTTTGTGGGACTTGTGGTAAGGCCTTTCATCAGCGAAGTGTTCTGTGTCAACATTACATGGTTCACACAGGAGAGAAACCTTTCATTTGTTTAACCTGTGGTAAAACATTCACTCGGCAAAGTGATAAACGCGCGCATGAAAGGATTCACACTGGTGAAAAACCGTTCGTTTGTGCTACCTGTGGTAAAGCATTCCCTCGGAGAGATGCTCTGCACGAACATGAACGGATACACACTGGTGAAAAAATATTCGTTTGTGCAACCTGTGGTAAAGCATTCACTCGGAAAAGTTACCTTTGCGAACATGGAAAGATACACACTAATGAGAAGCCTTTCGTTTGTGGGACTTGTGGTAAGGCCTTTCATCAGCGAAGTAATCTGCTCCAACATAACAGGGTTCACACAGGAGAGAAACCTTTCGTTTGTTTAACGTGTGGTAAAGCCTTCAGCTGGCCAAATTGTCTACGCTCTCATGAAATGATACACACTGATGAGAAACCGTTCGTTTGTGCCATCTGTGACAAAGCATTCAGCTGGCAAGGTGATCTACGCAGACATGAAAGGACACACTTGGGGGAGAGACTATTCCTTTGTGCTACCTGTGGTAAAGCATTCTCTTGGCAAAGTGATCTACGCGAACATGGAAAGATACATACTGGTGAGAAGCCTTTCGTTTGTGGGACTTGTGGTAGGGAATTTGTCAGTCTCAACAGACATGACAGGGTATACACTGGCGAGAAAGCATTCATTTGGGAGACCTGTGGTAAATAGGCCCACATGGCTCATGATAAACCAATATTTGGAGAAAACAATTGCCAGGATGTTTTATGAACTTTTCATAATAATTTTAACTCCACTCAGTTCAATTATGATCAGATTTTTTTGGGCATTGCCTAGTTGTGTGGAAGTTATACAGAAAATCAATAGAAATGGATCAGTTGGAACTTCAGTCCTGGGAGATATTTTCTTGGGTATGTTCTATGTATGCGTTTACTGTACCTCCCTTTGACAATCTTCACCAAATCCTCTGCTGTGCTCATTAAGCCAGCCTCAGGTCGACCTTGAGATGACACGGATCAGTCGACTGACTTTTCAGGTTCAAGTTGCGTCTGAGCTACGATCGTCCGGAACAACTCAGTCGCCGAGTTTGTGCGACCTGAGTGTGACTGCGACGATATTGAGATGATCGGCATCAGTTAGCGCTAAAAAAAAAATCAACAGTCGCAAGAGTATAAAAATTTCAACTTCTGCGACGTGTTCCCGCGACAATCACACGATTTCTCAGTTTTGTGACCTGAGCATAATTGTTGTGCTTGATGCCGACAGTTCCGTCGTGGCGCAAGCAAATCATGGGTTCACCTGAGGCCGGCTTTAGGCCTGGTTGAGTAGTAGACTTCTGTTCACAAGAACTCGCAAAGAAATTGCTCGTGAGTAGTCGAGTACTTACGAGTGCACACCAAACACATTGTAGATGTCCAAATTTGTAGTACAGAATTCTAGAAGTATACAGCACCATTTTGCAGCTTGTTCTCAATGTTTCTTATTTGTTTGTGTTTTTAATACAGTCTCCACTGACAACCCTGACAGCGGTATCCAGTCTCAATGTGAGGATCTTGAATCGGTCAAAGAAGAACTGGAGGAAACATCCAGCCCATAGTCTGCAGCATTCCTTTAAAGACATATAGTTGCAGAATTTCATGCAAACTTCAGTTGACCATCAAGGTCAACATAACATGAACACTTCAGGATTTCAGAAGACCCCTTAACCCAACCCCCTCCAACCCCCGCTGGCTATGCCTATGCCTTGTTTTCGCCAGGATGAGTAGTACTTGAGTAGATGAAAAGCCATGAGTAGAACAAGTAGCATAAACTACTCGTGAGTATTGGAGTAATCAAGTTACTCGCCCGGTTCCCATGCAGTGGAGAAACTAGGTCTAACTTTCTGAGTGTGTGCGAGGGTGCAAGAGGGGTAGTCGCACTTAATTGTACCCCGTCAGTGTGGAAATGCCTAATTACATGTACTTAAAAATGTCAGCACACCATTTTCGTTTTCCAGAACTGGTCCTCGCTGGTAATGACTTGGACATTTTCCAAGCCGATGAAGGGTTGGTGATCTTTGATATGTTCACGAACGGCTGTTTAATTGGGGCTAGCCTCAGGCTTGAATGTTCTTTGAACCCAGTGCCCAGCGATCTGCTCGTCTCGCCCACATAATGTTTGTGGGCAATCAGGACAGTAGATAACACTGCATTTGTTTTGTACGTACATCTTATCTTTGGGGTGAACCAAAAACGTTTGTTTTAGCTATTTTGTTGCTTAATTCAAACGAAAACAAAATACACAAAGGCCGTCAATGATCTTATGTACCTCGAATGGAGGAGATACATGCAATCGGTTTTTATTTTGTGTTCACCAAATATGCCTTTTATATATATTACATGTATTCCTCACAGAAAATATTTTTAAGAAAATAAGAATCATTCGTGGCATGGCACACACGAATAATATTCATCTGTACATGTCCATGCACTAATATTCATTTCCATACTTTATATGTTGTCTGTATTTCACTGCTTTTATTTCACCTTCATTTTAGATGGGCCTAGTGGTTATTTTCACGAAGCTTGCCATAAATTTGTCAATATGAATAACAAATGCATGTAAATAAAATCAAAGAATTTAAATGAAAATATAATTCTAAAAAAAAAAACATTAAAAGGATACATAATTTTTGTCATAAAGTGGTCAGCATAAAATTTAAATTTAAAGTTTCACAAACTTTTAAGCACCCAAAATAAAAAGGGACATGCACAATTAATATCAGTTATAACCAATTTTATTTAAAATAAGAATAAATGAAAACATTTAGGCTGTGGTTCAATGTATTCATAATACATGCACAGGCTAGGTGACTTCAATACCGATCACCTACTGACATGGGCGTCCCCAGGATGTAGCAATGGGGGCATTCCCCTCCCCCCTCCCCCTCCGGAAAAGTAAAAAAAGGGGAAAAGGAAGAAAAGGGGGAAAAGGAAGAATAAGAAAAAAACCAAAGAGGTGTAAAATCATATTTGCTAATAGTTTTATTTAACAAAATGGGTGTCTGCAGGGGTGTCAATGGGGGTGGAGTGGGTAAATGTCCCTCGACCATCTAAAAAAAATGAATAAATTGAGAATATGCTAGAGAAAGCACAAGGATTTTTGGGAAATTTTTTGTACTTTTTAGAAAAAAAACCCTGGCAACGCCCATGCCTACTGGCTTTATTACCAGGTGACTGCTCTAGTTTCCGACACTCATAGGTTCCCACTACCTGCACATAAGATTATGTTACTCCCGGTGAGGGTTAGGGTTTACGTTAAGGAGAATAAACGAGAAAGTGTGAATTCGTAAATTAAGAATGCACACTTCAGAGTGTATTCTTCGACTAAAACCATTGCGTCAATAGAAGTATTGGAAAGAGTGTTGCAACTTGACGCCACTTTTTTCTTCAAATATCATCTCAATGAAGGTCATTAGTTGCAAAAATGACGATAAGACATGAATCTGGGACTGCGAAATGTTTCCAATTTTGCTAGGAAATACTTGAAATGACTCTCCATAGACTTTGTACACAAGCGCGGAAGTGGCGGAAGGGTTGCAACATTTTGTTGTGTATAGGCTTCTTACATCAAAATGGATAGTTCAGACGACGATTTCTTTCTGACTAAAAGTAGTTTTTGCAGAGTGACGGCTGAGAATCTGACAGTGAAGATGCATTGGTAATTTTCGGAAAGCAAATTTTCACGCAGACGGTCCTATTCAGGCTCATTATGGAGAACAATTGTCTGACGTGTTAAAAGTGTGGATTCGTAATTCCGAATCCACACTTTACTAAAGAGTCGTCGTTCCAAATCCACACTTTGTGACCAGTGTAAGAGATTTGTAGATCCGAATCCACACTTTTAACAATAGTGTGACGTCATAGCAATGGTTTAAATAGGAATAGGAATATGTGCAGCCGGAACATAGGGTGTTAGAACAGAGGTGTAACCAATTATCATTGGCCATTGAATCAGTGGTGCACCCAAGGGGGGGGGGGGGGCCTTGGGGGCTTGAGCCCCCCCCCCCCAGAGGTTTTTTTTTAGTTCCATGATTGGACCTCGATGTATGTGGCCTATTTTCGAGAAGTATAATAGGGGTGTAAATGGTGCCACCAACGTCAAAATAGTGACCCCCCCCCCCCCCAAAAAAAAATAAATTTCTGCGGCCAAAACTTTTGGGCAAAATGTTTTGACAAAATTTTTAACTTCTAACAAATTTGAAAAACAAATAAATTGTGAGCCCCCCACCCCCCCCCCCCAACTGAATCCTGGGTGCGCCACTGCATTGAATTACTTGCTGCATAGAAGTTTAATGTTGAAGATAAAGTTGCTAAATATTTACTTAAGGACTGGAGTTCAGTTTGATTGCAGAGCAGTCTTGATCCTCGCCAAAGCTGTAAAAAGGAAGCAATGTTAAAAATTACATTTCACAACCATCAAAATTATGTTTAGACGTTGTGAAAAATGAAATCATGAATTTTTCAAGTAGAAAGATGAAGTTAACTGTAAGACTGTTCGCAATGTACAAGACAAACAGGATGATCCAGTTCACTATTTAAGTCTGCTTAATATATATTTAACACTTGAACCACTCTAGCAACTTATCTAGGAAAAAAGGAAAAAAATCTACCCAGTCAATATGTAAATCAGCTTTGATGTCAAGTTCGCAAACAGCATCCTTGATCTAAAATAGATCCCACATTTCTTGCACATATTCTTTTGCAGGAGCTAGCGGTCCAAAGGGACCGTATCATAAGTCTGACGCCCCATAGGTCCGACTCCTCATAAGTCCGACAAAATCGCATCCCCCAACCAAATAAAGGCCCATAAGTCCGACGCCTCATAGGTCTGACGCCTCATAAGTCCGACGCCTCATAGCTCTGACGTCTCATAGCTTCGACGCCTCGTAGGTCCGACAAATTAAACGCCTCGTTTTTTCGGTGTCGGACTTATGAGGCATGGGACCTATGAGGCGGAAAAAATAAATTTTATTCCTCGTACACGTCCGACGCCTCATAAGTCCGAAATTTCAGACTTATGAGGCGTCGGACCTATGAGGCGTCGGACTTATGATACGGCCCCTTTGGACCACTAGCTCCTGCAATGATTCGGCTTTCGTGCCTCATCTATCTCTTGTCAATCCCTGTAAAAATGCATCCCCTCCATTGTCACAAGGCACCTCCACAATCGCCATTTCCCCCCTTGAAAGCACTTAACATCTCAAATGCTTCCTTAACTCCCTTGCCTTTTCAACAGAAACCCTCTGATGCCAACTAGGTTGCTTCACATATTGACTTATCGCCGTTTGCGAGTTAGCCACGCCCCTTAGACAACCCTAAGGAATTTGTGTACGCTATTCAAGTTTTGTTTGTCTCAGATGCTGCCCTTCTGCGTCCATTTGTATATCATTTTGGATAATATTTCTCAAGCTGCGTTGATGCGTTTCTAACGCGATTCTACCGTGATAGGTCAATTACAACCTGTGGCCTAGAAACCAAGAACCACCTCTCGACTAATACAGCGGTGAGATTGGGAGCGAATGTAAACTCCAGGAAGTAGTTGACGGAGGGTGTGAGGGTTGCTGAGGGGCCCAGACCAATGTTGAGATTTGAAGGTTTGCATGGTGGAAAGACACTAAGACAAGATAAGTTTGCGGTAGCACCATGTGATTAAATCTCTATTGTGAGTATGTGTGGTTCTGAATCTGAAAAGAACCAGAGGGACTCAACGTTTTGAACAGTATGCTCTGCCCTTCTCCAGACGACAGGCAGAGCATACTGTTTGAAACGTTGAGTCCCTCCGGTTCTTTTCAGAACCACACATACTCACAAAAGAGATTTATTCACATGGTGCTACCGCAAACTTATCTTGTCTCAGACCAATGTTGGGTTTATGGTACCTGTATGTATTTACCGAAAGGCACCGTACCCCTTAAAATGTCCCCTAGAGTCTCCTCTTCAAGTCCCCCTTACCTGTCTCTAAGATGCTCTTGTCCTTCGCAAACACCACCCTGAACCACCCCCTCTCTTGTCCCTGGCAAGTCACAGAGGGAGTGCACTGCACCCCGGCCCGAAGCAACTTCTGGTTCAGTTCCATTTCTGCTTCAGCGGTTGGTGCCGACAGAAACTGCAAGAATGTCAAAGCTGCATTACTGCATTTAAAACGTCTGTTTATAACGGGCAACAATTAAAATGGTCGTACTGAAATTAATACACAGGTGGTGACAATGAGTGCGAGTCCAAGTCCGAGTCATCATTTTTTTCATTATGAATTATAACGTATGTAACGTATTTTTGTGAGTTATGAAGCAACATTTTTGGAATAAACTTTCATGCGGTAAAAAATAGGAAAACGTTACAAATAAAAAAAGAAAGAACAAAACTGGAGGTTCATCTTTTGCTCCCCTCTGCCTCCCCTTTCCCCCATTCTTGATGAATTGAGACGAGCCCCAATGATCTGCAAATATCACAAACCTTGGAGAAGTCAGCCCAGACGTAGAGCCCAGCAGTCCCCTTGTGACAGGGAACACCCAGCTGACTCAGGCCCTGGGTGAAATAACGATGAGCCTCCTTCAAGTTCTTCACTGAAGTCGGCAGGAAGACATTGACAAACCAGTCTGAAAAGGCAAAAAAAAAAATGCAAAGAGTTGAGTGTGATTCATCTCAATTTTTGGTGACCTAACTAGATGTGTAGTCTGGGGCTCAGAGACGTTCATGCTTGCAGAGCCACACTACAAATATCTGATCTATCCGTGCATGTAAATCTTTTGCGTCGCCTATAGAAGTTGTGAAATTCTTTAGAGCAGAAACTGGGCCAGGGCTGTTGATTGGCCAATAGCTGCTAGTTATTTTCATATGACATCAGGTTACCAAAGACACACTCGCTTGTAGATGGCTTTTGATCGACTTGTGACGGACATGTGAGGACTTTACTACAACTTGAGAATATTCACTACAGTCGGCAAACGGTTGCACAATGCATGTCAATGGAACAGCCTGATTTCATTTAAAAATGTAAAAATTTGCCTATTTTATCAAGCCAATTTTTTCTTTTACAGATCTGAAAAGAGCACAATCTCAGCATTATCGATGTGAAAATGGCATGCTGGTACCACCTTTAGTTCAAAAATATGGAAGTCCGAACACCTAGAGATGTAGTGAAGTAATGGGCACAATTACAGAATACCCCACCACTCGATCTATCCACCTCGTAGCCGGCTACGAGGTCACGGTTGGTTGACCTCAATAAACATTCTCAGTGCTACTTGTATGTACATTGTTGTACTATGCGTCATGCTCCATTGCACTCCCACTTCGTAACCGTGTAGCCGCCAACAGGGTAGTTGGTTTGGACTTAGAATTTTTCTCAGCAACTCCCATTCCTTTTGTGTTGATTCGTTCTCAAATAATGGACCCCCACTCAGTATCCGCGTAGCTGGCATGGACTTGAACTGTTTCTTTTCCAGTGATTCCAACCTCGTAGCCAGAGAATTTAGGGGTGTATTTCCGTGTGGCGGGGTATTCTGCAATTACTCCAAGTAATGTGATGAAGTGGCCCTATTTTGGCCTGTATCTCCAAATAAAAGTTCCCAAGAAATGACTCATTTAGCTTGATAGCATCACATATATTGCCCCACCCTCCAATTGCCCACCTCTCAAAATTTTGGTGTCAATTTTTCCAAAAACCCTACCGGTGTCAGTTAGCAGTTTAGCCATATGTGCCTGCCAGCCTGTCGGCGTCCCATGGAAGTGAGCGATGCTCTTCAGTGCTTCATGGATTTTGTTGTTCCAAGTATAGTTCACGGCGATGCGCATTCCACTCATCGCTAGATCCTAAACAAAATCAACCCTTACATAATGTGTACAGAAACTTGTGGCAAATTTTTTAATTATAAGCTACTTGGTACTTGGCTGGTGGTTCTCCTAAATATTCCATCTAGGGAATTTAAACTGGAGGTGTGCGGGCACCAGGGTTTACGGCCACTGCCAGAAACACCGGGGCGAACCCCTTCTCTTAGCGACAAGTGTTACTGGGTTCTTTAACATGCATTACACAACACGCAAGACCTACGGCTTTACGTCCCATTGTGAGGATGAAGCAAAAGTGGTAAAGTGCCTTGCTCAAGAGCACAAGCACCATATTCCCATGGCCAGGATTGGAACCTGTGTACCACGGCACACAAGTTGAACACCGTAACCATGAATCCATGCACGTTAAAGCTACAGTCCATCATTTGTAATTTGTGCATTTTGTTCGTTTGAAGCAACAAAAGAGTTCAAAATCTAATGAAGGATACTGAGCAACTAACCTGATGAAGTTTCAGCTAAGCTTCAGCTGTACATTCCGAGAAAAACAGCATTCTAAGATCTCAATTTCAAATCCAAAGTTACTGAATCATGTTTTGAATTGTTTTGAATTGCAGCTATACGCGACGTCGCGCACTGATCCGACGAATTATAACAACCGCGCGCGCGTGTGCGTCGTTCCAATACAAAACGAACTACTAATTTAAATTTTCCTACGGTGCTTCTTAAGAATCACCGTTGGAAATGCCTTCTTTCGTTGATTACTTCAAAATGACAGCTTCCCAGAAAGAATAATTTCACAGGGAGTTTAGTCCCCTTACTATCTTTCAACCAAGTTTGTTTTTCAACAATAAATACGCCAGTTACTTTTCGGATGGCTGCAAATGATGGACTATACCTTTAAGCAGTGTTCTCCACATGTAGGTTTTGGGAGGGCGGGCCGCCCTCCTAAGAATTAAGGCCGCCCTGCCAAAGGATTGGCCGCCCTGCCCAGAAAATTGACTGCCCTGCCTAGAAAATTGACTGCCCTGCCAAAAATTTTACAAATCATGGATTTTCTAACGATTTTTTTCACAAAATGTCATTTTATTTCAATCATAATTTTGAAGAAAAGTCGATGGAAATGGCACGTTAAAATCATCGCGAACGTAGTTTTAATCTCTTTCACCAGTCGTTAGTGGAGTGTTTAAACGGTAGAAACACAGGGCATAACACTGATCAGAGCCTTCTGCGGCTGGACAAAAATTTACACATTGACAGGCGACATGGAAAAATCACCGTGTCGCACGTGCGTGTGAATATGCAATGGTACCAGTGGCGCGTACGTACCGCACCGTACCGTCCGCTAGCACATGGCCGGTCGGGAACGGGTAGCCTTGTGAAAGATCCAGTGGATAAAATCATTATGTTGTGCGATTTTCGGAGGTTTCAGATTTAGTTGTACAAAATGCAATGCTTTAAAAATCATGATGATTATCTCGAGGATAGCGAAGAGAGCATTAGCGAAACATTTCACTGGCATTTGCTGGAAGAGAAAGACGATAATGCCTGATTTTTCCCCACGTATGAATGCAAGTGGAGTAGTGGAGTTGTGTGGTTGAATCATGGACATGATTGAAGCACCATGAACGGTGCCCTTTTCTTTTGGACTTTTCCCTCGACTTTCTCAAGTAAGAAGTGAACTCCTTCATTGATGACTCCATTACTCTAACCGTAATTCAGGCATTTTATGCAATGAAAACACTGACCATTTTTTTTTTCATCGTAAAATTTTGTTTGAATCGAAAGTAAAGCAGGAGTTGGTGTCTGGAAATTGGGCATGAAGTGTATTGTACATACATGTACATGTGTGTAATGGCAGCGTGGCCCAGATTTCGGACACGTATTTTTGTTCGACCTATTTTCTGATTTTTTTGCCATATGCCAGTTCCGATGACGTCATGCCGCCCTCCCAAGAAAAAAGTCTGTGGAGAACACTGGTTACGGCCCCCTTCAATGGAAAAACCATTGTGCACGCTATTGTGCAAAGCAACTGCTCCCGTGACAGGTTATCCGAACAACAGATGTAGGACAATGCATTTGCTACTGATATAAGTGATAACTTGCCTGGATTGGTCTATAGTTTGCAGCAATCTTACTGAGCATGATGGCATCATCAAGTTCATGCATGCTTACAGCAAACTACTCTTACAAATGTTGTTATAACTATCCAACAAGCCAGTTAGCTCTTTAAAGGCGTATGAATGCACAAATAGGTTGCACGATGCTCGCGTGTTAATTACACACAGAATGGGTGTTTGCATACAGCATCGAATAACATCACGTGAGCGATTTTTTTCCTGAATGACCTTTGACCTGGACTACTTTATTGAGAAACTGAACTGGCTTATAAGCGTGGACGCTTTCGGCATATTTACAGTTACATGTAGCTTGCAAAAGCTTGTACTGTGAACTGCAATTTAACAGTAAGCTTGGGTTTAGGCAGATGGACATCTTCCAAGCAAAGTCTTACCATCACAGTATTTCAAAAGTGCCATCAATATTTGGGGTTCTGACAAACTACAATTTCACGTTTCATAGGTAGCTTGGAGTCTTATTCCTAGCCAAATGGGCTATGGGCACATTTTGAAGCATGAGAATTAACAGTCTACCTTGCTAAATGTCCAAACGAAGTGCACTTTCTGCATGTCTGGTATCTCGTCTTCTCTGAATTGGAAGATACTGTTGTGTGACACGCCGTCCTCAAAAACTGTACTCATATAGACTTCATCGAAAACCACATGAAGGTCGTGCCTGGGAATTGAAGGAATTATGGATTATATTATCTCTCCTTCTTGTGTCGTCATTGAGACGGTACTAAATGCACAGAGTGTATGCCACATAGAAAAAGCAATCTAACAGCTCTGGTTCCTGTCTCTTCCTTTCAGAATACAAAAGATGATGGAGGGACCCCGGAACCATTCTATTTGACTCTTGTTGGGCACAATTTAAATCCAACCATACATGAATAGGAGTCAGTAAGTCCTAAATTCCTACCGTTTGGCAAACTTGAGTAGGTCCAGGACCTGTTGTCTGCTGTAGACGTCGCCCAGAGGATTGTTAGGGTTGACGAGAAACAGCGCCCTCACAGTGACACCCTTATTAGGATAGAGAGAGCAAGTATGATCATCACCTGTGCTTCAAAGCATAGCGGAGCCTGCTTCATGCATTTTGAGCCTTGCTTAGAATTTCTGAGATTCACTTGGATATTAAATGCTAAGAAAAGGGAGGTTGTGGTGCCTGAAATCGTGCTACTCAAAAATCAGCTAAGAAATACAGCAATACACATTGCATGACAAAGTTGGTCTTGTTTTCTTGACCAAAATGAATATCAGTGTTACATACTACAGTAAACTCCGGCTAAGTCGGCACTCTCGGGACCCGAAAATTTGTGACGACTTACGCGAATGCCAACATCTCCTGTAAGTCGTCATTTTGCCGACTTACATGAAGGACTTCTGCACACGATTCATTGCACTAATTGGCTTCGATTTACCCTCGTTATCTCCTTAACGCTCGAGTTGAAATTATCAAATTAATCCTCGAATTTTATCATCACGTTTGGGGTATTGATAGTGGAGACCACGATACATATGTACGTGCGCAGTAACGAGTTAATTGCGTGCGTAGTCGGTCTGGTATACCACGCACGCACTGACTGCAGCACTAGTCATTCCATAAGATGACCCCAAAAATGGACAGAGCACATGCGCACAGACGAGAGGGGGTACTGGTATTGATATGCTCACGATGCACATGCGATGTGTATGCAGTACGACACCCTTTTGCGCCACAGATGTATGCAGCGATTACGGGCCGTGCCAAACCACTGTTCAATCAACACTTCTTGCCAACCCCAGTACAGGAAGTCGATACCAATGCGAGATTTTTTGAATGCCGACTTACACAAAGGATTTTGTAATGCTTTTTATGGAAAGGGGACCGAGAGTAACACGACGCTCAAGGTGTCTTATCAGAGCCGACTTACAAATAAAAAATTCAACGGAAATGCATTACGGACAATGGGGACTTTAGTCAGACGGCCGACTTGAGCGATTTGACAAATTGTACGGTGTCGGTTTAGCCGGAGTTTACTGTACATCAATCTTACCCAACTGTACAAAAGCACAGCACAAGTCTACTTAATCTTTAAAGTGCAAGACACTACAAGCATTCCTGGTGTTCCTCCTTGTCAAATTTTGGGTTATGATCCCCTTGATCCTCGGAGGCAAATATTGTTAATTTCTTGTCAATCTTTAACACATAGAGATGTACCTCTTTGACTGCTTTCTGGTAAGCCTCTTCTGCTCGCTCGGCAGTAAGCTCAAATGGTTGCGTCTCTCCTGGTCTGAGCTATGATTAAATTGAGAATTTGAAGTACCGGTACATTTGTATAATAATAAGGGAATAAATGTGTGTTCAGGAGGTATTATAACACTCTGTTTAAGACCGGTGTGAGTCTGGATGGGTAATTATCACCCATCCAGACTCCCACAGGTCTGCAACAGAGTGTTTAATACCGACCTAAAACATATTTATTCCCATTCATAAATACCTTTTCGGTCAAAAAAACAAATCTTTTTGGTCCAAAAATTAAAACAAGTAAAATACTAGACGTTACCAACCATTTTGTTCAACAATTTTACTTCATGTTTTACAAAACACCCCTCTGACTATAATATGGAATGCACCATATTATAGTTATGTGACACTGGAAAAGTGTTTAAGACCAGCTAGCCATGTCCTTATCATCCGTTTAAGACCGGCCACGTGACGGGCTCTCGACCAATAGGAATGCGTAAACTGTCTTAGGTATTTATGAATTTGCATTTAATGTTACAAAAGGTGACTTAAAATTCAGGTTTTTTAATTCAACCCTAGCTCTATCTTTTTTGTTTGTGAATCAAATCATTAAAGGGAGCACAAAACTTGTGGTTTTCTTAATTAAGTAAATGTAACTACAACATTCTGAAAACTCTGACACCATTTGGACACCATTTGCAAGCAATCAAAAAACAAAACTGTCAAACTACAAATGTAGTCCAGAGCACTGACTCCTCATTCTTATGCGCGGAGAATCTTTGAAGCCATATCCTGGGCGCAGACATTTTGAATTCATGTGCGTGTTGTAGAACATAATGAATTAGAATTTTTAAAGTGTATTCTAAATGCAATGCGCAAACAACTTGAGCTAAACAACTTAAGCGCGTCATTACGGTTTAAAAAAATGTCACGGTTAATCATCTGCAGCAGATACACACGCGCGTTGCGCTGTTTGTGCAGAGCAAAATGACACGATCATTTGCTGATCCTGCATTTCAGTTTTGGGTGTTTTGGCTTCGATAACGCACCTGTATAGAATACAAACGCAGATATGCAAATGGCCGTACCAAAGACGTAAACAATTTTGAGTTTCCCACAGGTTTGTGTACAAACATGGATGCACCCAGCAGGCATCACTTTGTACATGAGTCAGCGCTCTAGTAATTTAATAAAGCTCTATGGTCCACGCACAGAAGAAATCAGGAAAGTCAGGTTGGCGTAGCGGTACTTTCCTCGCCTTCCACCGCTGTGACCCGGGTTCGAATCCCGCCTGGGCCAATATGTGGATTGGGTTTTCAGTCCCTGCCTGATTCCGTGGGTTTTCCCCAGAATATTCTTCTGGACTTTTCCTCCCACCTCTAAAACTGTAATTTCTTCTCATTGCCTTCTCTCCACAGGTTTCTTCAGGCTTGTGAGCTGCAGTGCCCAGGGCGCTTTTGAGGAATCCTTGGTTTCATTACCAGAAATGATTAATAATAATAACAATAATTATTAACGTTGTATACAAATTCCACACTTATTCACCAAGGTAATGATTACCTCTTTGGTGAGAGGAATGGGAACTACATCCACGTTGGGTCTGACCTTCAGATTGCTGTGCAGTCCGTAATAGAACGGGACAGGCAACAGTACAGCCTCTGAAATGCAGCAGGAAAAAAAAATCCCCAAATTACTGAAAATCAAATCTAGGACTAGGTCTACTCTATCTACCATGGGGATAACAGTTATTAAACCTTTTCAGTAAGGTAATTACAGCCCAAGGAAACTCAAAAGTACATCAAAAATGTAACGTGAGTAACCGTGGAATTGCCCTCATACATATGTAGACTACACGCTGTGTTACCCACATAAACACAGTGGCAATCTGTTCTGCTAGAAAACGAGTAAAAGTTTGTCATATGTGGTGAAGAATTCATTCCCAAAATCCTGGATCCAGACCCAGGTCACTTCCAAAATCTAATCGATTTGTACTTGTACCAAGGACCACCTTAAAAACAAAATTCATGAAAGTCTATTCCTAACTTTTTGAGATACATGTATCTTGTTTACAGACAAACCAACAACCATCTACTAACAAACAAACAAACCAACGCCGATGAAAACATTTACCTCCTTGGTGGATGTAATAATCAAATACTAAAATGCAGAGCAGCTGCTCAGAATCCCCATCGTTGGTCAACTCTACGACCCCAAACCTGGATACAACGTACGCCATGGGGCAAATCAAAAAATTAATGAAACACGTACCTCCAGAATCACATAAAACAAATCCCATGGCTTCCAAACCTGCATCAGCACCATTGAAGATGATCATCTGAGTAAAAAAATAGCAAATAAAAGGGAAAGTGAGAAACAATAAAGCAGTATATTTTATATTGGTCTAAATCCGGTTGGCACAGTGTTTACTTTCCTTGCCTTCCACTGCTATGGCCCGGGTTCGATTCCTGCCCCGGCCAATATTTGGATTGGGTTTTCAGTCCCTACCTGATTCCGTGGGTTTTCCCCAGGATATTTTTCTGGGCTTTTCCTTCCACCTCTAAAACTGTAATTTCTTTTCATTGTCTCCTCTCTACAGGTTTCTTCAGGTTTACGAGCTACAGTGCCTTGGGCACCTTCGAGGAATGCTTGGTTTCATTACCAGAACAAAATAAAAATTAAAAAAAGACAAAATTTCTTACTCTTACAGCATCCAAGGGGTCTCTGGTCTCTTAGAGCATCCCAGCCCACGTACACTGCACTGATAGTTCACGGGAGCATGTAAGGCAGTTTCTTAGAGAATCCTGGGTTTTTTTCTTAGAGCATCCTAGGGGATTCTTTTGGAGCATCCTGGGGGCTCTCTTACAGCATCCCAAAGGGTTCTCTTAGAGCATCCCAAGGGGTTCTCTTGGAGCATCTCAGGGGTTCTTTTAGACCACCCCAGGAGGTTCCCTTAGAGCATCCCTGAGGTTCTTTTAGTCTAGAGCATCCCAGCCCATACTGCACCGATTGCACAGATGTTCTCTTAAAGCATCCCTCTTATGTTACACTGTGCCAAGACAAGCATTCTTAAAGCAGCATTCTCTTAGAGCATCCATTCCTAGCCACACAGTGCTATGAGTGCATAGGATTCCTCTATGAGAACCTCTGTGTAGGCTGGGACCAGTGCTATAAGAGAAGCCCTAGGGTTCTCTACAATAATCCCCAAGCAATCAGCGCAGTGTATTCACTCAAAGAGAACCTGAATACTTCATTGAGAGTAAAACAAGGCAGTGATAACATTTCTTTTTGCTTACAATCTTGGTTTCATGAATTTTCCATACTGGAAAGTTGCTTTCGTTTGTTTGTTGAGTTCTTTGTTAGTTTCGAGCATGAAGTTTAGTTCCTGTCGTATTATTATATCAATTAAATAAAAGATACCTTTTTGAGACTTTGGTTACAGAGCTCGTATTGATCTGCGACACCATCACGTGTCTTTATGAACTTTGTTTGTTTGTTTTTTTAATATCCGTGCAGCCATGTGCTACGCGGTTCTGCACACTGTGTTGGCTGGCTATATGTACAGCACAGGTCTACACAGAGACACCCAAGCCGAAACCACGATGTAAGTCTCACACGGTTTTATTAAGTGCAGCGACCAGGGTCAAGCATCTGGTCACACAGGTTCTCTGAGAGATGTTTTGAAGGCCGTGTGGTTCATTGACCACGTCAGGCTCTTGGACGAGACCGCAAAACATGCATGCTGCTTGCGATATGCGCGGCACCATCTATCGTAAATCAACCCACTAACAACATCTTGGAAACAGGACTACCCTGCCACAGAAGATTTCCCCAACCTATAAGTACCGTACCTTGTCAGGGTTGAGGGGCGTCACTGCACGTGAAGTGACGGTCAGGAGTTTTGCGATTGCATCTCGCAGCTCTGGCAACCCTTCTTCTGGACTGTACATAAACATCTCGTCAGACCACGTCTTTGGTGATTCCATGGAGCAGTTCAACTGGCGACAGAAAACAAAACAAAAACAAAACCCAGAACATAAATCATAGACTAAACCTTTATTTGGGAACATGATGAAAAGTAAAATCTATCCCAATGGAGCTGATGAGGAGCAGTCAACTGCCCGATTTCTGCAAAATAAACAGGCACAATTCTAGATTAAAAATACGTAGCCCGGGGCCTTAAAATGCAGAACAATTACTAAAGGGCCTCATTTTAAAACAACTGTAAGAATGTTTTTGAATGTCAGAAATTGATTGTATTATTAACAATTCATTTGTTTGTTTTTTTACTACATTTACAAACAATGTTATATGTACCTTTCGCCGACACTTGCACAAATATAGAACAAGTTTAAGGGGCTCAATGGGTTGGGAATTGAAAAGAAACATGAATAATGCATACCTTTTCTCTCAGCAGATCATACATGAGACTGTTTTGAGCAGTGCCCATATTGATAAGACCCTGGAACAGGAGTAAGCACATTGATAACTGATGCATTAGTGACTTAATACACTACAATTACTTTCACATACACTGTTGAACTGGATAAACAAATATAGAGTCTAATTTCTCAGGTTAGGCCAAAAAAAAAAATAAGTCGGTCTCTGGTCAGCACGCGCGTCGATTTTTATCATGCGCGTCGATCTTTTTTTTTTCCAAAATGTTCCACGGTAGCTCCAACAGCGCCCTCTTTTTCCGCACCTCCTCAATTTTTTTTACCAAAGAGCACCAAGGAAGGGGAAATTGCACCAAGGCAAATGATCGAAAGCACCAAGGCAAATTATGGAGGACACCAATGTACATGAGGACACCAAAAAAGCAAAATAGTACCCCACCTTGTCTGTACAATCCAAGCTTGAAGAAAAAAAAAAAGCGAAAAAAAAAAAAAAGCCGCGTGGCCGCGTCAATTCCGGACCTTTGGTCTGACCAGAGACCAAATATTTTTTTTTTTTGGCCTTATACATTGTAAATTCAAATTCTATGAAGATACGTTTTTTTCTGATTCCAATATTTGGCCAAAGTGTAATAATATTGAAGACCGCTCACGGTGACTACACAAAATAAACTGATGGCTGAACTGCCTCCGTGTTTACTCAATCCCACAACACCCCAAACTATTTTACACCAAAATTTGTGGATTCTTTTTATTGAACTATGTCAGACCCATAGAGCTATACATTTAATTACTAGAGCGCTAACTCGTCATTCTGCGCGCGGAGACGCTTTGAAGCCGTCCTGGGCACAGACATTTTGAATTCATGTGCGTGTTTGTAGAACACACTGAAATTAGATGGATTGAATTTTGGAAGTGTACTCTACATGCAATGCGCAAGTAGAACATAAGCAAACAACTTATAATTAAGCGCGTCATTGACAGTTTAAAAAAAACGTGACGGCAAAAAGCATCTACAGCGAATACGCGCACGCGTTGCGCTGTTTATAATTGCCCGTTCAACCAGAATAATTTGGTAGCTCGATTGGTCAAATGCAACTTCTATGCCGAAGGTTCCAGGATCAAACCCCCATGCTACGCTTTTTAATAACAATGTGTTTCTTTAAAAAAAAAAATTACTTTTATGTTTTTAATTAAATTGTTCTTTTTATTTAAGTAGATTTCATTTTCTTCTTTATAATTAGCTGTTTTGCCTTTGGAGGATTTAAAAAAAAAATGGAATAAAGTCCGAGAGCCATTCGATAATATTCTGGTTACACAACAGCCAAAGATCCAGAAGTTGAATATGCAGACAGGTGACCATGTTGACAGGTTGATTACACCACGGAGGAATTTATTCCTCCATGATTACACTGTACCATGCCATGATAACAGATGATAACGACAGCAGTAGAAAATTGCATTATGGCTGCCTATGATGATACTTTTGATTGCCACTAATACGGTACTAATTAAAACTAAGTGCAAAGTTTCTCTTGTTACTTTTACATTTGATCTACAGTTATATCAATATCAGGGTGGTTTTACACATCGAGTTCCGCATGGTTGTACCATTCCTCCATGGTTGTACAAGCGTACACACATACAATGGCCATGATTCAGCAGAAACGTTTTTTACAGAACATATGTTACTTATGGATGGTTTATTATTATTATAAATATTATAATGTGCTTATCAATTGTTCCCATCCCTCCCCCCCCCCCCCGGACTGCCCCACCCAAGATATGGGGATTGTCACTTTTGAAGTGACCAATACCCGGCCCACCCCTCGGGCAAAATTTAAGAGACAATCCCCGACAATCATGACCATACCCGACATACGTGCATTTCCATGTAGCACGCCAATGGTAACAATGTCATTAGTGACCAAAATCCCCACCCTGGGGCATGAAAAACGTGACCAAATCCGACATCGGACCTGGGGCTGCGGGGGGGGGGGGGGGGGGGGGGGAAACATTTGACAGGCGCATAGGCTAGCCTAAGCTTACAAATTGTACTTGTAGACTGCAACATGGCAACAACTAAAAAAAAAGACATCACAAGTCCAAATTACGTTTGGATTTTTCTCGGCATCGTATTTCCCTTGATCCACAATCCCTCCAAGTGCTGGAACCACACGGTTTGCTTCATAGGAAAGGATTGCCTCAGCTCGCTGAGAAAGAGACGATGATGAACTCGCGGAAGACATGTCGGACGTTTCTGGGGGCCACTGGTCGAGAGCTCAACTGTTCGATCGAGAATTGCGTAGTGTGCACTGCAACATACACGTACACGTGTATGAAACTGTGACCTTTTTTTAGTTACAACATGTACAAAGGTCACTTGTTTCTGCGATCGGAAAATGCTGTCGTCCGCTATTGCCTAGGGTCTATTTATATGGGGCGCGCAACAAATGCAGCAGCTACTCTGATCTATCCATTCTTATTGGTGACCGTTTTAGCCGATTTTCGGCTAACTTTGACAGATTTTGTGAAAAAATTTCAGATTTCTAGCAGAATTTTGCAAAAATGGTTGTATGATAGAAAAACATCATAGCAAGTTTGAAATAAAATGGCTTTTGTCTTTAAAAAAAATGTCAATGATTTCGAACAATCCACGAATTACTAATTCGTGGGAACGAATTAGCAAACTCCAGTAATTCGTTCGCACGAATTACCAATTTGTTCGCACGAATAACTCCAGTAATTCGTTCGCACGAATTACTAATTTGTTCCCACGAATTAGTAATTCGTGCGAACGAAACAGGAATTCGTCCGAACGAAATAGCAATTCGTGCGAACGGATTACTAATTCGTGCGAACGAATTAGGAATTCGTGCGAACGAATTAGCAATTCGTGCGAACGAATTAGTAATTCGTGCGAACGAATTAGGAAATTCCAAAAAAAAAATCCACCCTGTCCCTTCCCGGGCTTCATAATATTGTTATTTGAGCCCGAATTAAGGCAATATTGCAACATCTGCATGTACAGTGTATTTCGAATATTAATTCCGGGCAATTTGGCAGATTTTTGATAAATCTGACAGATTTTTGAGGTGTATTTAGCAGAATTTGGCAACGACCTTACGGTCACCGTGCCATGCTATCTCTAGAGCACGCGTGGAAATGATGTAACAGGAAGGCGATGTGTTTGTCGCCAACGTACAATACAAACCGTAACCCGTCAAAACATTGACTTGTAGTTGTAACGCACGCTGAAATTGCTCCATGCCACAATGTTTTTAGGTTGTGTCACTTCGCCGGAGGGTCGTCACCGGAAAAATGTGAAATATCTCGTTCACGATTTGAAACCTTTCGAGGAACACATCCGACGTTTGTTCGAACTTGCTGCCGGCTGCCTTTCCCAAGAGGCAGAAGCCGAAGCCGAGTCAAAGCAGTCAACAGATGCCTCAGATGAATCGAGATGTGATCCAACATCGGCGCTCTTTCAGCACAAAACGCCGGTGCCTATGATGGGACGCCAGACCTACAGAATGTGGAAAGCCACTCTGGAGCTCAGCACCGGATTTGTATTCAAGTCGAACCTTCTGGACAAACCGAAAACTCTCCACTTCTTTCCCTTAGAACACTTCCCACCGTCTGTCACTTCCGGGTTTCAGGTTCAGGGTTATGATCACCTTTTGCAGTACTTAGTGCATTTCTTGCAGGTGTATTTTCCTAATTTGGAGGTCATTTTGGAACCCCTGCACGATGTCAATACAGACTTGGAACTAATCAGTAGATATCACAGCAAGACAAACAAAAAGCAGTTTTTGGTGACTGACTTGTATGCAAAGCTGCACAAACTGACTGGAACCCAGAAAAAGGATTTCATCCTCGGATTTACGTGGACAGACCTATATCCGAAGGAGGAGCTGAACTTTGTTCTTGGGGAGGCCTCGTTTCAGCACCGATGTGCTGTACTCAGCTTTGGCCGTTACGAACCTCTCAGCTATGAGGCCAGAGATGGAGGTTGCATGATGGAGGATGTTGATGCAGAAAATGAAAATGAAGAGGAATCCATAGTTGTTGATGGAGATTTGCTGTGGAAACTTCTTAGGGTAATTCCGCAATCCAAAATTTGAAAAGCACAGGTGTACTCAGTAGTCAGTAATGACATACATTGAAGCTTAGGGGAGAGGAGTCATCCCCCCCCCCCCCATTTTTTTTTAGGATAAAAAGATTTCGTCATAACTGACATATTTTAATGTAAATTTAGTCCAAGTATAAATTAGGACTCTACGAATCACCTACATGTATTTTTAACATTTGGACATGGTTGGGCGATAGTACGTCGCCCGACCATGTCCAAATGCTAAAAAAGTGATTCGTAGAGTCCTACATGTCACCTGACATGTTGTAAGTCGGACTAATGTGACAGTGAATCGAAGTAATGTTCTGCTTGAAACTGCCTGAAAAGATGGTCAGATCTATTATTGCTTGCAAGTGCAGTTGCCTGCAAGTATCAGTCATGCAGTTTGTAAAAGGATATTATTAAAATAATAATAACAATCAAATGCTTCTTTTGTGTTTTCTTTGCAGGTTGCCACCCATGAGACTTCCCACTTGTTTGGCCTGAATCACTGCGTCTTCTTCGAGTGTTCAATGAACGAGAGCAAATCTGTCTCGGAGGCCCTGGCCCAACCCCTCGTCCTGTGCCCGGTCTGTCTCCGAAAGATGCAGCGCTTTCTGAAGTTTGACGTCTTGGCGCGATACCGTGGTCTTCTGGGCACGTGCCAAACACTCCAAGATGCTTATCCCTCGGATGGGTTAGCAAAGACTATAGACTGGCTTCAGAGATGCATCGAGTTTCTCAGTTGACCACTAGATGGGGCATTCTTTTGCCGTAACTTTCTCTTCACTTTTTGGCTAGTTAGCTTGATATACCAACATTCTCCACAGCGTTCATTGGAAGATGCCAAACACTGGTCAGCAGTTACTCCAAAGGGAGATATCGGGAGGATGTATCATAACAGAGGACACTCTAAGTCTTGTTCAAAGACTAGATTTGAGTTATATTCCCCAAATTCATGCAGCTGCAGCAGGCCCTGACCCGCGACAAGGGTGGCAAAGCTGTCGCTGAATGTAGAGCCAGGGCTCTCACCATAATAAATCGATCCATTATTGGTAACTGTGTCACTGCTACCCAAATAATTTTAAGTATAACCTAACTTGTGCTCATTAGATTGAATAGTATAGCACTCGTGGGGTATGCTTAGAATGTTTAGGGTGTAGCACCTCAGTTCCTCATCCGTAAGACGTACTGGATTTGATTTGTCTTGTTGATGGCCCCCCTCCAGCACTGAATCAGCTTGACAACTGTTCCCAGGGACTAGCTTCAATAGTCTAATTAGCCTTGACCCTCTCCAGGGTAGTTTGGCTACCTTTCGCTGAACCCAGCAACAAGCAACACTTGTCAAAATGACAAGCCTGCCCAGTGTAGCAAGACTTGGGTCAAAATGCAGTCTTTGGCCACCAACTGCAGCACTCTGAGGATGTACAACTGTGCCGGCATTGTTCAATAGGACTTGCTCTCAGTGTCTCAGATAGTGGCCATTCCGTTTTTATGCACATGGTGTTGATAGCTGAATGTATCGAAAACAAATGTTCCATACTTTTACTGTGTTGCTTGTGGCAAATATTAAAAAAAAGTGTCAAGGTCTGATAGATCTTAATTTAAGTGCATTATCTCTGTTTGTTGCAGGCTGCAGGGATCCAATAAAGTATAATTCCCTAATTTTGTCTAAATTTAAGGGCACTTTATTTTGTTGACATTTCCCCCTAACCCAATGCAATCCTCCCACCAGTAATGGAATGTATCCGTTTTTCATTATGCAACCCATGCAAAAACAAAAATCTCAGGGTCGCTCTTCGCAGGTGTAGCTAGCTGAGGGGGGAGGGGGGGGGGGGCGTGCACCCCTACCACATATTCCCAGTGGTCTGACTGGTCTCTAGATGCCCCCCCCCCCCCAAATTTTTTTTTCTTGAACTTCGCCATTTGCCAAGCAAGTGTCTGATGAAAGTATCGTTTTTGAGTAATTAAACAGAAGAAGAATAGAGGGGAATTTTTTTTTGAGTTCCCCTTCATTCCCTTACCGTACAGCTCGTGCCCCAAACACCCCCCCCCCCACACACACACACAACTGAGAAAATTCTGGCTACGCCCCCTCCTGCTCTCCGCCTTGCGCCTGTATGTGTCTAGCTCACTGATCTCTATATAAAGACTGGATAGCGGATATGCATACAACATTCACACAGTAGACTTTGCATATTGACCAATTCGCCCCCGGTCTCACGAAGATGGCCGCGTATAATACGAACGTTCTACGCGTAAATACGCGCGCGTTGTATCAACAGTTGACGCGCATTTTGGTCACGTACACATATTATGATGTTCTAAAAGGGACACATTTCCGTAGTGATTATTATTTCAAAACGCCGAAAAAGTTATATTTGCGGCATTTTAGTAACCACGACGTTAGAAAAATTGTAGTTAACCTTGGTCAGTGATGGTGGTCAAAATATAAGTCAAGTGAACCGCGACGTTACAAAAGAAATCATGCTGTCTATAAAAACGACAACTTGTCCTTTGTAGATCACCAGCCGGTCTCACCAATATGGCGTCAAATTCGTACATTAATTGTGCGGCTCTTTATTAGCTATCCAGTCTTTATATAGAGATCAGTGGTCTAGCTAGTGGAGATCTTATCTAGCGCCCTCAAGAATGTCGAGTGGAGGAGACAGATTCTTGACGCCGATAACGACTTACTCGTGTTATTCCGAAAATGAACCATACTACAGTGGAAAGTTACAAGCGCAGCATTTGCATTGTCACCCGCGTGATCGACCGTGGTTGTTTTTCTTAGCTTTCCGTCAGAAATCATGGCTGCTTTAACGAGTTTGCTTCATCAAGTCTCCAAATATGGATTACGAGTGAGTACAGCTAGTGTTGTTCTAATTGGCAAATCATCAAATTATTGTTGTTTTGCAAATCCGGCTTTATTGCCGGTCTTGTGAGTCGAGTGTTTCCGTTGTTGAACCGGCACCGCGCCCGGTCATGCCGCTCATCATGCCGCTCATGCCGCCGGGTGTCTAGCCTCGTGAACGTGGCGTCGTTGTAAACAACGCCACGGGCCGTCCCCGCGTAAATACTCCCGGGCCTTAATCATTTTATTTTTTGATCCGCGACATAACCGTGTACAAAGTGTAATCACTTAATTGTTAGGCTTCCTGTGAATTTGCACGAGTGTTAGATCTCTCATTGCAAGAAATTTGATGAAAAATTAGCTGGAGTTTCTCAAGCTAGCTAGAAATGCGATAAGCATTGGAGCTCGATTACGGATTAGGCCTACATGGCATATGAAATTTGAAAATAAGGTAGACCACATGTACATGTAGGTAGGGAAACTTGTTTGGAGGGGGGCAATTTTTGTGTGTACAATCGTATGGAGGTGTCTGCCTAAGTCAAGGGTAACATGCATTGAAGATTTTTGGGTTTTTCCCCGGGCCTAGGGCTGTGTAGGGTTGGTAGTAGCCCCATAAATGTGGCCTATTTACTGGACTGCCTCCGTAAACATAGGCCACACATCCACATGTACAAAAATCGTGTCGACGGAGCCAAATTTTGATTTTCACATTTAGGCTTAGTTTGTAGGTTTTTTTTGCTTTAGAAGCATACTCACCCTCTTTACAGGCTAATCAGAAAGTGCTGCCTTTTTCAGATGTATCTTTTTCGTGAAATTTCATGTTGAAATTTTGATACGCAAACGTGTAAAAATGAATCTGGAAATTTCACGAAAAATATACATCTGAAAAAGGCAGCACTTTCTGATTAGCCTGTAAAGAGGGTGAGTATGCTTCTAAAGCAAAAAAACCCTACAAACTAAGCCTAAATGTGAAAATCAAAATTTGGCTCCGTCGACACGATTTTTGTACATGTGGATGTGTGGCCTATGTTTACGGAGGCAGTTCAGTAAATAGGCCACATTTATGGGGCTAGGTTGGTAGGGTAACCAGCTGACCAGAAGCAGAGCTATTATTTTGTTTTGGCCTAATAGTAGGATTTATTTAATGTCACAATCTTTGGTTGTTGGAACCAGACTATCAACCAAATGGTTCTCTGACTTTATTTCCCTTTTTATAAAAAAATCCTCAAAAATCATTGATTTCAAAGAAGAAAATGAAATTTAGGAAAGACAAAAAAAAAGGAAAAAAACAAAAAACCCAAACAAACAATTTAAACGTTTGGCATGGCAGCTTAATGTTTAATCAATCAAGTTACTGAAGCGTTTTGGTTGGATGGGCCTATAGATTTGGTGTTGTTGCACTGATGAAACGATAGCGGCCATAACGATAGCCACTACGTTTAAAAGTACTTGATTTTTAATTTTCTAAACTGTTTAAATTGTGCAATACCAGTAGCTTTTAAGTTGCAAGTAAACACGACCTGGAATTGGTAATCAAACTTTTGGGGAGTAAAGTGAAATGGAAATTTAAAGGACACTAAAACTACATGTTCAACAGCACAACAGTTTTGTCACAGTTTGATTTTGTTATTAACAAATCGTGCCGCAGTCACCTTTAATTTAGCGCCCAAGCCCCCTTTTTAAGCCAATCAGCTGTTGAGATGAGTGGGTGTGACAGAAAAACTTAAGGGTGACCGTCATTGCAGTCATGTCAGCATGTACTTGCATCAGTGATTGCATTATGCATATTTGCTGACAGTCTGAAATAGGCCTACTCTCTGTTTACACAAAAGTGTGCAAACATGTTACTGAACCTCACATGTATTTAGTAAATATTTAAGTAAGCAGGAAGAGACGTATTTAGCTCCATATCTCTCAAAGTATTTTTGTATTAGAACTAGAGTAATGGGGTCATTATATGGTACAATGTTCAAGTGAAACACTACTTGAGGCCTGAATCTGATTCATTTGAAAGTGGCTATTTCAAAACGCTGTTCCTATATTTACAGAAGTCGACCGTTGTCCATGCATCAGTCATCAACAGAATGGGTCTCAGACTTTGTATGGCCCTATAAAAAGTCCTTCAGACCTGTGAATCAGAAAGAAAATTAAATCTAAAAAGTAGGACTTGATTTAAAACAATCAAAGATAGAAAATGTATTTTGGGAACCTTAAACCCCCCCCCCCCCAAAAAAGTCTCACCAAGATTTGATCCCTGCACCTTCGACACTTCAAATTTCCCGTATTTGTCCAGCTGATCTATACTGGAGGCACTTAAAACCTCATTTGCCGTGTTATGTTGCCATTAGAATGCGTTATGGCTTCTGTAGAAAAATACAACGTTGTTAAATGACACAACAACAGAAGAGGTTAGAAATAGAATGCTATAGGCGTACTTATTATTGTAATGGTATCTGCATGCTTGGCAATTAAAGGGAAGATACAACATTTGCAAACATAAAAAACACGAAATGATCAAATTATCACGGAATACCTTACTGAAAAACTAGGGAATGACAGTCTAAAGCATCCTGTAAAATTGTGGCTCCTGGTGGGCTGACATTTTCAAGAAAAAGTGTATTTTTCCAACGATGGTCCGCCGAGCAGCGTTGGAAAAAACTTTCTTTTCTCTCAAAAACTGAACCTAATTTTTCATATTGCATTTTCTTTGCAATTGATTACACACCTGTGCAGGGGTACAAACCTGCTAGACTGATTCATTGACCTTACAATTCCCCAAAGTCTATAAATTGATCATTTCATCTTAAGTGGTGTCAAGGACAAACCAGACTACAAAAACCATGATTGGTTTTCTAGGTGTTTCCAGCATCTACAAGCCCCAAACATAAAACAAGTCAGTTTAACAATATTTGCTATGTCAAGCTAATCCTCCACATCCATTGTTTTCTGAAAATTGCAGCAAAAGCAAATGTTGTACATTCCCTTTTAAAACTTTTTGAGAAGATGATTGTGAGTGGTCCTTAAAAGTTAACCCTCCCTCTCTGGCTGGCAATTTCAACAAGTTGAGCCCAGCAGTCCAAATAAATCAAGTGACTGTTTTTTAACAATTGAGTGGGCTCCCTACATGTACATTCATAAAGCGGGATTTACTGGCTGTGATTGTTACGAAACGTGAGAGTGCTTTGACTGCCTAGGAGATTTGTAAGGCAGCTGTGCCTAAATGTTCCACTACTAGTCACCTGCTTTTGTCTGTTGATATGATGGTATTTCACTAGTCACAATGCCTACAAAGCCCAAATATTGCCTTTGAGGCAATGTGGACATGTCCGGGGGTGTATTTTAGGAAAAAGAAAAGTAGAATTGGTTTCTACCCCTTTGTCAGGTGAACATGTAGAACTGGGTTTACTACTTTACTCAACCATTGTCAACTGGAAAGAAAACTATCTGTAGTTGCATGGCATGTCTGCATTACCAGTGTACATGTACGTATAATGTACAAAATGTATACTGTAGATTATGAAAGTATTTTTGACTGCTATGTGAAGTTCATGTCCATGTAATTATGATTGCAACGTACAGTGAGCACCATATGGTGTATAATTGCATTTCATTAACATGTTTAAATTTCCATCGGCTCAGGAAAGAATAACGTTGACCTAGACCTATTTGTTTTAATATGATAATTTAGTAGTATTTAATAATGTAATACTAGTTTTGCCACACCACACAAAGTGACAGATTGTCAGGTCAATTCGTGGTACGGCATACCAATCCACGATTCACAGCTTCATGGTGCGCCACATGGTGTGAGCGATGATACCGGTATGTGCATATTTTGCATGTCAATTCCAATAAAGATGCACATAAATTTGTAAGTACATGTAGCGATGCATATTTAATGTGGTCAAATGGGACTTCAAATTGAGCCATTGTTGAGGATAGTGGGCAATTGGTTGTGGTAAAAGTAAGATTTTTTGGTAACTTTCATTATTTCTCAGGTATCTTGCAGTCCACTGTACAGCCACTGTACAAGAAGGTGCATGGCATCGATGCAAAGTTTTAAGGTAAGTGACAAACTTGTTGAAACTGTTTATATTTCCAAAGGATGGAATATATTTGCTCCCTGTTTTTGTAGCTGATCTTGTAAAGTTCAGGAATATCAACCTGAGTCACTGTCACTGCATATCAAAAGATTGTTTCCCTAACCCTGCTAATTGCAACAAAAAGCAACGAAGGAAAAAAGTTGTTGCATAGGCCTACCATGTTGCATTCAGGAGCCAACTCAAGTCCCAGTGCTTTGTTGCAATAACAGGGTAACTGCTCATACATGTAAGTCCAAGGAGAATCACAAGGTTTTCAAATGAGCTTTGATGAAGGCATTCCTTTGTTATTGTTCATCCACTTTTACTTGTGACTGGACTTGTGACTGGACTTGTGACTGGACTTGTGTCTGGACTAGTGAAAGGACTTGTGACTGGACTTGTGGCTGGACTTGTGACTGGACTTGTGACTGGACTTGTGTCTGGACTTGTGACTGGACTTGTGGCTGGACTTGTGACTGGACTTGTGACTGGACTTGTGTCTGGACTTGTGACTGGACTTGTGTCTGGACTTGTGACTGGACTTGTGACTGGACTTGTGACTGGACTTGTGACTGGACTTGTGACTGGACTTGTGACTGGACTTGTGACTGGACTTGTGAAAGGACTTGTGACTGGACTTGTGACTGGACTTGTGAAAGGACTTGTGACTGGACTTGTGACTGGACTTGTGACTGGACTTGTGACTGGACTTGTGACTGGACTTGTGACTGGACTTGTGACTGGACTTGTGACTGGACTTGTGACTGGACTTGTGAAAGGACTTGTGGCTGGACTTGTGACTGGACTTGTGAAAGGACTTGTGACTGGACTTGTGACTGGACTTGTGAAAGGACTTGTGACTGGACTTGTGACTGGACTTGTGAATGGACTTGTGACTGGACTTGTGACTGGACTTGTGAAAGGACTTGTGACTGGACTTGTGAATGGACTTGCGACTGGACTTGTGACTGGACTTGTGAAAGGACTTGTGACTGGACTTGTGACTGGACTTGTGACTGGACTTGCGACTGGACTTGTGTCTGGACTTGTGACTGGACTTGTGACTGGACTTGTGACTGGACTTGCGACTGGACTTGTGACTGGACTTGCGACTGGACTTGTGACTGGACTTGTGACTGGACTTGTGACTGGACTTGTGACTGGACGTGCGACTGGACTTGCGTCTGGACTTGTGACTGGACTTGTGACTGGACTTGTGACTGGACTTGTGACTGGACTTGTGACTGGACTTGCGACTGGACTTGTGACTGGACTAGTGAATGGACTTGTGACTGGACTTGTGTCTGGACTTGTGACTGGACTTGTGACTGGACTTGCGACTGGACTTGTGACTGGACTAGTGAATGGACTTGTGAAAGGACTTGTGACTGGACTTGTGACTGGACTTGTGACTGGACTTGCGACTGGACTTGTGAATGGACTAGTGAATGGACTTGTGAAAGGACTTGTGGCTGGACTTGTGACTGGACTTGTGAATGGACTTGTGACTGGACTTGTGACTGGACTAGTGAATGGACTTGTGACTGGACTTGTGACTGGACTTGTGAAAGGACTTGTGACTGGACTTGTGAATGGACTTGCGACTGGACTTGTGACTGGACTTGTGAAAGGACTTGTGACTGGACTTGTGACTGGACTTGTGACTGGACTCGTGACTGGACTTGTGACTGGACTTGTGACTGGACTTGTGACTGGACTTGTGACTGGACTTGCGACTGGACTTGTGACTGGACTAGTGAATGGACTTGTGACTGGACTTGTGACTGGACTTGTGAAAGGACTTGTGACTGGACTTGTGACTGGACTTGTGACTGGACTTGTGACTGGACTTGTGGCTGGACTTGTGACTGGACTTGTGAAAGGACTTGTGACTGGACTAGTGAATGGACTTGCGACTGGACTTGTGACTGGACTTGTGGCTGGACTTGTGACTGGACTTGTGAAAGGACTTGTGACTGGACTTGTGACTGGACTTGTGAAAGGACTTGTGACTGGACTTGTGACTGGACTTGTGAAAGGACTTGTGACTGGACTTGTGACTGGACTAGTGAATGGACTTGTGACTGGACTTGTGACTGGACTTGTGAAAGGACTTGTGACTGGACTTGTGAATGGACTTGCGACTGGACTTGTGACTGGACTTGTGAAAGGACTTGTGACTGGACTTGTGAATGGACTTGTGACTGGACTCGTGACTGGACTTGTGACTGGACTTGTGACTGGACTTGTGACTGGACTTGTGACTGGACTTGCGACTGGACTTGTGACTGGACTTGCGACTGGACTTGTGACTGGACTTGTGAAAGGACTTGTGACTGGTCTTGTGACTGGACTTGCGACTGGACTCGTGACTGGACTTGTGACTGGACTTGTGACTGGACTTGTGACTGGACTAGTGAATGGACTTGTGACTGGACTTGTGACTGGACTTGTGAAAGGACTTGTGACTGGACTTGTGACTGGACTTGTGACTGGACTTGTGGCTGGACTTGTGACTGGACTTGTGACTGGACTTGTGAAAGGACTTGTGACTGGACTTGTGAATGGACTTGCGACTGGACTTGTGACTGGACTTGTGAAAGGACTTGTGACTGGACTTGTGAATGGACTTGTGACTGGACTCGTGACTGGACTTGTGACTGGACTTGTGAAAGGACTTGTGACTGGACTTGTGACTGGACTTGCGACTGGACTCGTGACTGGACTTGTGACTGGACTTGTGACTGGACTTGTGAAAGGACTTGTGACTGGTCTTGTGACTGGACTTGCGACTGGACTCGTGACTGGACTTGTGACTGGACTTGTGACTGGACTTGTGAAAGGACTTGTGACTGGACTTGTGACTGGACTTGCGACTGGACTTGTGACTGGACTTGCGACTGGACTCGTGACTGGACTTGTGACTGGACTTGTGACTGGACTTGTGAAAGGACTTGTGACTGGACTTGTGACTGGACTTGCGACTGGACTTGTGAATGGACTTGTGATGGACTTGACATCCCTGAATACAGGTACCGTAAATCTTTACTGATAATATACGATATTTACTGTGGTCTTTTTTAATGACACCACACACGTTGCACCACACTGAAGCTGAGGTTGGACAAGGGCGGATCCGGGGAGGGGGGGGGGGGGAAGGGGGGGGGGGAAGGGGGGGGGGACAAAGGGGGCCATGGCCCCCCGAAGCAATTTTTTTTTTTTTTTTAGTGACTTTGCAATAAAGGCAGGTAATGAGTACACCACCATCTTTTCCTAAAAAAATTGGTTAAAGTGATTAGAAATTGCCTCAGATTGCTCCACAGAGCATTTAGAATGCAAACAAAAAATTTGGCCCCGAACCTCACGCCGTAATTTTTTGGGACACCCTTTTTGGGGACCAAAATTTTTGGCCTCCCAACATGCCCAAAAATGTGTGTTCTGGATCCGCCCTTGAGGTTGAAAGAACAGTCAAGCGTTAGTTTCTTGTTTCTACCATCTAGGCTAGTGACCTGCAGATTGAGCGTTCGACACACCTGAAGCCCAAGCCAGACCCTAACAACCTCGTCTTTGGCAAGGAGTTTACGGACCACATGCTGGTGATTGATTGGTCCAAGGATGCTGGTTGGCAGGTTCCAAGGATCGTGCCATTTGGCAACCTCTCGCTCCACCCGGCCTCCTCAGCCCTGCATTATGCTATCGAGGTAAGCCCAGGGCGTTTTCGAATCCCTGTTCTTGACAAAACTCGGGTTAACCCGACACGAGAACAGCGGTCTCGAACGTGACGAACAGACCCAAGAGGGCATTCGCGGATCGATTTTTTCACTCCCCGGTTGATGGAGGGTTCGGCGAGGTGCAGCTTGAACAAAATGGCGGACTGTGCAGATTCGTAATTTGTTTTGTGGTTTTTTTTGTGTGCTAATACCCTAATGATTGGAATAAGAATACCATTATAGTGCAGGTCTGCAATTTTGGTCTGTTTCACATTCATCTTCAGAGTCGTCCTCGTTCATTTGGAATAGGCCTAAGTACAAATTCAGACGATTGTCGGCCATTTGGCATTGCTTTATATCCATGCGACACGCACCCGCGCGTTCGTAACAACCAGCTCGAGAACACGTTCTCGTGCTACACGCGTGTTGTCAAGAACAGGGATTCGAAAATGCCCCCAGTGTCTCCAACCTGTAAATATAACCTGGTGCCCCGCCAAGCTTTCTGAGGTACCCGCCAAGTTTCAAAAGTTGCCGCCAAGCTTAAAAAGTTGCCCGCCATGCTTAAAAAAAGGAAAAAATAATAAAAAAGACAAACAAGTGGGACTACCCTTACCCTCCAGGGTATATTTGGCCAGAAACTCTGCCAAAAGTAATAACATGCAACACTTGTCAAAGTGACAAGCCTGCCCATTGTAGCAATCAATCAGGTCAAAAGTCTCAAGGCCAAACTGCCTCAGAGTCCCTGGTCACTGATGTGTTAAAAAAAGATGATGCTGAGCCAGTATTGTACTTAACAGTTACTGTGTTAGAAATGGCCTAAAAGCTGTTATCCGTACATATAAATTGCATGTTCATCTGCAAATAGCGCCCCCTAGCATAAAGAAATGTTTGACTGCAAATAGCTTTTTGACGGGGCACCAACCTTCAATTTTCAAGGTTGGAGAACACTGTAGGCCATATCTAGACTAAATTCAAAAGCATATTTACATTTAGTGTTACCTAGTCAAGTACTGATCCAGTAATAAGCTTGATTGGATCTCCGAAGCTGCAGGCCAATGATTTTGTGGTCATGCATGAGTGATGTGATTGTGCCATGTAATTTCCCGGGAGAAGAAGTGTTATGAGTAAATCTGTCTTAAATTTTGACCTTTTTAAATCTGAGAGAAAGACCTCAGTGTCTAAAAGAATTGCATCTTTCAGACTTTTCATCTATTTTTTCAGACTTTTTTTTACGTTGAAAATCTCATCCCTAAATAATATTGATCATGAGGACTCAGATTTCCAAGAAATACACGCACAGGTACATGTACTTCCTTCTTTTGTGATTTGATTGGTACTTTTCTGCAGTTGTTCGAAGGCATGAAAGCCTACCGAGGAGTAGACAACAAAATACGTCTCTTCCGTCCGTTTGAGAACATGGAGAGGATGTCAATATCAGCAGAAAGGGGTGCTTTGCCTGTAAGTAATGGTGTCAAGTTTTTTATATCACCCCATATTTTTTTATTACTGAGTGCTGATTTGTTTGTCTAGCACTCAGTAGCCTTTAGTCAAGGCGCGTGTGTCTATCTAGATGCGTGGTGCCTCAGATTCTGGCACGAAAAAAAGACCAGTCGAGTGGCGAAGCCAGGAGCGCCTTTACCATCTCATGGAGCTAATCATTATTCATTTTTTCAAGTAAACTGAATCATGCATGTATGCCGATATATGAACCAATCACCACCAACAAGCCATTTTTGAGGTGATGACACGCGCGCGCCCTCGAGTGTGCGCGCCACACGCGTTCTAAAAAAACCAAGACGCGCACGCATTCACAACATGTCATGCATTATGCATGAAAATTTGTCTTCCAAATCGGTAGACAAATGTAAAGAAAAACATAAGCGCTCTCCACGAGATGGTAAAGGCCCTTGCGGCTTCGCCGTTCGTGCTAGTCTTTTTATGTGCCAGCATCCGGGGTGCGTCACGTGTCCGGATAAGCGCATGGGACTTGACTAAAGGCTTAGCACTCAGTGGACAATTCACAAAAAGACGAGTGCAGGACGGAGAGTGACGAAGTGCAATTACAAAAACAAAACAATAAGTGCATTAACCCTGACAGACACAAACACATGCATCAGGTGTAAAAGTCACGGATCTGCTCAGCACAAAAATTTGCTTAGCACTAAAAAAGTCTGGCTTATAAAAGCAGGGCCACATTTCACGGCGCTGCTAAACAGTTAGCAGAAAAGTTGTGTTTAGCATAGCAGAAAATTAAAATTTGCTAACCTTAAGCACTATTTCACGGCGTGTATGTGCTAACGGTCGCTCGTGCATGGAGATTTCTATTGTTACGTCACTAAGTTAAGCAAATTTTTCCTCTGCAGTAAGCGTGCCTTTTGCTGTGCTTATGCTTACGGTCTCTATGAAATAGACGGAGGCTCTGTTAGCAGAAAATCGTGTGCTTAGCAGCGCCGTGAAATTGGGCATAGGTTACCAGCCAAAACTCCATGTGATTTTCATGCTAAGCAAACAGCAGCTGAATACCAATCACGAGCAACATACATCATATGGAGTTTTGGCTGGTAACCTGCTTTTATAAGCCAGACTTTTTTTTTCTAAGCAAATTTTTGTGCTTAACGGCGCCGTGAAATTGGCCCCAGCAGGGCACCAATGCCCCAATCCTGAAACAATCAGAGCTAGACCCATTGAACATTACCACAGTTGCATCCCATTGCAGTTGGTAATCACAGGCGCTGAGGCACTTTGGCCTTGAAATTTTTCACCTGATGGATCTTACTACGCCCAGCAGGCTTGTCATATTGACAAGTGGTGCATGTTGCTGCATTCGGCAGGGCTTGTAGCCAAAATACCCTAGGGGGTTAGGGTTAACATAGTGACAGAAGGCTCAAATGGCTCCGGTCCTCCTCTGGCAGAGTGGCCTCTGGCAGAGTGGCCTCTGGCAAAGTGGCCTCTGGCAGAGTGCCCTCTGGCAGGAAAAGATATGAGCCGCATGTGAAGGCTACAAGTGGACGATTGTAACCAAAACATGTCTTGCTCTTTACACAGGCTTTCGACAAGGAAGAGCTGTTGAAGTGCTTGTGCAAGCTGATCAGTTTAGACCAGGAATGGGTGCCCTACTCCACCACCAGCACACTGTATATCAGACCAACCATGATAGGCACTGAGGTATGATCTAAGTTGAGCCATATCCATATCACATGGCTACGGCCAGGCATAACACATGCACTAAGTTAGTGTTAGCCACTGGCTAGCGGCTGCAGCCACATCCCAGAGACTTGTGCGTTGTTTCTGGCCGTAGGCAAGTGATTTGGACACTGCCTTCGTCTGGCCATGTTCTTTGAGATTTGCACCCTTACTCCTAAACCTGCTTGACGATCGTAATAATGATAATGGATTGGACATTTGGGAGACATCCCCATAGACTTGTGCACAAAATTTTTCAAACTTAAATGTGCCCTAACCCAATATTCCCTCGTCCTGTTTCCACAAATTTTGGTATGTTTACTAATTAGACCACGAGCAACAAATATAATCTAATTGCGACAGTAACATTTTGCCTCTAAAGGGGGGCTGTGACATAAGGGAGACATGAAACCCTAATGACCGATGTCTCCCATTGTGCGAAGAAATTACGATAACATTTCTCCTTAATGGTACATTTACACGTATAATAATAATAATAATAAGTTATTCTTGTATAGCGCATCCATTATTTCAGACCTTTTTCCCCCATGTGTGATTTTTTTGTGCTAAATTTTGTTTTCTACCAGCCTTCGTTAGGTGTCAGCCCACCTGGTCACGCAAAGTTGTTTGTTATCATCGGCCCAGTGGGGCCGTACTTTGCCACGGGAACCTTCAATCCGGTCCGCCTGTATGCCGACCCAAATAACGTGCGGGCATGGAAAGGCGGCGTCGGCTATGCAAAGCTGGGATCGTAAGTATGGAAAATTGAGTTGGGATTTTTGCCCTTCATCAAAGTGATTTGATAACTGCTGTATACTCAGTGTTGTTGTTGGACTTGACAGAAAAAAAAATCATAAGCTTACTTTGGCGGGTGCTCGAACCTACCCCTCAAAAAGAAACCCAACTAAAATTTTGGGTGGAAAACACTCACTACTCTGTCCCTTTTAACTTTCAGCAATTACGGGCCCACGGTCATGCCGCAGGTGGAAGCCGTTAACAAAATGGATTGCCAACAGGTGTTATGGCTGTACGGGGATGAACACTACGTCACTGAAGTGGGCACCATGAATATCATGATGTACTGGCAGAACGAACAAGGAGGTAATACAACAGGGCGTGGCCAACCAAAAGTGGGGGGCTGGTGACACCAAAGCAGTTTTCCTGGTCACCAGTTGGGTGGATAGATATCATTTTGACCAATGGGGCGGTGTTCAAAGTGGACAGGCCAGGACACTGTTGAACAAGCAGTGGTGCTGTTCTTGGTGGCATATTTATGCTAACTTACGATTTTGGTGATGGTTACATCAGTTTTGTTGTGAACATTAACACAAAATTGGGGGTGGGGTGACACTTCCCCCTCCCCCCCCCCCAGCAAAGCCCCATGGTAAAACAACCTGCACTATTATTTGGTTTCCCCCTCCAGAAAAGGAGCTGATCACCCCCGAATTGGATGGAACGATCCTACCAGGTGTCACAAGGAAAAGCTTGCTGGAATTGATGCGCAAATGGGTAAGTGCACATCATCAATATTGAAATGACCCGTGTTCGATTTGTTTTGCTGTAAATAATACTAGATTATTTTGTACAGTATAACAAGGAGTAAAAATAGAACTTGTTTAAGAGGCAAAAAAAAACTTGAGAAATAAGGAACAAAATTGACCAAGAATGATCCATATTTCTTGTTTTTATTCAGGGAGAATTCAAAGTCACAGAGAGACCATTCACCATGAAAGAGGTCGTCAAAGCCGTGAGAGAAAACAGGGTAAGCGGGCGTGCTTTCTGAACCTTGACTCGGTCACATCCGAGGTTCCAATCCTGCCGAGATTGTAGTCTCCAGTCTCACAGGTAGTGCTGGGCGAGTAACGTGAGTGCTCGAGTACTCGCAAGCAGTGTTTGCTACCCATTCTACTCAGGGTTTGTCATGTACTCGAGTACTCATCCTGACGCAAGTAGAAGTAGGTACTCGGGAGTAGCAAATTCTTTTTTACAAGTGCTGACTTGAAAACAAGTAACCACTTTGCGGTTTGTGCACCACACTTGTCTTCTGTCTTAATACGTCCCCCGCAATAAAGGAATCATTACCCCCATCTGATTCCTTGCGTTTTCGGGAGCACTCTCAGCAAATACATTTTCAAGTAAAATGAGCCAAAATTTTGCATAGTAAGTGCTGAAGAATGTGCTGTTTATTCATAGTAACTTCCTTCTTAATAATGTTTATGAATTTTTTTTTTTTTTATGGGAATTTAGTAAACTACTCACGAGTACTCGAGTACTCGCGAGTAATTTCTCTGCGAGTACTCGAGTAAGGAAATCCACTACTCACCCAAGCGTACTCACAGGATTCTCATTGAGGGTCGGGGGGGGGGGGGGGGGGGGGGTGGGGGGGGTTCCAAATTGCCCACATTTTACCCTGAGGATAGACCTTATTCACGAGGAAGTCGTTTTTGACCTTATTCCCTGAATCTGTTTTATAACTTGTAAACTATTGAGTGGGATGGTGCCAGACTATTTTGTGATTGGAGTGCATTCCAAGCCTCACTTAAAAAAAATTTCAAATGGAGCTTAAAGATATAGTCCATCATTTGTAATTTGTGCATTTTGTTCGTTTGAAGCAACAAAAGTGTTCAAAATCTAATGAAGGATACTGAACAACTAACCTGATGAAGTTTCAGCTAAGCTTCAGCTGTATATTCCGAGAAAAAAAGCATTCTAGTATTCAATTTCAAATCAAAAGTTACTGAATCATGTTTTGAATTGTTTTGAATTGCAGCTTTACGCGACGTCACGCACTGATCCGACGAATTATAGCAACCGCGTGAGCGTCATGCCAATGCTTGCACGCGCTTCGCCGAATAACAAAACGAACTACTAATTTAAATTTTCCTACGGTGCGTCTTAAGACGCACCATTGGAAAGGCCTTCTTTCGTTGATTACTTCAAAATGACAGCTTCCCAGAAAGAATAATTTCACAGGGAGTTTAGTTCCCTTACTATCTTTCAACCAAGTTTGTTTTTCAACAATAATTACGCCAGTTACTTTTCGGATGGCTGCAAATGATGAACTGTAGCTTTAAAACTTGAGGGTATATTTCAATAATCACAAATTTTCATCAGAGCAGACTGGTGTTAATTTGTAATGAAGTTTCATTTAATTGCTTTCATGTTTATTCCCAGGGTCCAAATATGAAGAACGTACCTCCCTTTCATATAATATGGACGACTCTTGAATAAACTCTATTAAAGAAGTTACAATGACTCTGTGTGCAGTGTGAGCAATCCGTTGCATGTTGCAAAATGTACACCGAGTGCCAGTAAATTCAAAAGCTATACCACAGTTTCTACTTCTGAAGTTTTATGAAAGTTGCCATTTGTAAGCCTAAAAAAGAAAGGTCCAACAGGACTTTAAGTAATTAATTCACCTTATTTTGAGTGTCTCAGTACAGTTAGGTTGTGTGGAGGCACATGTTCTGGACATCTCACTCCAGTCAGTGTCTTTGTTTAGGCCAAAAAAAGTATCCGGTTTCTGGTATGGAGCTTGCCAAAAAAGTGGTGTGGCGACGCGGCTTTTTTTGGTTTTTTTACCTGATATTTTTGCTTCAAATGTCGGCTGATGACTGCAAATGGTGCCCGACTAAACTTAGTGCAAATATATGGGAGTCCAGAGAGGCCACATAAAGCTTATTCTCGACCATAACCCAATCTAAAAACATGTTAAAATTGTGCAGCAGCATGATTCCAGTCAAACCAGTGAGTTTGGCGGTTTTGAGACATCATCTTTCATTGAAAAAAAACCTTTTTCATTTTGCCGACGCGCATGGCTACAGTGACGCGCGCGCATACCAGAAACCGGAGACTTTTTTTGTTGGCCTTATGTTAATATATGTCAAATTTTGTGGGGGGGGGGCATACTGCATCTGTATAAAGACGGCATGTGATACTACGTGTATTGTTATGTCCTGGTGCTCTAGGTCTATGAGATATTTGGTGCGGGCACAGCATGCGTGGTGTGCCCCGTCTCCAGTATACTCTACCAAGGGGAAGATCTACAAATACCAACAACGGGTGAAGGTGCCGCTCTAGCCACCAGACTGTACAATGAGCTGAACGATATACAGGTATGGAACCCTGACTCTCTCAGTGTAGACAAACAAAATCATTTCATGATAGCCATTTTTTGCATATCATTATTTTTTGGATAAATAAATGTTGCAAATTAATAAAAACATAGATTTTGGGGAAATAATTACTGAAGCAACTTTTAAATTTTTTTTTAAGTAGTCAAAATATCCAAATACATTGAAGAGTTGCCAAGTTATATTTTGGCCAAGGTCTGAAACTGAGTCCTGATTTGTAGTTTTTGCAGTCCTCATGATGTACAAAAACTGCCATAATTTTAGAAGTTTTTTTGGTCTATTCTGCAACCAATGAAGTTTCTTTACCTCTTCTCCCACAGTTTGCCAGATCGCCAAGTGACTGGATGCACGAAATTGAATGAATCGGCAATAGCACTCGTCACTTCTCTTCGAAATTGTGAAACCCACCATCAAGCGGTACCGTCCTATATTTTGTTGAATATTTCCTCATCCAAATTCTGAATAATATACAGGAGAGCATTCAGGGGCGGGCGCAGCTGGTGTCTGCCCCCCCCCCCCCCCCCTCCCATCTTTCACAGTTTTATCATACTTTTTAGGAGGTACGTGTCTTGTCACTCTACCCTGTTGCTTCTGCCGAAATCTGGTTATTTGATCACTTCAAAGACAGACAATTTCACCCACATGAACATTCAAATATATGCCCCGCTTGTTTGTTCATGTACAGGGTTCAAAATTAGCAGTAGCCCTCTAGTCAATTGCTAGTCAAAAAAGCGGCGGGATAGTCAAACTAATCCTTAAGTAGGTTGGTTGGCAAGTAAAAAATATTGGACTACGGAAAAGATAAATGGACAGACAGAAAGAACTCACTAAGAAAGAACTCACTAAATACAGAAAGCAAACCTGTATCAATTTGTGTCTAATTTTATGAACTGTTTAGGGTTAAATTATTAGAACTGTTTATTAAAAATACTGACAAGATTGCCTCAGGATACACATTTTACATGTACTTGTGTGCATGTCATTGTTTTTGAGACACTATATAAATAAAAACGCGGGGGCTAGTTAAAATGTCCGCGGGCTAGTTAAGAATCTGTTTCAGAACCCTGGCTGGCTAGTGAAAAAAATTTAAGCTGGATCCCTGATGTATCGCCTCTATTTTTGTCCCATCCAACTTCCCCTTCCCTAAATGCTGGAACTGCCACTGATATAGGCAGAGTTGTAACGAGCCACTGATTTTTGTGACTCGATTCGAGTCGAGTCATTTGAAAGAAGTGACTTGAGTCGAATCATTAGGTCAAGAAGGTCGAGTCGAGTCGAGTCACAGTGCATAGTCGAGTCGAGTCAAGTATTTAGCTCGAGTCACAAATATTTGAACACTACACAATAAACACAAGAGAGCAAGTCATTTTTTGGCTTTTTAAAATTTTGTATTTGGGCTACTACGTGTGGTGACACCATATTTGACTCTTAACCCTTACTCTCTGAGGGTAGTTTACTGCATGTCAGTTGGTTATGCCAATGCCCTCCAGCTGCAGTTTATTGGCAGATAGTTTTATTTAACAGTGAAGGCTCCAATTGGCAGGAGTTGGAGGCCCTGGAGGGTGCCTGATACTGACCAGCTGGGGGCACTCACTTTGTTATCAGAGGACTCTCATTGTTCTCTGTGGCATGTATTGGAGTGCCTGTCCAGTTACCCTTGAAATGACATGGCAGATATTGGAGGGCCATGCAAAAAACATAGGAGATTTTCTTGAGGCACACATTGGCATGCGTTGGAGGGTCTAGTAGGGTAAGGGTTAATGAAGATAAAAAGGGGGTGCCAGCTGATCGCCATTCAACTAATGGGGACATTGATCAAATCATGTATGTATATGTATGTATACATTATTCGCGAATATTCTTATGTGACGTGGACAAAAAAGGCACCAGTGTAAGTCATTGCAAATATTTTCGTGAAGTTTTGGTTTTATTTTTGGGACCCTAGTCTTATTAGCCTTCCTTGAGTCGAGTCAAGTCATTCTGATGAGGGACTCCAGTTGAGTCGAGTCATTTGCTTGCAGTGTCTCGAGTCAAGTTGAGTCATTTGCCCTTAGGGACTTGAGTCAACTCAGTCGCCAAAAATTGTCACTCGAGTCAGACACGATTCGAGTCATTTACTCAAGTCATTACAACTTGGATATAGGATACATGTATTTTGAACATTGAAATGTAGTGTTGACATTTCTTAACTATTCAGTAAAAGACCCATTCTACAGAGCCTAAAATCTTTCCCAACGGGAAACAGTCAGAAATGTACATGTTCAGCTACTGGGTAATTCAGGAATTCTGAATGATACAGAACACATGTAATTACTTTGAAAGTGGCATTTAACTATTCTATGAAGACATATTCAACAAAGCCTGAAATCTTTCCCCCATGAAACAGTCGTTTGTTAGATTTTAACAAGTTGTAAAATGGGTTGCATATTTTGTTCTAAAATTGTTTAGAACTCATATAGTATTTTTGTATACCTTGTGTTTTATTGTACAAAAGGTGACCGAACAATAATCTATTTGTTGCCAAATTCAGTGTTAAAAAAGGTGTATTAATTGCACAAACGGACGTTATACATGTACAGCAAGTGGCTTAAGTATTGTGGCCAAAGTACAATATGTTTTGTACTATACACAAGTAAGGCAGCATTCTGTTTTTCATCAAACCTATAAATATATATTATGTACATTCAAAGAGATGTATAAAGTTAACACCCATTTATGTGAATTGTTTTCTAAATGGCCGGATTTAAAAATACAAATTACCAGTGTTGTAACAAGTCACTGAATTTTGGCACTGGAGTCAGCTTGAGTTAAGGCAGTAAAGAAAGTCAAGTCATAAGGTTCTCTTGGTCAGCTCAAGTTACATGAAGTGGTATTCCTGCTCAAGTAAATTACTTCCATTGACATGTTAGCACTTTCCTATTTAATGTCACAAATTGAGACTTTCAGCTTTCTTTTTGTCCGATTCAGGGATTACAATATTTTGGAGTGATATGGGTGAGGAGCTCCTAAAGACCTTATGCGTAGCAGCCATCTTAGAGGGCGATACGTTTGTATTGCTGGGCTATGCACGAGTGAAGCTTTTGTGCATTCATTGTTACTGCATACATTGAATGAAAATACCAAAAGATGCCCTCTAAGATGGCTACTGTGCATAAGATCTATTGCATATGCCCTCCAACTTCAAGTCAGCATACTCTACTTGATGTGCAGTTGTTCATGTAGTCATTTATCATTCCATTGTTTTGGTGGCTCCTTATAGACGATTACAGTCGAGTCTCGTTAATACAAACGCGTTCGGACATAGCCAAATTGTTTGTTATATCAGAATTTTGTATTAAGAGGGACATCAGTCCCATTCATTGTGCACATACATGCACATTCAGGACTAAGGCTTTATGTTTGTTATAACAAGAATTTTGTATTAACAGAGTTTGTACTAACAAGTTTTGACTGTATCATGTTGCGACCGTCTTTTCCTCATTCAAATCCACGTAACTAAAGCGAGGCTGGAAGGAAAAATAGTCTGGTTCCTTTTCCCCCCCAAAAAACATTCAGTACCGTTATTGGATGCTGGGAACATGACTGAAATGGCAGCCAGCCTAGTGCCCTCCTACCTTTCTCACTGGCTAACTCACTGACTTACTGACTTGGTAATGCCAATGAATGGGCTCAATCCAGTCCATTCATGTACCAGGGGCCAATTTTATGGAGCTGCTAAGCACAAACAATTTGCTTAGCATGAAAAGTCTTCCTTGGCAAAAACAGGATTACCAACCAAATTTCCATGTGATGTATATTGCTTGTGATTGGTATTCAGCTGTTGTGTGCTTAGCATGAAAATCACAGGGAGTTTTGGCTGGTAACCTGCATTTACTAAACCAGACTTTGTTTTTGTGCTGACAATGCTAAGCAATTTTTTGTGCTAAGCAGTTGGCCCCAGATGCTTGAAAAGTCTTCCAGTGAACAGCCATTCTGCATCAATCGAGTATAATTGTGTGTACTCTGGGACCAGCTTTTCCTAGGCCTGCTTAGTCTTGACCTCCGATGGAACTTGGCGTCAATGTGGTGTAAATTCAATATTGGGTTTTGCAAAACCCAATTTGAACTTGCTTAGTCTTAATTCAAGGCGTCAGATGATAAACCTTTCACTCTACTGTAGTTGAGTTGAGTCGACTCATATGCCAGCAGGGACCCGAGTTGAGCCAAGTCATTTGTTGGTAATGACCTGAGTCAAGTCGGGTCACCGAAAATTGCAACTCAAGTTTGACTCATGTCAGGTCATTGACTCGAGTCGCAGCTCTGGAGAATTCCTCCATATCTATCTGCCCATGTTTGAGATGTGCCATACTGTTGGTCTTACTCAATCCTACATTTTGAAAAACAATTGTTTCCAATCAGTGCATTCAAACAAAATGTGTTAAATTTGTTCTTCAAGACGATTTTTGTTAAACAGTTCAAACTGTTTATTTTAAACTTATTATTATTCTCCGTAAATAACAATATTCACATGAACTGACCTACCAATTTTCGTAAGTGGTAAAAATATCCCTTTATAAATTATACTAGCCATCTCTCTTTAAAATGTTCCCCCTATTATTTTTGTGTTAAAAGAATTGTAAAGAATCATTGTCACATGAAGGTGCAAGTGCAATGAAGGACAATGTGGATGTTATTTACAACGCACACGCCAGTTTTACTTGCTTGTAACTTAACCGTTTGAGCAGAACTGATATCTATTTTCGTATCATTACTTTGGCATTTTTAAATTCTGAATTTTGCTTAACTACATCTACTAACGGGTGCTGGTACACAACGAATGTCTTTACTGTTATCAATTTAAATAAAATCCTGTAACAAGATTCACATTCATACTGCAGTGAAATCACGATAAAGTCAAACTCTGATAACTCAAAACAACTGTTAAGTCAAACAAAGACTTTATTGCCTTCAGTATTACAACAACGATATTAAAGGGAATACACATCATTTGCTTTTGCTGTAATTTTCAGAAATGGATGGAATTGGGGGGTTGGACATATATTGCAAATATAGTTACACTGACTTTTTTGAGGTTTTGGGTTCGAAAATGCTAAAAAAAACCAAGAAAAACTATCATTTTCCTGTAGTCTGGTTCCCTGACTCCATTTAAGAAGAAACAGAGCAGTTTACATACATTGGGGAATTGTAAGGTCAGGGAACCAGTCTAGCTGGCTTGTACCCGTTCATAGGTGTGTAATCGATCGCAAACAAGTGCGATGGTCAACTGGGGCCAGTATTTGAAAAAAACAGTTTTTTTTCCAACGCTGATCGGCCGATCAGCGTTGGAAATTGATACAAAAATACCACTTTTCTTGAAAATGACAGTATACCAGGTGCCATGATTTTACAGGATGCTTTACACTGTCATTCACTAACAGTCCAGCAAGGTATTTCAAAATGATTTGGTAGTTTTATTTTTTGATGTTTGCAAATGTTGTATTTTCCCTTTAACCCTGCTGACCTCAAAACTCTGT